TGTGATGAGTAAGGACTGTTCTGGAAAAAGTGTGCCTAAGAGGACATACATTACCAAGGAGGGAAAATCATTGCCCGGACACGAGCCTATGAAAGATAGGTTTACGCTTGTGCTGTGTTCAAATGCGAGTGGCGATTTGAAAATTAATCCCTTGCTTGTGTATCATTCTGAAAATCCAAGGGTTTTCAAATGGTATAAAGTGCAGAAAAAACAAATGTGTGTTATGTGGAGGGCTAATAATAAGGCATGGGTGACTAGGATTTTTTTTTGAGTGGGTGAATCAAGTTGTGTTCCCTGCCATAGAAAAATATCTGCAGGAGAAATATTTGCCACTCAAAGCCCTGCTTCTCCTTGACAATGCTCCTGCTCATCCTCCAGGCCTGGAAGATGAATTGTTGCACAGATACAGTGATTTCCTCACAGTAAAGTTCCTTCCTCCTAACACCACTCCTAATTCGGCCTATGGACAAGAAATTCATAGCGAATTTTAGGAAACTTTATGAAAGGGCACTTTTCCGGAAATGTTTTGAAGTAACTGAAGCCACAAAACTCACCCTCAAAGAGTTCTGAAAACACCATTTTAATATTTGTAGTGCTTTAAAACTCATTGACTAAGCCTGCCAGGAAGTGACTCAAAGAACCGTGATCTCTGGCTGGAGAAAACTGTGGCCTGAATGTGTGACAGAACTAGACTGAGGGGTTTGAGTCTGTAAATGATGTGCCTATTGTTGAGAAAATTGTTACTCTAGGCCAGCAAATGGGCTCGGAATTGGATGGTGCTGATGTGGAGGAGTTGGTGGAAGAACACAACGAAGAATTAAACTAAGGAAGTTTCTCCAGTGGCGGAGGATGAGGCAGCAGCGAATGTCCCTACCGCAACCATTAAGAAGTGATGTCAGATGTGGGAAGAAATGCAAACTTTTATTGAAATGACTCACCCAGAGAAAGCTGTAGTAGGCCGTTGCATTAATCTTTTCAATGACTAATGTGATGCCTCACTACAGAAACAACTTGCAAAGGAGGGAAAAACAATCATCAATGGACCGCTATGTTGTGAGAAAATAGAGCAGTGAGCCACAATCAAGACCTAGTGGTATGCAGGGAAATGTGTGCCAGAGAATGCACTCCAGGTCCTCATTGCCTAATGTTATAATGGAAGGGGACTCCCCATCCAAACAGTAACACCTCTCCTCCTCCCTTCCTTACCATCTTCCATATGCCAACAGCAGTCATCTTATGGCACCCAGGTAGATGGGCGCCATAAAAGCAATAAGTCCTTGGCCATGTTCGTTCCATACAGCGGCCAACTCCAAGATCAAATCATTTTACTATGATATTCATTCAAAATTGAAATTTTCTCAAATATAATGTATTATGTATAAGCACATTGTACATAGAGGCAGTAGTTAGATTACGTGTTTAGTTTCTAGTGGAAATTGTTTGTTTTTGAGGTGCGTGGGTGAAGCATCTACAGAGCTGCAACAGAATGAAGCACTGTTCGAACGTCTTCAGCAGTTAAGTGTATGCCATTTTGTATGCCAAGTAGTTTGCAAGCTGCATGGAATGAACATTTGGCCTTTGTTAAAGAGTAAGGATTGGTGTCTAGTCAATCATCCCCAGCCAGGATATGAACCCAGGGGTCCGTCTAATTACCACAAGCTACCACAAACTACACAAACTTCAGAAAGCTTCCTGGCAATACGTTAGTAATGAATAAATATGATATATTAAGTTAGGCTGACCTAACCTGACCTAACCTATCCTAACCTAACCTAACAACCAAACCTAACCTAACCGAAGATTGTCGACTTGATTTGGCGTCACCAGCTTTTTATTTTCGTCTAATTTCTTTATAAAAAGATACTTTTTCAGATTAAAATTATGTTTTTTCGTGTTGTACATTCAGCACCAACATTATAATGAGTAAATATATCACATTTATTCATTAATAACGTATTGCCAGGAAGCTTTCTGAAGTTTGTGTAGTTTGTGGTAGCTTGTGGTAATTAGACGGACCGGAACCCAGGCCAAATCACTCGCAAAGCACTGGGCGATTGTCTTGCCACTGCGTCAATGGGATTGTAGCACTTTTATAATTATATGTTGGGGACCATTATGTACAAAACGAGATGTACTATTTGAAAGGACAAATTCGTCATTTAGCTACAGAAGTTAAAATGCTCAAAATGACAAGATTTACCTAATTTTATAATACTAATCAAATTAAATAAGCAGCAATTCAGTGTCAATACAAAGCTAAAGTTACTTGGTAACTGGAGGGGAAGGGGCGGAAGGTAAGTTCATTATCATGAGAAAGCGCTCTGCCAGTCAGACCATAACTAACTGGCAATACAATCATGCGCCAGATCCTGTGCTATGGGGTCACCATAGCCTGTGCTACTTGGAACTTTTTGATCAGAGCAGCTGAATCTAAAACACCACAAGATAAGTACTCACACTTTGCATCTTTCCTCCTCGCTGTTAGAAGGAAATCCTTAATCTCCATAATTTGCTTCGGCTGCAATGAAGTTCAATTTAGTATTAGTATACAATTTTCATATTAAATAAAAAAAAAAACTACAAATTATATTCTTTCTCAGGGCAAAGTCTTATCACATTACTATTCGAAATAGCGTATTTAAGTCATCATGTATAACGTTATTAAGAGACCACGAGACAGTAAACATTGCTCACCATGGTGAATGTAAAGCCACTTGCGGCAGCACACCTGAAATAACAAAATTCCTCGATATTATCCAACACAGATTACTTAAACTTCTCTGGTATAGATTTCATATATAGAAACGGCGTGATGGAGCCATATTTATAAACGTGAAGTGAGGGATGAGCGGGATGATTGACGATAAAGATACAAGGTGGTGGAACACAGTACCTCACTCCTGCGACGCCTGGGCTGGAAGGACGGATTATTGACGTCAAACCAGCAGCTGAGCTTCATATTAAACGAACCTTTATTAAATATATCATAAGCATTTTATAAAGCATATGCATAATATTTTATTTTTGAATTGTACTAGAGTAATATTTTTATTACGTATTTATTTTTCAAGAGTTATTTGAAAAATGAAAGGAGTTTCTTTGATATTGAGGAACAACAACGTTCATATATTAATTATTTTTCTCTCTTTTAGAGGAAAAAGTTAAACCAAACATTTAATACTCGATTTTATATATTTCAAATATGTAAATATAGATAATAATACAAAAATGCAAATATAAGATATGTATATTTGTTTTATTTATAAGATATGTATATTTATTTTATTTTTTGTTCTTGACAAGCTTAGGTACACACATTTTTTTTTTATTAACAAGCTTAGGAGTACACAACAATATGCTGCTACCCAAAGATTACAAAGTGTAAATAAATAACTAGCTTTAACTTCGTTTGTATTTGTATTGAGGCTGGTATTTTCTCCCCGATTCCATGTACTGTATGACCAACCACCCTGTGAGATGGGAAGGGAAGGGAACTATCAGGGGGAAAGCAACAAGTCATTACGACTATATAGCACTGGGAAGGGGTCAGGATAAGGATTTGGGATGGGACTAGGGGAAGGAATGGTGCCCAACCACTTGGACGGTCGGGGATTGAACGCAGACCTGCATGACGCGAGACCGTCGCTCTACCGTCCAACCCAAGTAATTGGACCTGTGAGATGGGAATATTAGATGAATTTATAGCTATTTTTTCATCTACACTGTGTAATCTTTCATACAGAATAAGGTAGCAGCACATTGCTGTGTACCTAAGCTTGTTAATAAAAAAATCTAATATCCCCTATCTCACAGGATGGTTAGTCATACATGGAATCAGGAGAGAATTTACCTGACTTTACCTGAGAATTATTATCTTTATAGTGGCCTCGACGAGAACAGGACGTCGGCGGCTTGTCACAGGACGTTTTTCCTGATGATTTTAGCTAGCTGGATTTTAAAATTCAGCAGTGTTTTGCCATTTACGGCTTTTGCGGGTAGACGGTTCCAAGGGTTTATACCTCAATAGGTGAAAAAAAACATCAGTTTTCAATCCTACATAATTGTGGCATGTTGAGCTTTAAACCGTTGCTTCTTGTTTGTGCTACATCTGATATTTTGAAGACGTTGTCTGATTAGATGTAACACAGACAAGGAGCAATTACGGTTTTAAGCTCAACAACTCACAGTGCAGAACTGAAAACAGATGCTTTTTCGCCCACAGAGTGAAAAACCCTCACGACAAATAGGGGTGGGAACTTTGACAAGCCGCCGGCCTCCTGGTCTCGGCCACTAGAATGATAGTGGCCCTCATAAGAACATAAGAACAAAGGCAACTGCAGAAGGCCTATTGGCCCATACGAGGCAGCTCCTATTTATAACCACCCAATCCCACTCATATACTTGTCCAACCCGCGCTTGAAACAATCGAGGGACACCACCTCCACCTCGTTACGCGGCAATTGGTTCCACAAATCAACAACCCTAGTGATAGTGAGTCCTCCTCCGAATTAATTTCCCTACCGATTTTCGTATCATCGGCAAATTTGCAAATGTTGCTACTCAAACCTGAATCTAAATCATTTATATATATTATAAACAACAGAGGTCCCAGGACAGAGCCCTGAGGTACTCCACAAACAACATTATCCCACTCTGACTTAACCCCATTTATACTAACTCTCTGTTTCCTTTGGAATAGCCATGCCCTAATCCAAGTTAATATAGCACCCCCAATACCATGAGCTTCTATTTTTTTAATTAGTCTTTCATGTGGCACTGTATCAAAAGCTTTGCTAAAGTCAAGGTACACAACATCACAATCTTTACCACTATCAACTGCCTCAACTATGCTGGAATAAAAAGTTAGCAAATTTGTTAAACATGAACGGCCATAAATTCATGTAAATTCAGATAAATTTAGGAACCACAGTGTATGTGGGCTTAATAATCCTCCTGAGATTAATTGGCCTTTAAATTTAACACCAAACCAAATAGAGCGCTTGACGACTGGGTATCAAGCCACAACCGCCCACTCGCCACAACACACTCAGCTATGAGTTTGTCTTCGAAAAACACCGGAAAAACATGGGTATTTTATGCTTTATTTTAACTCATTGGCAAAATCCAGTTCGTTTTACGTGGGTATGAAGTTGGTGAATGTTATAAATGACCAATCTAGGCGTATTCCAGGTCTTGTTCACTGGAAATTTAGGTTTCGTAATGTGGGTTGTATCCTTGGTTCAAACCAAGGATCAACATTGATACGGGTTTCCGTTCTCGGAGACTTATTAGGTTTATCGAGGTCCCACTAGCCAACAAGTGTCCTTTACCAGGACGCAACCCAAAAGAATTGAATAACGCTTAGTTGCTTATTACCTGTTAGGTGAACAGTTGCATTAGGCATAAGGAAACTTGCCCCAAATGTTTCTTCCCACCTGGAGATTGAACCCAGGACTTATCTGTTGTGAGACAGCTGCACTGACTACTGCTACACAGGTCACATTTATAATGATGGTATAGTAATGTTGCACACTATAAAAACATTTTCTCTTGTTTTTGTCAGGATAAGTAATGTTAGGTTAGGTTGGGCTGGGTTAGGTTTGTTGGAAGATTAGTGATGATGTAGCTCATTCAAACTTGTATTAGATCTTAGACTCTTCAAAACTGGGCGTCTCATTTCATACAATGCTTTATCGTTATTAGAATTATTAAAAAAAAATGTTTATCAAATCAATATCAGGAAAATAAAGCAGAATTTTTTTTTAGTCATCTTTTGCAACTAATATTATAATTTATTTATTAAAAATAACCAAACATGCTTTTATGTACCTTTTGATGGCAAAATCATTTCAAGAAAGCACATTTTAAAATTTTTGGATCTTTTAAATAATTATAGGTACTAAATTCTGATTCAATGAATGCATGGATTCTTTCCATTGGAAGACTTCCATTCTTTTCCATTTCAGCAAAATATAATTTATTTTGTTGGGGATAGGCATCCTGTGTGTGTGTTGACTAGTTTAGTAGTTACAAGGGATGATGTTATTAAACAAATAGTAAAACTCAAGCCAAACAAATCCCCAGGGCCAGACTAAATGTTTGCCATTGTGCTTAAAAAATGCAAAGAATAGCTTTGCAAGCCGTTGTCCTCATATTTGTCCTCATATTTGATACATCATTAGAGTCAGGCAGAATGCCAGAGTCATGGAAGGTTGCTAATGTGGTTATCTTGAGGTTATCTTGAGATGATTTCGGGGCTTTTTAGTGTCCCCGCGGCCCGGTCCTAGACCAGGCCTCCACCCCCAGGAAGCAGCCCGTGACAGCTGACTAACACCCAGGTACCTATTTACTGCTAGGTAACAGGGGCATTCAGGGTGAAAGAAACTTTGCCCATTTGTTTCTGCCTCGTACGGGAATCGAACCCGCGCCACAGAATTACGAGTCCTGCGCGCTATCCACCAGGCTACGAGGCCCCTGATACCAATGGTACCAATTCTCAAGAAAGGAGATAGATCACTTGCGTCAAACTATCGGCCAATTAGCTTAACGTCCATTGTGGGAAAGTTACTTGAATCGATAATTCCAAATACCATTTGTCTTCATCTTGAAAAACATGAATTAATAAATGATTCACAAAATGGTTTTACAAATGGCCATTCATGTTTAACACATTTGCTATAATTTTATTCCAGCATAGTTGAGGCATTTAATAATGGTAAGGTTTGTGATGTTGTGTACCTTGACTTTTGCAAAGCTTTTGATACAGTGCCACATGAAGGACTGATTAAAATGATAGAGGCTCAAGTTATTGGGGGTGCTAACTTGGTTGGATTAGGGTGTGTGTGTGTGTGTGTGTAATTACCTAAGTGTAATTACCTAAGTGTAGTTACAGGATGAGAGCTACGCTCGTGGTGTCCCGTCTTCCCAGCACTCTGTCATATAACGCTTTGAAACTACTGACAGTCTTGGCCTCCACCACCTTCTCACTTAACTTGTTCCAACCGTCTACCACTCTACTTGCGAAGGTGAATTTTCTTATATTTCTTCGGCATCTGTGTTTAGCTAGTTTAAATCTATGACCTCTTGTTCTTGAAGTTCCAGGTCTCAGGAAGTCTTCCCTGTCGATTTTATCAATTCCTGTTACTATTTTGTACGTAGTAATCATATCATCTCTTTTTCTTCTGTCTTCTAGTTTTGGCATATTTAATGCTTCTAACCTCTCCTCATAGCTCTTGCCCTTCAGTTCTGGGAGCCACTTAGTAGCATGTCTTTGCACCTTTTCCAGTTTGTTGATGTGCTTCTTAAGATATGGGCACCACACAACAGCTGCATATTCTAGCTTTGGCCTAACAAAAGTCATGAACAATTTCTTTAGTATATCGCCATCCATGTATTTAAATGCAATTCTGAAGTTAGAAAGCATTGCATAGGCTCCTTGCACAATATTCTTTATGTGGTCCTCAGGTGATAGTTTTCTATCTAGAACCACTCCTAGATCTCTTTCTTTATCAGAATTCTTTAAAGATTTCTCACATAATATATAGGTTGTGTGGGGTCTATGTTCTCCTATTCCACATTCCATAACATGACATTTATTAACATTAAATTCCATTTGCCAAGTGGTGCTCCATATACTTATTTTGTCCAGGTCTTCTTGAAGGGCATGACAGTCATCTAAATTTCTTATCCTTCCTATTATCTTAGCATCATCAGCAAACATGTTCATATAATTCTGTATACCAACTGGTAGATCATTTATGTACACAATAAACATCACTGGTGCAAGAACTGAACCCTGTGGTACTCCACTTGTGACATTTCTCCATTCCGATACATTGCCTCTGATTACTGCCCTCATTTTTCTATCAGTCAGAAAATTTTTCATCCATGATAGAAGCTTACCTGTCACCCCTCCAATATTTTCCAGTTTCCAGAACAACCTCTTATGTGGAACTCTGTCGAAAGCCTTTTTTAGGTCCAGATAGATGCAGTCAACCCAACCATCTCTTTCCTGTAATATCTCTGTGGCTCGATCATAGAAACTGAGTAAATTCGATACACAGGATCTTCCAGATCGAAAACCATACTGTCTGTCTGATATTATATCATTTCTCTCCAGGTGTTCTACCCATTTAGTTTTGATTAGCTTTTCCAATACTTTCACTATTACACTTGTCAATGATACAGGTCTATACAGTGGTACCTCGGAATGCGATTGTCCCTGTATGCGAGGTTTTCGGAAGGCGAGGTGTATTTACTCCAAAAATTTGTCTCGGAAGGCGATGGTTACTTCGGGAGGCGAGTTTGGACGCGAGTTTGTTGATACGCGTACAGCCGACCTAGCGCGTTCGTCGCCCCTCCGCCCCGCCGCCCCTCAGTTTATTATTGTCTCGCGCTCAGTGACTACCCCCACATCAATTCTTCTCGCGGATTTTCAGTGTTTTGTTGGATTTTTGGTGATTTGTCTATACAATTTGTTATTATATATCTCACCATGGGTCCCAAGAAAGCCAGTGGTAAGGATAAAGGCCAGAAAGCTCATGTGAGGATGACAATAGAGGAGAAACAAGAGATCATTCGGAAGCATGAGAACGGTACACGTGTTGTTGAACTTTGTAGGCAGTACAACAAAGCCACATCAACAATATGCACTATACTTAAGAAGAAAAATAAGATTATGGGTGCTAAAGTGGCAAAAGGAGTAAGAACATTAACGGCACAAAGACCACAAATACTTGAAGAAGTGGAAAAGTTGTTATTAATTTGGATACACGACAAGGAGTTGAGGGGTGATAGTGTTTCGGAGGCCATTATTTGTGAGAAAGCCAGGGTGTTGCACGAAGACCTTCTAAAGAATACCCCTGCAACAAGTGATGCAGATAAGAAAGAGTTTAAGGCAAGCAGGGGCTGGTTTGAAAAATTTAGAAAGAGAAGTGGTATCCATAGTGTTACAAGGCATGGGGTTATGTGATGTGATTATGGAAGGGGACTCCCCTTCCAAACAGTAACTCCTCTCCTCCTCCCCCCTCCTCACCATCTTCCATACGCCTACAGCACTCGACAGCAAGGTAAGTAATAACTGGAACACAGTTTTGTAGGTTTATTTAGATGAATTAGGTATAAAAATTTAGTTTGATGTGGGGTTTTTGGGGTAGTCAGGAACGGATTAATTCATTTCCCTTTATTTCTTATGGGAAATTAACTTCGGAATGCGAGTTTTCGGAAGGCGAGGCGTCTCCAGGAACGGATTAAACTCTTATTCTGTGGTATGCCTGTAATTGAGGGGGTCTTTCCTGCTGCCACTTTTGTAGATTGGAACTATGTTAGCCTGTTTCCACACGTCTGCTACGATTCCTGTACACAGGGATGCCTGAAAGATCAGGTGAAGTGGAATGCTGAGCTCAGATGCACATTCTCTCAGAACCCATGGTGAAACGCAATCTGGGCCAGCTGCTTTGTTCTTCCCGAGCTCCTTTAGCATATTTTCCACTTCATCTCTAGACACACCTATCCGCTCTATGTTGTTCTCTGTAATTCTTATTGTGTCTGGTTCTCTGAAGATTTCATTTTGTACAAACACACTGGAACTTTTCATTTAATGTTTCACACATTTCCTTTTCATTTTCCGTGAATCTGTTTCCCATTTTCAACCTCTTGATATTATCCTTTACCTGCAATTTGTTGTTTATGAATTTGTAGAATAGGCCCGGTTCTGTTTTACATTTATCTGCTATCCCTTTTTCAAAATTTCTTTCTGCCTCTCTCCTTACTGCTGTATAGTTGTTTCTCGCATCTTTGTATCGCTGGTATGTTTGGGGGTTTGGCCTCTTCCTATACTGATTCCATTTTTGTGTCTTTTGGTCTCTTGCCCTCTCACAATTTCTGTCGAACCAATCCTGTTTTCTGGCCCTGCATCTCTGTTTTGGTATGAATGTTTGTGTGCCTTCCTCGTATAGTTTTAAAAATTTGGCATACATTTCATTTACTTCCCTGCCTAGCAACAATTCTGTCCAATTACACTCATTAAAAAAATTTCGAAGTTCCCCATAGTTGCCTCTCCTTAAATCGAGTTTATCAACTGTTTCAATGTCCCCATTTTCTTCTAGATGATATCTTAAAGCATATTTAATGTCTAACAGGACGTGATCACTCTTTCCCAAGGGAGGAAGGTACTGGATGTCAAAAATCTCTTCTTCTTTCCTGGTGAATACTAGATCCAGTACTGACGGTACATCTCCTTCCCTCATTCTTGTGGCTTGCTTTGTGTGTGTGTGTGTGTGTGTGTGTATATAATATATATATATATATATATATATTTATATATATATATATATATATATATATATATATATATATATATATATATATATATATATATATATATATATATATTACATTATATATATGTACGACATATATATATATATATATATATATATATATATATATATATATATATATATATATATATATATATAATGTCGTACCTAGTAGCCAGAACGCACTTCTCAGCCTACTATGCAAGGCCCGATTTGCCTAATAAGCCAAGTTTTCATGAATTAATATATTTTCTCTAATTTTTTTCTCATGAAATGATAAAGCTACCCATTTCATTATGTATGAGGTCAATTTATTTTTATTGGAGTTAAAATTAACGTAGATATATGACCGAACCTAACCAACCCAACCTATCTTTATAGGTTAGGTTAGGTAACCAAAAAAGTTAGGTTAGGTTAGGTTAGGTAGGTTAGGTAGTCGAAAAACAATTAATTCGTGAAAACTTGGCTTATTAGGCAAATCGGGCATTGCATAGTAGGCTGAGAAGTGCGTTCTGGCTACTAGGTATGACATATATATATATATATATATATATATATATATATATATATATATATATATATATATATATATATATATATATATATATATATATATATATATATATATATATATATATATATATATATATATATATATATATATATATATATATATATATATATATATATATATATATATATACAGTATATATATATATATATATATATATATATATATATATATATATATATATATATATATATATATATATATATAAATAATTTTATATTCGTATATAAATAATTCGAAAGTACATCCATGTTAGAAGGTACCTATCACCCCTCCAATTTCCAGTTTCCAGATCAACCTCTTATGTGGAATATGTATACAGTATATTCCACATAAGTGTGTGTATATATGTGTTTGCGTGTGTGCTACTGACCTCCTAAAGATGCAGCGCTCTTGGGTACCTATTTACTGCTATGCTAACAGAGGCATTAAGTGAACAGTAACATGCCCAACTATTTCTGTCCTACCTTGGATTTGAACCCAGTATTCCTGATGATATAGTTGAGACGAGAAGTCGAGAACTGTACCGTTGTTTCTGGATCTTAAGGTACTTAAATTTCTGTTTGAGTGGGAGTCTAGTATATTGTACAGTATTGTACAATGTTTAGTATAGATTAAACTTATCTAAACATGGATTTTTGTTACAGATTATTCCAGATCCAGTGATTTCCAGTGGAATGCAATGTGTAATTGGAGGTGTTAGTTCCCTTCTGATGTTTCCTTATAAAGTGCAGTATGATGACAAAGGTAAGAAAAGTAGTGTTTATGTAAACTTTTTTATAATTTCTGATTGTAATGTAAGAAATTCAGGTTGTCTCTTCATCTTCAGAAAGACATACAGTAGTTGCATTGGAGGAAGTTCAACGCCAGGCAACTTAAATCTAGTGTTAGTGGGCCGCTAGAGACTCCCCCTCCCAGGCGGGGGAAAGTCTCTAACGAGCGGGCCCACTGGTTGAGTGGATGTTTGCTGGTTTATTGTTTCCTCCTGGGGGGGAGGGGGGGGGGAGTTCTTGGGCTCTGTTCGGTCCTCGGTTGCAATGTTTTACCTGCTGGGGTTTGTAATAGTCCTTTCTTCCTGGGTGATACCCCCAGTCGATGGCAGACATGACTATACTCTCAAAGTGGAGTGTTCATAAGCCGTTGGTCCCTTCGCCTCTCTGAGGGAACCAGGGTCTGACTCGTGGTTCCCAGTAGGCTGAAGACTCCAATTAACTGATGCTCTAGACTAATATAATGGATATCAGTCCATTAGCTTCAGGGAGCCTCCGGAGCTCAACTCGGAAAATGGTGTTTCATTACATTCAATGCTGTTTTTTTTATAAATTGTTCTAGACAAACTTCTCCATCCTTAATTCACTCACATTGATACACACCTCTCTCCTCTCCTCTTCTATCCTACCTTCTTCCTCTTCTCCTCTCCTACCCTCTTCCATTTCTCCATTCCTACCCTCTTCCCCTTCTCCACCAACATCCCCCCACCCTCACTCCTCTCCTCCCTTATATCTCTCCCAATCTTCCCTCTTCTCCTCTCCTCCTTTCTCTTCCCCTTTCCTTTCTCTTCCCCTTTCCTTCCCCCCCCCTCTCTCTCCTTCCCAGCATACCCCCGCTCTTCTTTCCACTGTATGCCCAACTACTCAGAAGCTACAATGCTTGCTTTATTATATAGTGAATCTTATATTTGATTCTTATTTACAGAATATGAGTCAGAAATGAAAGGTAAAGTCAAAATGTATGAAGTGAAGTCTTACTCATGGCTGTGCAGTCGACAAGCAAGAAAATTGATAAATGAATCCATGGGAACATTTATTGCACTGCAAGCTGCTGTAAAACAAGCTGGGCCTGACAATCTTAAACCTGTGCTTGTAAAAAAATGCAGAGAATACAGGTGGGGAAATTTATATTATATTTTTGTTAAGGTATATAGCACTGAAATTGCAGGGAGTGCCTTAAGAGTATACTGTACCTAGCCAGCTTTTATTTTCAAATTAATGATAAGGTTTCTGCATTGTAAATTTGTGAGTTCATAAGCAAAATACTGTATAATAATTTATCACAGTAAAAAGATAAAAAAAAATAGATTTTTGTAAAAACAAAAAAAAAGCTGTACATTTGTATTCCTGTTTTATCTTTATAGATATTTACCATACAGTATTTCAATATATTAAAATATATATGAAAAGATCATGAAATTGTTTAGGTTTAGTTTGATCAAATGATGTAGGTGCTAGAATTTATTTCCACAGGTGAGCAGTAACTGGAGACTTCAATAAAACTTTTTTTTTTTTTTTTTTTTACATTCAGATCAATGATCCAAGCATGTGTTGAAGATATAAGCATGGCCCACGAGTGCGAAGAAGACCAAGGAGAAATGAAGGCTAGTGGACAGTTACTTTACAAGATGGAGCTCATTCTTAGTCTCATTGAAATTCTGTTTATTGACAAGAAACCAGGTAAAATAAATGATTACATTTTAATTGCTACACAAACACAATGCAGCAATGCTCTTACATGCACATGCACCCATAGCATTCATAGCTTCACAAATATGGATGAACACACACTCATGCAAGGACAAAAATGCTGGAGTTAAGTGATATAATACAGCTTAAGATGCCAGATACTGTCACACCGACAGACACAAAAGTGGAAGATGAAATTTTAAATGAGGTGGTATTCCCGAGGGACTGTGTTATTTGGAAATGCGACTGAAAAGTTGGACGTGTTGCTGCTTTGGTGAAGGAACAACTAAAGGTAAGGGAATTAATACTTTATCCCTTGAAAAGTTGACAATGGTGTTGGAGAGCTGCAGTCAGAATGATAAACTGATCATTACTGCATACAGGCCATCAGCAAGCAACACATAGACTAAGGAGGAGTTGACAAAATAGAGGGCCTTATAATGATCATGAGAGAGATTTTGTAAAAGCAGATAAAGATAAATCAAGATTGTTGATACTTGGTTACTTCAGTTTAAAATTGATAGACTGGAATCTCTATGACATAAGAACATGGGACTTTGGGATTGGCCGATTTGTAAACCTCATATTGGAGTCTTTCATGCACCAACATGTAAAACAGTGCACAAGAATGAGAGAATGTGATGTTTCATCATTGCTGGATTTGGTATTTTCCAGGAAAGAGAAGAGATATTTGATAGTTCCTTGCCTATAAAGGGCAAGAGCAACTATGCCCTTTTGGAAATCAAATGTGAAATCCAGTATAATTTAGAAGCGGTTGGAGAAAGGAAAATACTGTAGTGGAAAAACTTGACTTCAAGAGAAAATACTGTGGAGAACTTAGCAAGTTCTTTAATAAATTTGATTGGAAAGATTTATCATTAGGAAAGGAAGTAAATGAGATGTTTGACAAATTTTGTAAGATACAGTATATGATGAATGTACAAGGAAATTGATACTATTACAGAGATGCAGAACTAGAAAGCAGGACTGGTTCAACATAAAGTGAGAGAGCCAGAGAACAAAAGACAAAAAAATTTAAATTAATATAGGAAGAGGCCAAACCATCAAACCATACTAGAAAATAAAGAAGCCAGAAACAGCTACACAGCAGTTAGGAGAGAGGCAGAAAAAATTGAGAAAGTGATAGCAGACAACTATAAAACAGAACCAGGCCTATTCTATAAATTCATTAAAAGTAAATTGCAGGTAAAAGATAAAATTCAGAGGTTGAAAATGGGGAACAGATTCACTGCGAATGAAACGCAAGTGTTTGTGAAACACTAAACAAACAGTTTCAAAGTGTTTGTGCAAAGTGAAGTTTTCGAAAAACCACAGACAATACGGATTTCAGAGAACAGCATAGAGTACCGTACATAGATGTGTCTTGAAACAGTGTAAAAAATACTCGAGGAACTAAGCAGTTGACCCAGATGGGGTTTCACCTTGGGTTCTGAGAGAAAGCGCATCTAAGCTTAACATTCCACTGAAATTGATTTCTCAATCATCTTTGTGTTCAGGAGCCTTGGCAAATAATTGAAATAAGGCAAACATAGTTCCACTCTACAAAAATGGAAATATTACATACATTACATACATGGAAATACTACACAAATGCATATTCAAATACACATACTCAAGGCTGTATTGTACCTCTTTTCTAATGGTATAACCAATTTTTCAGGCATTATATAGTGCAATTCTTTTTTTCCCTTAAGGATTGTCTTTCTAGATGAAGCCACAAGAGTGCTGTTTCCAGACTATCTAAACTTTCAGTTTGATGTTTCTTTGGCATTTTCTGTGACTGCTATATAAACTTCTGGATTTGGCACCTTATTTTGATAAACACTGCTTTTGGAGTTATTAAAATAAACACCAGTCAAGGACAAGTCTTTATGACATGATGCTTCCCTGAAGAATTGTATCACCAATCAGACTGTCATCTGTCTTAATAGCTGGTCCTTGATTTGTGATCCATTTATGCATCCATGAGACCTTTCCTACACACAATACTTTATCCTTCCAGGTTTTTATATCATTAAAGTTACATGCCATAAAAATTGCATCTTTAGTATATGCATTGAAAAGTGTTCTTACTCATCTTTAAAATTTAATATTGTTGACATTTTGTACAATACAATGAAAAATACTGAGGAATTGTAATGTCATGTAACCTGAACTCACATTTCTGGCCAGGTGGACTGATATTAGGACAGCTGGTTTTGTGGATTCGCTCCCACTTTACGCAGTGTCTAGAGAATAAAAATGAAGCTATGGAAGCTGAACATCCACACCAGCACGCATCATTCTGGGAAGCTGTAAGTAATGCTTAGGGAATACATTTTGTTGGAACTAACTGCGGGAAAAGCATCTATGAGTCCACCACTTCTTCTAATGGACTTCTTTACTCTTGTATGTTAATATGTTTTGTACAATAGAATCTTACACATGTTAGACTTTCCAAGATGACACTTATGTGGCCTTTCTTTGCATGTTAGTTTTCTTTGTTTAACATCATCTAATTTTCATGAAACACTCATATTGCCTGCATTCTTTGTGATGTTTATCACATCTTTTGAAGTTATATTTCTTTGTTATAAGGATCATATAAGGACCCCAATAGTTTTCAAAATGTGAAAACAATATTTCAAAGGAATTGCAAATTAACAATGATTACATTTATATGATGCAGCACTCAAATTAAAAATGCAGTGTGTGCGATCAAAAAAAGGTTATTGACTTAATGTAGTCTACAAACACTAAGAATTGCAATTACAAAACTATCAGAATCCCATATGTCATGTCCTATGACATAACTCACTCAAAGGATATTGAATCAATCTTCCCATGCTGTGTGTGGTGGATAAGATGGCAATCTTTGTTACATTGTGTGGCACCACAAACATGTTCCACAAGGTTAAGCAGTCAGCCAGCGTTTATGTAAAACCTTAGTTTTCCTTTATGTACCATGGTACTGAATATTGAATGCGAGAGTGTCTCATTACATTAATTTATTAGGTAAAAAAAAACTTTCCTTGGAATGCTTAATTGTATCTGCTCCATGAAATAAGGCATTTGTCTGTTACTGTAAAGGGTATATACTAGTACAGTACTTCATTTCATGGCACTTTACATTTTATATTTCTACTTCCTCTCCATATATGAAAAACTGAAACACAATTATGGCATAAGTCTGTGGTGCTTTGATTTTAAATTAAGACAATTCAAATCTCTTTGCCATGTCTTATTTCTAGTTTTAATAACTAAGCTTTCTCCTATTTCTCCATAATTTTACATATCACACATGCCTTTCTTCTAATATTGTTTTAACTAGTGTTTCTTTTTAGTCACCTTGTAACCTTAGGTTATTATACTGATTCAGTACTATTAAACAGGCTTTCCCATGTATTTAAATTTCATGAGCATATTACAATGGTTCTTTAAGCCTGAGATGGCAGCTATAGAGAAATGATCATACCCGCCTTTGCACCAAAAAAAAATCATTATAGAATTATTAATTTGTATGCAGAATGTAAGAAAACAAAAAAATAAGTGAATATTTATAATTTCACTGCATGGAGTCAGACTACAAGACAGCGTTTGGCACTTGTCAACGCCTGGTGCTCGACTATGCTGACACTTCCTGTTTTATCCTCGGATGTTTCACTGATTGTTTTATCATTTCTTTTTCTTTATTTACATCCACAGAGAACTTTTATATCCATATTTACATCATACATGTAAAAAAAAATTATTGACAAACAATAAATGTTTAAATCATCATATGATGATGACCGCATTCCCCTAGTAACATTCATGATGATGACCGCATTCCCCTAGTAACATTCATGATGATAACCGCATTTGTACTGTACCATGAAATGGTAGCAGGATTTTCTTAATGGGTCAAGGTAAATTTCACTACATCCACATAGACCCATTATGTCCACATGTAAAACCCAGACAATAATTTGTTAAATCTTCATATGACAATAACTCCATTACCCTGTGAATCAACAATTGACGATAACCGCTGTCTAAGGGTTAACTGGATGGCATCAGCTGCCCACAGGGGAAGTTAAAGATGGTGTTTTCTCAGTTGATGGTTATTTGCAATCACACTGCAGTAGTAGCAACATTTGCAGTAGTAGCAACATTTAGTGATCTGCATTTGCTCTACCTTAACATTACCCCTTGGGCAGATAATTTTTTTTAATTCATCTATCATAATTGTATTTTCCTGTCGTTATTTGTCTTCTCCTTTCTCAGTTTTATGCTTACTGAGACACTTCTCATTTTTTGTGTATTCTTAACCCAAGATCCAACCGGATCCCGTAGAAGTCGATATTCTCAGTCAGGGAAGGGTGACATTCTGTACTGACTTACCAGATATTTTTTTCAAATCTCCCTGCCAAGGCTGCTCAGGTGTTCCAGTGTCTCAATGTGAGGACTGGTGCCTCTCATGACCTTGTTGTCCAGTAGAACGCTGCTATCTTGTAACGGTAAGGGGGGGAGTAGTACAAGTTGGTAGCAGATCAATAATGGCCTTTCTTTTGAATCTTTGTACTGTATAGCTTGCAAGGGGATTTGAATTTATTGATTTGTTCTTTTGTATTACAGTAAGAAAGCCTTTGGTGCTGTACTGTATTGAGAATCTTCCAGTGTTTTCTTTCCTTAAATTATGTGACATGACCATTAGTAACAATGCTTCCCCACAGGTGGTTAAAGTTGACAGAACTCTGGCATTTCTGGCACTGTATTCACCTATTTGTGCCTACAAGATTACTGTATACAGTATTAGCTTTTAGACCTCCTTTCCAGCTTTATATTTTCTAGTGTACTCGCTCCCTACCTATTTTCTGTCATACCTACTATATGTGATAGATGGATCTTGTGTTTGTTCCAGGAAGCTAATTATGTTAGGGTGGGGGGGAGGGCCACTCAACAAATTCTTTTTCACTTCATGCAAATGCCTATGTTTAACTTTATTTTTTCACCTGAATTTGTATGTGTCATTTTAGGTATATGGACTGGTACTTCAGGGACGAATGGAAGATACTCGTCATATGTTGGCAAATCATCCAAGTGCTGACAGTGATCCTTTCCTCTCGATGGATGAACTTCTGAGAAAGATGCCAGTCTATCAGGTATACCGGTTGTCCCAATTTTCATCTATAACTTGATTATTACAATACATCATCCATTTTCGACTTAGGAATAAATTATCTGTATGTTGAATCTTCAAAGATGTGTTGAAGTATGTGAGAGATAATTGTGATAAACCCACCAACTTTTTATCATTTCCCATACACATGGTGTGACTTCGTGATATTATTTTTTGTTTCATGTATTAATAAATATGTAGCTTTTCTTCTTTAATTTGATGAATTAGCTTGGATAAGTTCATGCTGTAGAAATAAATGTAAATACTGTACTGTATAGTAATGTTGTGATAAGATTAATGGCATGGGAGGGAGCATGATAAAATCACTGGCATAAAAGGAAGGGGTGATAAGATCACCAGCACAGGTGGGAGGACCAGAAGTTCACTGGCATGGGAGGGAGGAACTACAAGATCACTGGCATGGGAGGGAGGAACTGCAAGATCACTGGCATGAAAAAGAGGGTTACATGATCACTGGCTTGGGAGGGATGGGGGTGCTGGCTGTATTATCATCGCCACTCACTCTCTCCTCAGCATTACGGGCTATTCATGCCCGTTCCACCTCTTGGGTGGCTTAATCTTCATCAATCAATCACCACCTCAGCAAGCAACACCAACTTCACATATACATACATATGTAAATGTGTGTGTATATGTATGTATGTATGTATATATATATATATATATATATATATATATATATATATATATATATATATACACACACACACACACACACACACACACACACACACACACACACACACACACACACACACACACACACACACACACACACACACACACAAAACAAAATTTGTACAATTTGTACAAAATGAAATCTTTAGGGAACCAGATACAATAAGAATTCCAGAGAACAACATAGAACACATAGAGGTGTCTAGAGACGAAGTGGAAAAAATGCTCAAGGAGCTCGGTAAGAACAAAGCAGCTGGCCCAGATGGCGTTTCACCATGGGTTCTGAGAGAATGTGCATCTGAGCTCAGCATTCCACTTCACCTGATCTTTCAGGCATCCCTGTGTACAGGAATCGTAGCAGACGGGTGGAAACAGGCTAACATAGTTCCAATCTACAAAAGTGGCAGCAGGGAAGACCCCCTCAATTATAGACCTGTATCATTGACAAGTGTAATAGTGAAAGTATTGGAAAAACTAATCAAAACTAAATGGGTAGAACACCTAGAGAGAAATGATATAATATCAGACAGACAGTATGGTTTTCGATCTGGAAGATCCTGTGTATCGAATTTACTCAGTTTCTATGATCGAGCCACAGAGATATTACAGGAAAGAGATGGTTGGGTTGACTGCATCTATCTGGACCTAAAAAAGGCTTTCGACAGAGTTCCACATAAGAGGTTGTTCTGGAAACTGGAAAATATTAGAGGGGTGACAGGTAAGCTTCTATCATGGATGAAAAATTTTCTGACTGATAGAAAAATGAGGGCAGTAATCAGAGGCAATGTATCAGAATGGAGAAATGTCACAAGTGGAGTACCACAGGGTTCAGTTCTTGCACCAGTGATGTTTATTGTGTACATAAATGATCTACCAGTTGGTATACAGAATTATATGAACATGTTTGCTGATGATGCTAAGATAATAGGAAGGATAAGAAATTTAGATGACTGTCATGCCCTTCAAGAAGACCTGGACAAAATAAGTATATGGAGCACCACTTGGCAAATGGAATTTAATGTTAATAAATGTCATGTTATGGAATGTGGAATAGGAGAACATAGACCCCACACAACCTATATATTATGTGAGAAATCTTTAAAGAATTCTGATAAAGAAAGAGATCTAGGAGTGGTTCAAGATAGAAAACTATCACCTGAGGACCACATAAAGAATATTGTGCAAGGAGCCTATGCTATGCTTTCTAACTTCAGAATTGCATTTAAATACATGGATGGCGATATACTAAAGAAATTGTTCATGACTTTTGTTAGGCCAAAGCTAGAATATGCAGCTGTTGTGTGGTGCCCATATCTTAAGAAGCACATCAACAAACTGGAAAAGGTGCAAAGACATGCTACTAAGTGGCTCCCAGAACTGAAGGGCAAGAGCTACGAGGAGAGGTTAGAAGCATTAATATGCCAAAACTAGAAGACAGAAGAAAAAGAGGTGATATGATCACTACATACAAAATAGTAACAGGAATTGATAAAATCGACAAGGAAGACTTCCTGAGACCTGGAATTTCAAGAACAAGAGGTCATAGATTTAAACTAGCTAAACACAGATGCCGAAGAAATATAAGAAAATTCACCTTCGCAAATAGAGTGGTAGACGGTTGGAACAAGTTAAGTGAGAAGGTGGTGGAGGCCAAGACCGTCAGTAGTTTCAAAGCGTTATATGACAAAGAGTGCTGGGAAGACGGGACACCACGAGCGTAGCTCTCATCCTGTAACTACACTTAGGTAATTACACTTAGGTAATTACACACACACACACACAAATTTATGTATATTTGCCTTATTGTGCTTGTCAGGGTTGAGCTTCAGCTTTTTGGTCCTACCTCTCAATTGTCAATCAATTGGTGTACAGGCTCTATTATATTTACATTTGAAACTGTGTATGGAATCTGCCTCCACCACATCACTTTGTAGTGTATTCCAGTTATTGACTTCTGGCAATGAAAATATTCTTTGTAATGTCTCTGTGGCTCATTTGGGTACTCAGTTTCCACCTGTATCCCTCTTGTGCAAGTACCACCCATGCTAGTCTGTCATTATCTACCCTATCAATTTCCCTGAGAATTTTGTATGTTTTAATCAGGTCTCAAGTTGTAGGTAATCTAATCAGGGGGTCCTGACAGCTGAGTGGACAGCACTTTGGATTCGTAGGCCTGAGGTTTCGGGTTTGATTCCCAGTGGAGGCGTAAACAAAATGGGCATAGTTTCTTTCACCTTGATGTTCCTGTTCACCTAGCAGTAGATAGGTACCTGGGAGTTAGACAGCTGCTATGGGCTGGTTGATACCTGGTTGATGGGGTTCTGGGAGTTCTTCTACTCCCCAAGCCCGGCCCGAGGCCAGGCTTGACTTTTGAGAGTTTGGTCCACTAGGCTGTTGCTTGGAGCGGCCTGTAGGGCCACATACCCACCACAGCCCGGTTGGTCCGGCACTCCTTGGAGGAATAAATCTAGTTTCCTTTTGAAAATGTCCACGGTTGTTCCGGCAATATTTCTTATGCTTGCTTCCTGGGGGTGGGGGTGTGTGTAATAAAATGGAGGCCTGGTCGAAAATCAGGCCGTGGGGACGCTTAGCCCCAAAATCATCTCAAGATAACCTCCCCTAACTCTTATGTCGTCAAACAGAGCCATCTTACTGCATGGGCCAATAGGCACTTGCCCGGGAACCAACGAGCATAGGACATATTTATTATGTAAGCAGATTGTTTAAATATTTAGGTCTTGTTGTAAGCACACACATAATATAACCCTAAATCCTGGTATGGGGCTAAATACTAAGTATTTAAGATATATATTTCCAGGTGAATAGCCCTTTCAACAAGCTGTGATGAGGGTTCGAACTTACACCTAGGATGTTCGACAGGATGTTGACTGTCAGGTTGTTGACTCTGTCAGGTTGACTGAGCCCGGGTGCATGGGGGAATTGTGTAAAACCCTGGTTTGTTTCTCGGAGAGGCTGCAGAATCCGTATGAAGGCAGTAGCACTCCCAGTTGCAATTCTTTTAACCATGTCATGGCATAATCAACTAAGGCACGTATGGGTTCATCCTGGGCAGAAGTTCGAACCCTCATCACGGCCCTTGTGGATTTGTTTACTTATTACACATGCTCTAATTCTTGTATATAAACTCATTACTGCATTTAATAGCATTTTATTAACTCCATGCATGTTAATCACTCTCTGTCCCTTTCCATTTATTCAATACTGTATTATCCCATTTTCCACTTTCATTGGGTGAAGAGAGAGAGAAAAGGGCAATAATATAGTAAAAGTGGGTTTCCCCCTCCTCTCTTTTCCTTTGCTTAGGCATGTCTTGTTAAAACCAGCATGCATATGGAATCTTTATGGGTATTTAGGTGACCATAGTGGTGCTGTCTCGTGGTGGTGGTGGGAAATAGCATGCTTCGGCAGGGATTGGTGGTTATATGGATCAGAAGCTACCATTGGCAAGCACAAACATTTTATCTATGCTGGATTGATACTTTCTACAGATACTCCTAGACAGTTTCACATGTTGAGACGGATTAAGACAGGAGGACAGCTTGAGGCTTCAAGAAGACCTGGACAAGCTGCAGGAATGGTCGAACAAATGGTTGTTAGAGTTTAACCCAAGCAAATGTAATGTAATGAAGATAGGGATAGGAAGCAGGAGACCAGATACAAGGTATCATTTGGGAGATGAAATACTTCAAGAGTCAGAGAGAGAAAGACCTGAGGGTTGATGTCACGCCAGACCTGTCCCCTGAAGCTCGTATCAAAAGGATAACATCAGCAGCATATGCCAGGTTGGCTAACATAAGAATGGCCTTTAGAAACTTGTGTAAGGAATCTTTCAGAACATTATATACCACATATGTCAGACCAATCCTGGAGTATGCGGCTCCAGCATGGAGTCCATATCTAGTCAAGCATAAGACTAAACTGGAAAAAGTTCAAAGGTTTGCCACCAGACTAATACCCGAGCTGAGAGGTATGAGCTACGAGGAGAGACTACGGGAATTAAACCTCACTTCATTGGGAGACAGAAGAGTCAGGGGGGACATGATCACCACATTCAAGATTCTCAAGGGAATCGACAGGGTAGATAAAGACAGGCTATTTAACACAAGGGGGCACACGCACTAGGGGACACAGGTGGAAACTGAGTGCCCAAATGAGCCACAGAGGTATTAGAAAGAACTTTTTTAGTGTCAGAGTGGTTGACAAATGGAATGCATTAGGAAGTGATGTGGTGGAGGCTGACTCCATACACAGTTTCAAGTGTAGATATGATAGGCTCAGATCTGTACACCAATAGGCTCAGGAATCTGTACACCTGTTGAGAGGCGGGACCAAAGAGCCAGAGCTCAACCCCCGCAAGCACAACTAGGTGAGTACACGACTGAGCAAGGATACTATGATCCCCTTCTGACTGAACACAATTGTATTGTGCAACATTTCATTAGCCCTTGGGGAGCAGCAGAATAACTTGCTCAGAAATAAACGTTTTGATTATTGTTTATACTTGTTTCTAACAGGTGTATGGAGGCGTTTCAGTTGCAGAGTTCACAGTACGCTGGCAACACTGGCAAGATGAATGTGAACGACGCTTGCAAGAAGGACACTTTACTACTTGCCATCATTTGCAAACAGTTTGTAAGGTAATATGTTCTCTTATGAGCTGTCTTCTTTAATTAAAGTGTACTGAATATCAGTACAGAAATGTTGACAGCTGTGTAAAAATATAATTCTAAGTCAGTAAGTATATCAGTGGGAAAGTTAAACCTGGTGCTTCAAGGTTAATTAAAACTAGTATTAATCAAGTTAGAAGAATTAAAAATACAGAATATTGAAGGACCAAGCAAATGTAGAGAAGTCAATTGTGTAATCTTGAAAAGGTGTATGGTGGTGGTGGTGGTATTCAATACCAGTAACGGTAACTGTGAACAGTATGTTGCTCATCTTTACTCGACAATTTAGTTGGAATCACCAACTTTCTCAGGAGTAACACAAATATATAACAAATGCACCATGTATGGTATACTGTATTCACATCCCAGATCGTGAACAATCAATATTTACCTGGTAGTTCACTGGTTACTTAACACTTTTGCATTCTGATGCCGGTCTCAACGTCATAAAACCAAAATACGCAGAGGTCATGATGACTGTAACGCCGTCATCAATTAATAAATTTGTAAAGATTCCATTTATTGCCTGCATATTATGGGACTGGTTTTTAAATCCACAACATGATATTACGAGCAATTTGATACCAAAATAAATGATGTAGCACAAAAATTGAGGTGAGAAAGCTGAAATTGATGTGAGTATAAACATTCGAGTGTGGTTTGTGTGTTCACGGCCAACACTCAGCCTACTGCGCAGATTAATAAATTTGTAAAAAATTCTATTCATTGTCCGAATATTATGGGATTGGTTTTAAAACGCGCGCAGTGATATTTCGAAGAATGTGATATCAAAATGAATGACGTAGCATGAAAACTGAGGTAAGAAAGCTGAAAAGAGAATAAACATTTGTATGTTGTGTGTGTGCTCATGGCCAATGCTCGGCCTACCTTGCGGTGTGCGGCAGGTTGCCTGCCAGGCACTCGAAAGTGTTAACTACTTAAAAAATGTAAGCTCTCATAGCCTGAAATTTCCTTTCACCAAGAGTGCTTGAAGGTTGTCAGTTTGGTAGTGACATTTTATAAAATATCTCTTCATGCCACCAAATAGTGACAATGCACAACCCATTAAGAGTCAAATGTGAGTTGTATAGTGTTAGTAATGACCTGAACTATTTTATCTTGTATAATTAAGTAGTCATATTATTTTGAAAACAACCCAGATACAGTATATGGTTTGAGAAGCTTGTCATTTAACTCTGAATTAACCTTCCTTATTCCATATCTAAATTATTATATACAATTCTGTATGTAAGATTTATATTTTGATTATCACATAAGATGAAATTTTATCCAATGTCCATGGTCATGTGACGATTTGAAGGAGGCAGACATTGATGGAACTATAGTTTATGAAGGGAATGAAATTGCAAGAATTAGTGTTGTTATTTCCAGCAACACTATTTCTAGTGTCGTTGTTCCTGGAAGTATGGTTCACATTGTCTGCAGTGGAAGTAGAGGTATTGATTTTGATAGAAGAATTGCCACATTATACTGTACACACTAAACAATGAAATGGAATGAGGGATACATTCTCCTTTGTCCAACGAATTCTATGTAGAAAAGTGCATCAGAGTATAAATAGCAGATCGAGTCAAGTTATTCAAATTAGTACATTACATTAATCTCATTTATAATGGAATATTTTGTTACAATAATTATTTTTGTTTCAGATACTTTGTGGAGACCTAAACACTATTAACAACTTGAGTGATCTGATGGACACTTGGTATCATTTAATGGTATCTTCCTTACTGTTCACTTGTCCAACAGTGAAACTTTTTCGTTTAAGCAGTGCTGCGCAGGATGCCATTGCATGCACTGGTGGAGAACAGAGAACAACACCATTAGATAATGTATTGCTTGCTGCCATGGAAGGTGATTCTCATCAGGTAACATAAATTTCCAGTTACATGTGTTGTAGCCGAGGGATATGTTGTATTGGTCTCATCTCAGAAAAATTAGATTTCTGTAAATTATGTGTAAAATACTTCAGCACATATTTAAGTGCCTGATGAAGGTGAAAGGATTTTTATTTAACTACACATTCATAAATGTTTTAAAGATCAGTTTCATAATTTTTTCAAGTTGAATCTTGAGTTAAATGTTTATGCAAAAAGTAGATATGATTCACTAACCATTTCTTTCCCCCCCTCAAAGTTTTGAGTTAAATTTTGGTAGAATGTAATTTACCTCTTGCTTGACTGCAAGCAAGTCATCTTGCTTGCAGTCAAGATGCATCTAAATTATTGACTGCTCCCCAAAACATGCCTAGGTCCCCCTGGATCTATATGCCAGACTCTACTCAACTTATTTTTTCCAACCATGACTTTATTCAGACAATAGTATTTTAAAATATTGAAAAATTTCCTTATTTCATTGTTATGATACTTGTGTGTTCCAGGTAATCAAAGAATGCCAGCAAGTCTTTGACAATACTTGGTTTACTGCTCATGTCACTGACTTGTTGAATCACACTATGGAGCAGAAAACAGATGAAAAGTAAGATTTAAATTACGGTATGGAAGTGTACAAAGTGAAGTATGAGATATGAAATGCTAATTTGTATTATTCGAATACAATTTTACAACTAAAATTTATTAGCTCCTAATATTAAACAAAATATACATTTAAACACAAGGGAAGATGATTATAAAATATCTCATTTTAATTATTGGCCTTTATGTTCTATTCTTGTTTCCATATGTACTTGCAACAGATTCTTGCCAGAGTTGAGGGAATCCCTTCTGCTGGACTATGCCAGCGAGTTGGTGAGCCACTCTAGTTTGTGGCAGGTTGGGATCTTATACTTGGACCACTGTGGGCCCTCAGGTATTGCCATGTCACAAATGGTGCTTCAGAGGCTCCCTCTCACTGATGACTTGCGTGCACATAAAATTATACAGATGGCCAGCGACAGAAATTTTGACAATGTTGGTAAGTTCTGTAGTACTGTATATTGTAACTTGAGAGGTAAATCAGCATATGGCACAGTATTGCTTAGGTAAGCTAGGCACTGCTTTTTTGTATTTTTAACACTAAAAAAATTTAATTTTGTCCAAATTTATGGAGTAATTAAATTGCCCTTGCCTTCAGTGGAAAAATAATCTTAGGAACTTGATATGTTGCAAATTATATTGTACTTCTTAATTCATAAACACAGACAATAAATATTTATAGATATTTTGTTAAAAATTACAGTAATATTATAATGAAACTTAGGCTAAGACCTGCTTCTGTCGAATATTTGCTTCCCATTCTTGTAAGAGGATACTTGTAAATTGTCCATAATAAGCATCACATATTATGTAATGAATGGGAAAGGAAGGGAACTACCAAGAGAAAGCACCAAGCCATTGCGACTATATAGCACTTGGAAAGGGTCAAGATAAGGATTTTGGATGGGAAGTAGACAACCAAGCAGACTTGCTTGGTTGTCCTGGTCCTTCCCTTCTTCTCGGTCTCCCTGGTCTGCAAAATTTTCTTTCATTGATATTAATGTGAGGAAAATTATGTTGTGGTTCGAATGCAGCTGTCTAATGACAAGTCGGTGACACTCAATCAAACTAGTCAAATTCAAATAAGTTTATTGAGGTATAAATACACAGCTCTACCGTGTATATTTACACACACTTTGTGTTGTATTTATACAACCCATTTAACCCAGCCCGTAAAGGGATGAGGTAGCTCAAGCTGTTCTCACCCCGTTCATTACAATGTGTTCATATATATATATATATATATATATATATATATATATATATATATATATATATATATGTATATATATATATATATATATATATATATATATATATATATATATATATATATATATATGTGTATATATGTATATATATATATATATGTATATATATATATATATGTATATATATATATATATATATATATATACAGTGCTTCCTCAGACTAACGAACCCCGCTCTATCGAATTCCCGGAAGAGCCGAACAAATTGAATTCGGTACCAAATGTTCAGTGGAACATACAAATGTTCGATTAAGTGAGGAATGTTCGTCCAAGCGGTCACCGAGGCCGAGCGTCAGAGCTGGCTGTCATCAACTATGATTCGCCAGAGTGTAAACAGTTATGTAGTGTTTTATTATCCCTACCCATTGTTTCTAGGGAGAAATGGTGATAAAAATGGTGATAAAATGGTGTCAGGGGGGCATTGGTGAGAGAGTTGTTGTCAGGAGGCAACACGTGCTCCCCCGCCCCCACCCTCCTTCCTCCACCTGACCACAGAGACCACTCATTCTCCTCTCGTCGTCAGATGCCAAGAGTCAATTTAATGATAATTATCGCATTATCTACACTGAAAATAGCCTTTTTATTAGAAAAATGTCATATTGGAGCAATAATAATGGTGAAAACTGTAATATATACAGTACATATTTTAAACCGTTTGAACACATTTCCTTTTCACAGAATTTTTAATACAATTGGGGTGTAGATAACAGCCGGCATTGTGTGGCCGGCCGGTCGCTCCCTGAGCCATTGGAGGGGTGGGGGGTGGGAGGGGGGGGTTGTTTCCTGGATCCCTCCCTCCCTCCAGGGAGGTGTCAGGGGAGGCAGGCGGTGTCAGGGGAGGCAGGCGGTGTCAGGGGAAGCAGGCGGTGTCAGGGGAGGCAGGCGGTGTCAGGGGAGGCAGGCGGTGTCAGGGGAGGCAGGCGGTGTCAGGGGAGGCAGGCGGTGTCAGGGGAGGCAGGTGGTGTCAGGGGAGGCAGGCGGTGTCAGAGGAGGCAGGCGGTGTCATGGGAGGCAGGTGGGGTCAGGGGAGGCAGGTGGTGTCAGGGGAGGCAGGCGGTGTCAGGGGAGGCAGGTGGGGTCAGGGGAGGCAAGTGGTGTCAGGGGAGGCAGGTGGGGTCAGGGGAGGCAGGTGGGGTCAGGGGAGGCAGGTGGTGTCAGGGGAGGCAGGTGGTGTCAGAGGAGGCAGGTGGTGTCAGGGGAGGCAGGTGGGGTCAAGGGAGGCAGGTGGGGTCAGGGGAGGCAGGTGGGGTCAGGGGAGGCAGGTGGTGTCAGGGGAGGCAGGTGGGGTCAAGGGAGGCAGGTGGGGTCAGGGGAGGCAGGTGGGGTCAGGGGAGGCAGGCAGTGTCATGGGAGGCAGGTGGGGTCAGGGGAGGCAGGTGGTGTCAGGGGAGGCAGGTGGTGTCAGGGGAGGCAGGTGGGGTCAAGGGAGGCAGGTGGGGTCAGGGGAGGCAGGTGGGGTCAGGGGAGGCAGGCGGTGTCAGGGGAGGCAGGTGGGGTCAGGGGAGGCAGGTGGTGTCAGGGGAGGCAGGTGGGGTCAGGGGAGGCAGGTGGGGTCAGGGGAGGCAGGTGGGGTCAGGGGAGGCAGGTGGTGTCAGGGGAGGCAGGAGGGGTCAGGGTAGGCAGGTGGGGTCAGGGTAGGCAGGTGGGGTCAGGGGAGGCAGGTGGGGTCAGGGGAGGCAGGTGGGGTCAGGGGAGGCAGGTGGGGTCAGGGGAGGCAGGTGGGGTCTGGGGAGGCAGGTGGGGTCAGGGGAGGCAAGCGGTGTCAGGGGAGGAAGGTGGTGGAAAGAGGCAGGTGGGGTCAGTGGTGGAAGGTGTTGTCAGGGGAGGTGGAAGTGGAGAGAGAAGGGTGGTGACCACGCATGGCTGCCAAACCTCTCATTCATACTCTATTATAAATCTCAATCTTAGCTGTAAAATATTTATGCCAAAATATGTTAATTTTCGTGTATTAATATACATTATTAATCATTAACACGTTTTATTGTTTCCTGAAGAAATCAATAGCTGACTTGGCATTGTGGTGTGTATGGCCAGGTACCGGGGGGGTGGGGGGGGGGGGGTCCTGGAGGTGTGAGAGGAGACCTGTCAACCCATCATTTTTTTTTTTTTTGTCGGACGAGTTGAGACGCTTCCAAGCCTGCTGCTTCAATACACGGTGTGGGTGGTGTGGTATGGTTTGGGTGGTGTGGTTTGGGTGTGGGTGGGTTGGTGTGGGTGGTGTGGTTTGGGTGTGGGTGGGTTGGTGTGGGTGGTGTGGTTGGGTGTGGGGGGATGATGTGGGTGGTGTGGGGTGTGTGGGGGATGATGTGGGTGGTGGTGTGGGGTGTGTGGGTGGTGGTGTGGGGTGTGTGGGTGGTGGTGTGGGGAGTGTGGGTGGTGGGGGCGAATAGTGTTAGTGGTGTTGGGGATGGTGTGGGGGTGTGGGGGATGGTGTGGGTGGTGTGGGGGATGGTGTGGGGGAAGGTGTGGATGGTGTGGGGGATGATGTGGGTGGTGTGGGGTGTGTGGGTGGTGGTGTGGGGAGTATGGGTGGTGGGGGCGAATGGTGTTAGTGGTGTTGGGGATGGTGTGGGTGGGGGAAGGTGTGGGTGGTGTAGAGGATGGTGTGGGTGGTGTGGAGGATGGTGTGGGTGGTGTGGAGGATGGTGTGGGTGGTGTAGAGGATGGTGTGGGTGGTGTAGAGGATGGTGTGGGTGGTGTGGGGGATGGTGTGGGTGGTGTGGGGGATGGTGTGGGTGATGGTGTGGGTGGTGTGGGGGATGGTGTGGGTGGTGTGGGGGATGGTGTGGGTGGTGTGGGGGATGGTGTGGGTGGTGTGGGGGGATGGTGTGGGTGGTGTGGGGGATGGTGTGGGTGGTGTGGAGGATGGTGTGGGTGGTGTGGGGGATGGTGTGGGTGGTGTGGGGGATGGTGTGGGGGATGGTGTGGGTGGTGTGGGGGATGGTGTGGGTGGTGTGGGGGATGGTGTGGGTGGTGTGGGGGATGGTGTGGGTGATGGTGTGGGTGGTGTGGGGGATGGTGTGGGTGGTGTGGAGGATGGTGTGGGTGGTGTGGGGGATGGTGTGGGGGATGGTGTGGGTGGTGTGGGTGGTGTGGGGGATGGTGTGGGTGGTGTGGGGGATGGTGTGGAGGATGGTGTGGGTGGTGTGGAGGATGGTGTGGGTGGTGTGGAGGATGGTGTGGAGGATGGTGTGAGTGGGGTGGGGGATGGTGATTCTCGCATCTCAGATTATTGACACCAATAGAGCATGAAAGATATTATAATGAAGCACCACACAACAAAGAAACAAACTAATGTGTCCTGGCATATGTTTAAAAAAAAAAAAAAATAAGAAGGTTGTTGGGGCCGGACGGATGGAACGAATTCCGCACTGGAACGAATCGGCTTCGCCCCATATAGTTCGTTCAAGTGAGGACACACTGTATATATATATATATATATATATATATATATATATATATATATATATATATATATATGGTATGTGACGGTAACGCGTTGGTGTTCGGCTGTTCAAAGCTAGGGGTATGGCCTCGTCACATAGAATAAAAAAAAAATAGAAAATCTGGAACTTCGTCTGTGGTAAGGTAAGGAGAAGACACACAAAACACAAGTAAATTTTAACAATGGAATTTTAATTACGTTAAATAAACAAAACATGAATAAAATGGACATACAAATTCATATAATAAAATCAATCAATCAAAATAATAAGAATAATTAAATGACAAAATGAAAAGTTACGTTAAGACAAGTGAGCAATAACAAGCTGTGCAATATACAATAAAATGAGAGGTGCAGGAATATTGGCTTTAAGCTATCACCTCTCTTAGTACACGTAAGCCAAAGCTTAGTCTACCAGGAAGAAGTGTTAACCGTATGAAAGCACTGAATATTCTGAAGACTGAGGTCGTGGCGGCCCCAGACATCAAGTAGTATGGTGGGTGGAGTGCAGTTGCAGCCAGACCGGCGGCCAATCAGCGAGGAGCCGGCAACAAGACAGGTAGTTTGGCGGTTTGAGGTGAAGCAGGTGTTCCTGGCTGCATACGTTTTGCTCTTTGGCAAACCTTGGAGGTGTTGTTGTCGTTGTTGGACATTTCTTCCATAGTAGTTTTATATAGATGTATCGACGTATTTTTGGAGGGAAAAGCAGGCTCAATCTCTTGAAGGAGATTATCGTCACAATATATATATATATATATATATATATATATATATATATATATATATATATATATATGTATGTCGTACCTAGTAGCCAGAACACACTTCTCGGCCTACTATTCAAGGCCCGATTTGCCTAATAAGCCAAGTTTTCCTTAAATAATATATTTTCTCTAATTTTGTTCTTATGAAATGATAAACCTACCCATTTCATTATGTATGAGGTCAATTTTTTTTTATTAGAGTTAAAATTAACGTAGATATATGACCGAACCTAACCAACCCTACCTAACCTAACCTAACCTATCTTTATTGGTTAGGTTAGGTTAGGTAGCGGAAAAAGTTAGGTTAGGTTAGGTTAGGTAGGTTAGGTTGCCGAAAAACAATTAATTCATGAAAACTTGGCTTATTAGGCAAATCGGGCCTTGAATAGTAGGCTGAGAAGTGCGTTCTGGCTACTATATAAAATATATATATCTATCTATCTATCTATCTATCTATCTATCTATCTATCTATCTATCTATCTATCTATCTATATATATATATATATATATATATATATATATATATATATATATATATATATATGTCGTACCTAGTAGTCAGAACGCACTTCTCAGCCTACTATGAAAGGCCCGATTTGCCTAATGAGCCAAGTTTTCATGAATTAATTGTTTTTCGACTACCTAACCTAACCTAACTTAACTTTTTCGGCTACCTAACCTAACCTAACCTCTAACGATAGATTAGGTTAGGTTAGGTAGGGTTGGTTAGGTTTGGTCATATATCTACGTTAATTTTAACTCCAATAAAAAAAATTGACCTCATACATAATGAAATGGGTAGCATTATCATTTCATACAAAAAAATTTAGAGAAAATATATTAATTCAGGAAAATTTGGCTTATTAGGCAAATCGGGCCTTGCATAGTAGGCTGAGAAGTGCATTCTGGCTACTAGGTACGACATATATATATATATATATATGTCGTACCTAGTAGCCAGAACTCACTTCTCAGCCTACTATTCAAGGCCCGATTTGCCTAATAAGCCAAGTTTTCCTGAATTAATATATTTACTATAATTTTTTTCTTATGAAATGATAAAGCTACCCTTTTTACTATGTATGAGGTCAATTTTTTTTTATGGGAGTTAAAATTAACGTAGATATATGACCGAACCTAACCAACCCTACCTAACCTAACCTAACCTATATATATAGGTAAGGTTAGGTTAGGTAGCCAAAAAAAGCTAGGTTAGGTTAGGTTAGGTAGGTTAGGTAGACGAATAAACATTAATTCATGAAAACTTGGCTTATTAGGCAAATCGGGCCTTGCATAGTAGGCTGAGAAGTGCGTTCTGGCTATTAGGTACGACATATATATATATATATATATATATATATATATATATGTATGTCGTACCTAGTAGCCAGAACACACTTCTCGGCCTACTATTCAAGGCCCGATTTGCCTAATAAGCCAAGTTTTCCTTAAATAATATATTTTCTCTAATTTTGTTCTTATGAAATGATAAACCTACCCATTTCATTATGTATGAGGTCAATTTTTTTTTATTAGAGTTAAAATTAACGTAGATATATGACCGAACCTAACCAACCCTACCTAACCTAACCTAACCTATCTTTATTGGTTAGGTTAGGTTAGGTAGCGGAAAAAGTTAGGTTAGGTTAGGTTAGGTAGGTTAGGTTGCCGAAAAACAATTAATTCATGAAAACTTGGCTTATTAGGCAAATCGGGCCTTGAATAGTAGGCTGAGAAGTGCGTTCTGGCTACTATATAAAATATATATATATCTATCTATCTATCTATCTATCTATCTATATATCTATCTATATATCTATCTATATATCTATCTATATATCTATCTATCTATCTATCTATCTATCTATCTATCTATCTATCTATCTATCTATCTATATATATATATATATATATATATATATATATATATATATATATATATATATATATGTCGTACCTAGTAGTCAGAACGCACTTCTCAGCCTACTATGAAAGGCCCGATTTGCCTAATGAGCCAAGTTTTCATGAATTAATTGTTTTTCGACTACCTAACCTAACCTAACTTAACTTTTTCGGCTACCTAACCTAACCTAACCTCTAACGATAGATTAGGTTAGGTTAGGTAGGGTTGGTTAGGTTTGGTCATATATCTACGTTAATTTTAACTCCAATAAAAAAAAATTGACCTCATACATAATGAAATGGGTAGCATTATCATTTCATACAAAAAAATTTAGAGAAAATATATTAATTCAGGAAAATTTGGCTTATTAGGCAAATCGGGCCTTGCATAGTAGGCTGAGAAGTGCATTCTGGCTACTAGGTACGACATATATATATATATATATATATGTCGTACCTAGTAGCCAGAACTCACTTCTCAGCCTACTATTCAAGGCCCGATTTGCCTAATAAGCCAAGTTTTCCTGAATTAATATATTTACTATAATTTTTTTCTTATGAAATGATAAAGCTACCCTTTTTACTATGTATGAGGTCAATTTTTTTTTATGGGAGTTAAAATTAACGTAGATATATGACCGAACCTAACCAACCCTACCTAACCTAACCTAACCTATATATATAGGTAAGGTTAGGTTAGGTAGCCAAAAAAGCTAGGTTAGGTTAGGTTAGGTAGGTTAGGTAGACGAATAAACATTAATTCATGAAAACTTGGCTTATTAGGCAAATCGGGCCTTGCATAGTAGGCTGAGAAGTGAGTTCTGGCTACTAGGTACGACATATATATATATATATATATATATATATATATATGTCGTACCTAGTAGCCAGAACGCACTTCTCAGCCTACTATGCCAGACCCGATTTGCCTAATAAGCCAAGTTTTCCTGAATTAATATATTTTCTCTATTTTTTTTTCTTATGAAATGATAAAGCTACCCATTTCATTCTGTATGAGGTCAAATTTTTTTATTGCAGTTAAAATTAACGTAGATATATGACCGAACCTAACCAACCCTACCTAACCTAACCTAACCTATCTTTATAGGTTAGGTTAGGTTAGGTAGCCAAAAAAGCTAGGTTAGGTTAGGTTAGGTAGGTTAGGTAGTCGAAAAACAATTACTTCATGAAAACTTGGCTTATTAGGCAAATTGGGCCTTGCATAGTAGGCTGAGAAGTGCGTTCTGGCTACTAGGTACGACATATATATATATATATATATATATATATATATATATATATATATATATATATAACTGAAAACTCACACCCCAGAAGTGACTCGAACCCATACTCCCAGAAGCAACGCAACTGGTATGTACAAGACGCCTTAATCCACTTGACCATCACGACCGGACATAATGAGGTGATAGCCGAGGCTATTTGAACCACCCCACCGCCGGCACTCGGATAGTTATCTTGGGCATAGCATTTTACCAAATCACCTCATTCTTTGGGGCACACGTGAGGAACACAAATGCGAACAAGCCTGAATGGTCCCCAGGACAATATGCAACTGAAAACTCACACCCCAGAAGAGACTCGAACCCATACTCCCAGAAGCAACGCAACTGGTATGTACAAGACGCCTTAATCCACTTGACCATCACGACCGGACATAATGAGGTGATAGCCGAGGCTATTTGAACCACCCCACCGCCGGCACTCGGATAGTTATCTTGGGCATAGCATTTTACCAAATCACCTCATTCTACGTATAATTCCACTCCTCCTGATGTCTGATGACATCACCTCATTATGTCCGGTCGTGATGGTCAAGTGGATTAAGGCGTCTTGTACATACCAGTTGCGTTGCTTCTGGGAGTATGGGTTCGAGTCACTTCTGGGGTGTGAGTTTTCAGTTGCATATTGTCCTGGGGACCATTCAGGCTTGTTCGCATTTGTGTTCCTCACGTGTGCCCCAAAGAATGAGGTGATTTGGTAAAATGCTTTGCCCAAGATAACTATCCGAGTGCCGGCGGTGGGGTGGTTCAAATAGCCTCGGCTATCACCTCATTATGTCCGGTCGTGATGGTCAAGTGGATTAAGGCGTCTTGTACATACCAGTTGCGTTGCTTCTGGGAGTATGGGTTCGAGTCACTTCTGGGTGTGAGTTTTCAGTTGCATATTGTCCTGGGGACCATTCAGGCTTGTTCGCATATATATATATATATATATATATATATAGATAGATAGATATAGACACACATCACAGACTATTACTGAACATTCAGAGTGGTAAACATATACATTTCTTATCAAACTAGTAGTTAATCAAAGTGCACTTTGGTGATCTCAGGATTGATATTTATGTCTTGCAATGTTTTTTTTTTAGTGTTTATGGTTAAAACTGTCCACATATTAATCTAGCTGGATGGTTTACTCAGGCACTTCCTAGTACAGTACTAATATGACCGTGTGAGTATATTTTAAAAGTTACCTGTATTGCCCATAAATCAAATCTTGCCCTACATGACTGTATGAAACACTATGACAGCAGTATTTTACCTCAGTAAGCAACCAAGTCAGGATGCTCATAAATGTGTTTTTCGCATACTGTACACTCAAATTCTATTTGTTTACATTGTATCTATAATTAGTAATACAGTATCTATATACTGTATCTAAATAACCAAGTACTGTATCTATAATTGTATATTGCTCCCTTTATTCTTTCTGGGTTGATGCCTCTCCACTGTATGAAAGTGGAAAACAAGGTAACGATGGTGATGATAATGTGCTTTTAGCTACAACATAGTAAATGTAGAGTTTGATATGAATATACTAGAGTATTTTTATTTTTTAGTGGTTGGTGTGTGTCGGGTAATGGGCCGGCGTGCACTGTCTCAAGGACGTCTGGGTTCCGCTATCTGGTGGGGGGTACGATCACGAGATGCTGCCTTCACTTCATATCTTGCTCACCAGGTAAATTATGTTTATGAATGGTATTTCTTTGCATTGTAAAGTTTTGTTTTGCAGACTTAGCTACCCTGAAGGTTTTAAAGTATAGCTTTCTACCTTAATTATCTTACAACTTTATAATATTCCTTATGCATAGTTGCAATTATCAGCAATTTTAGCAGCAAGCTGGTAAGTTGTTGTAATCTGTAGTGCTGAAATAAGTATTCAGATATTTGTGAAGAAACAGTTCTATCTGTGGCCCTGATGCATTACTTCCTTCTGGAAAATAATCTGACTGGGCTGTCTGCGCCTGTGACCTCCTGCTTCTTCTATCTCTATTAATTTCTCTCTCTTTTTCCTTTATTTACTTTTTGCATTTACTATCAATCCCTTCTCTGCTTACTTTATTTAATCTCTCCTTTCATCCAGAAAACTGCCTGTAGCTTAATTGTTCATGTTTCACTTTTTCCACTTACACCTCTCCTCATCTCCTAGTACCCCACCTACTCTGACCTTATAATGGCTTCAGTTCCTGTATAGTACCCAAGTTACAGCCCCTCTCCTTTGCCTGGTAAGTCCACTACAGGCTCACCATAGCCCATGCTACTTGGACATCTTGGTCTGAGTAGCTAAATCTAAAACAAAAACAACAACAACAACTGTACAGTGTCTCAATTGGGACTTGATAAGGTTCCAAGATGGTGCAAAACAACAACATATTCCCTTCTTTTCAAGTGTGGGGGTTGATTCATTTGCTTAGTTTCAGCCTCTCATTGTGTATAACATTTTCTGCACATGTTAGTGTATAATACACTATAATATCTACCTAGCGGGAGAAAGTTTGGACTATCTGACAGAAGTTCAATGTGTGCACCATAGTGTGATGTTGCATTTTGTTAACATAGTTTTATATTTTGCACTGTCAGTAATTAACACATATTGTATATTAATTACTCATTCCACTCCTTATTATAAATTTCTTCCAATAATCTTATACTTCTTTACCCAATAAATACAATGGTACTTCAGTTTATGAATTTAATCCGTTCCCAGAGATAGGTCGTAACTCAAAACAAATTTTTCCCATAAAAAATAATGTAAATTGAATTACTGTAATCTGTTCCATACTCCCAAAAATATTAACTTCAAAATACATTTCGCACATTATACACACACACATTTTGTACTATAGTATATACAAGTTATAGCTTGCCTTTATTGATGACTTGTTGGTATATGGAAGACTGTAAGGAGGTGGGGGAAGAGGAGAGGTGTTTGGAAAGGGAGTTCCCTTCCATTATAACATCATGCAGTGATGACTTCTCTGGGGTGCTCTCCTACATTTTGCCTGCATACCACTAGGACCTGGTTGTGGCTCACCGCTTGTTTTTCTCACTACCTTTCCATAGAGACTTGTTTTTCCCTGCATTCTAACATTTGTCTGTTGTGAGGCGTCACAGTGTCATTGAAAAGGTTAAGGCAATGGCCTACTGCAGCTTGATTTGGGTGAGTCGTTTCAACAAAACTTTGCATTTCTTCCCTTACTGCACACCACTTCTTAATTGTTGAGGAACCCATGGTGTGGTATATAATAATTACTTTTATATTTAGAAAGCAAAAAAACTGAAAAACAACAAATTTTCCGACGAAATTGGGGTCATAACTAGAAAAATTCATAAGCAGGGGGCATTTGTAAGTTGAGGTTCCACTGTATGTCTAAAAGTTTAATCTAGCCCAGGGATGGGCAACCTTTTTGAGAGTGCGTGCCAAAATCAGCCAAGTCTCTGACACAAACTTTTTCCACGTGCCAACCATTTTTTTTTTTAGAATATATTTGGTATCTCTTAAGAACTTTTTAAACGAAAAAATAATAAATTACCTCAGTGCAGTAAAACATAGTATAAAAAACAGAAAACAGAAAAAAAAATTATTTAACCTTCAGAAGTACATTTCAACAGCCTTTAAGCTTTTGTGACTTTAGTAGAATACAACAGATAAAAAACTTGTTGACTCCTTTTATATACTGTCAGTGAGACTTCTGCTGCTGCATAACTGATGACAGAGATTTTACATCGGGTTTATATTTAGTAACATTGAGAGATATGCATGCAGCGCTAGTTTCATCTGTCATGCTACTCCTGTTACGAGACTTAACAAAGTTCATAATTGAGAACAAAGATTCGCAAGCATATGTAGACAAAAACATGGTTAGCAATGCTGTTGCAAGGTTTTTTAAACAGACATAATTTTCTGGAATAGTATTCCAAGTCCTTAATACTTCGTTTTCCGCATTTCTCTTTGTTACTTTCATCTCTAATCTCTCTCTTTCAATATTTTCCAAGTCAACTCTAAGGTCAACAAATTTCTGCTTCCAAATTGAGCTACTCTGAAATTCAATCAACTGCATCTCAAAATCATCCATGTCTATCCATGAAAACATTTGCAAGTTTAGTTCATCCATTTTGATGCTGTCTGGAAACTTGATGAACTTTACTGTGTCTTCCAGTTCTCTGAATTTGGCAAATCTTGTAGAGAACTGCCAAACTGTTGACTCGATAATGTTTACAAACAGCTTTTGAAGACATTTGTGGTCTGTTCTGTCATCTTTTAGATCACTGATGTACCTCTTTAGGTTTGGAAAGTATCTAAATCTCTCATTATCTACATCCCTCTTAAAAACTTTAAGCTTCATTTCAAAAGCTTTTATGTAACAAAACATAACATCAAGTGTCTTACCAGCGCCCTGTAACTTAATATTCAATTCATTTAAATGTTCACAAAAATCTGCAAAAAACATCAGTTTACAAACCCACACGATGTCAGAAAATTCATGGTATGACACTTGTTGGTTGTTCAAATAGAGCTTTATCTCATCTAAGCATTCAATAAATCGTTTCAGAACCAAGCCTCTGCTAAGCCAACGAACATGGTTGTACATTTTCAGTCCTTTATACACAGATTCTACCTCATCCAGTAGAGTTTGAAATTGTCTTTTATTTAAAGGCCGACCACAAATGTAATTAACAACCTTGGTAACTGTTTGCATCACTTCTTGCAGTTCCTTTAGGCCAGCTTTTGCACATAAAGCCTCCTCATGTATGATGCAATGGAAGCCAATCAGTGGATGACCAACACTTTTTGCAAACAGATTTACAAATTCTGCTTTCTCACCAGTCACGTTTGGGGCACCATCTGTTGAGATGGATACTACTTTTGAAATGTCAATTTGCCGAGTAGAGAATTCGTTCACAACTGTTTTACATATTTCAGCCCCGGTAGCACGCTCAGGTAGTGATGCAAGAGCAACCATCTCTTCACATACTTCATCACCCCTAAAGAATTCTTATCTTTCTTTAGCTTTCGAAGGTACAGTATAGATGCTTTAGATTTAGATAGTAAAGTGAGTTTAATTAATATGAATCAAACTGAAGTCAGGCGGCATTCAAACACATGAGGTTTAGGTGGGGGGGAGATGTTGTGGGGGTTTAAATTCAAAGTTTACGAAATTAATTTTTAAAGGTGGGCAGGCATGGCGTATTTTGCCTTCACAGATATAATTGTCAGTGTACACTATGGTTATGGGTGCAGCCTTTAGGTTAGAAAGGCTTATTACATAAAATATGAGCCAAAGTAAATAGAGGGGAATCATCATACATCGGCATGATCGATGACGTAAAAAAAGAAGGTAACTATGGCAACAAGATCAACTTCTTTTTCTTGAGACCTCTTTAGCTTCGTAGAGCTTAAACCTCTTCACCACCAGGACGTACATATACTGTCATGGCATGTAAGCTTATACCCCAAGGAAAGTAGTTTTTTTTGTCTGTGCTTAGGGTAACATGTGCTTGCATCTGTGCTTAGGGTAACCTATGCTCTTGCGTGCCAGAGACAAGTCATCGGCGTGCCAAGTTTGGCACGCGTGCCAGAGGTTGCCCACCCCTGATCTAGAAGGTTTATTTCCAAACTAAAGATACTTTTTATTTTCTTGAATTACTTTGGCAAACAAAGAATTCTGGTAAAATAGTAACATTTCACTTGTCAGGGCTTTAACAGATGCAAGAGATACACAGATGTGGTGCTTTAAATGGAAGGGGGGAAAAAAAAAGGTCAGATGTGAGGGATTATATATACAGTATAATGTATATATATGGGATGGGATGTCTAAATATGACAAATTTTACATGCTAGTTTTACTGTCACTAATTTTATATTTTGAATTTTTTAAGTATTGTGCAGTACTAATTAACAATTAGGGTTGGAATACTTTGTTTTCCTTGATGCCACCTTTTTAGCTACTAGCTGTATGTCAGATTTTAAAAATCTACATACTCCAAACATTATCTTCAATAAAGGACGGGTAGAGCGATGGTCTTGCTTCATGGAGGTTGGCGTTCAATCCCCAACTGTCCAAGTGGTTGGGCACCATTCCTTTTCCCCGTCCCATCCCAAATCCTTATCCGAACCCTCTCCCAAGTGCTATACACTGTAGTATTAATGGCTTGGTGTTTTTCCCTGATAATTCCCTCCCCCTTCAATAAAGGTAAGGTGATTATCAGGAGAAAGTGCTAAGCCATTACAACTAATGTATATAGCACTTGGAAGGGATGAGGATAAATTTGGGATAGGATGGAGGAAAGAAATGATGCACAACTACATGGACTGTTATTGTTAGTACTTTGTGCTTTGTTTAGTACTGTAATAATAAAATAGGTTGATTTGTGTACATGTACTCTCACACCTTTAAAGCTAGGATATAATAGATAATTTTTTTCAAATTCATGAAGCTATCTCAAATTATATTCAGCTTTCCTTTTTTTTCTTTGATATATTTTCCACCAATGTAGTTAAAAATGTTAAACAATCCCTGACATTCGGTAAGGATTTTTTTTATAATTTATTACAGGTAAATACAGAGAGTTTCATATGATGTACCAAGATGGCAACTTCCAAGATGCAGCAACACTTCTTGTGTCACTGATCTCATCCAAGCTGGCCCCTGAATAGTGAGTTTTCAGAGTGAATGGGTGTATTGTTGTGTATGTGTATTCCAATACAGTACTGTATGTAGTTGTCAGAGTACAAGATTCGGTGAATGAATTGTTGCATGAATATGGTGAAAGTGTTTACAGTTATCAGAGTACAAGAGTGTGTGAGTATATTGCATGTGTATGTCAGGTCGGTATATAGTTCATTTTATGTATCAGTATTGTTTAAGTGAACTTCAGCTATTGCTGTGGTACTAAGCAATTACTGTTGATATGAAGTTAAACAATTAATGATACCTGTATATTTATTATTCTTAAATTCAATTGTTTCTGCACAGTTTTCTCCATATACCTGTACTGTACATTGGCTTTTATATTTTTCTGTATATGGAAATATTGCCAGTTAAATAGTGATGTCTATATATCGCAAATTTTATATGCTAGTTTTACTGTCACTGTGATTTTATATTTACTCTAAATATATCTTTCTGTGGGGAGCCCCTATGGCTCCCTAGGGCTATCGGGCTAATATGTGATAATTAGACTGGGGCATTAGTCTATTGGAGTTCAGCCTACCAGGGACCACTAGCCAGAACCTGACCCCCCTCAGAGAGGTGCAGGAAGCAATGGACCTGGAAAAATCCCTGTGGTTGGGGGTTTTCCTTATCTGCCACTGACCAGGGTTAGGCACCCAGAAAGGTAACTATAACAAAACAAACCCCACATGGTAAGAAAATTACAACTAAAAACCAAAAAGAGAGGCATAACTCCTTCCAATCACAAGGAAACAAACATCACACCGCCGTGCCGCTCATCCGCGTAGCCCTCCCCGCGCCGGCTACCTAGCACTCCAGTTCGTTCGCATATGTGGTCCGGGGCGGACGTCTTCTCTGGCCTCAATTTCTAAGGCTGTGTTTTGCTTTCGTGGCAACATCTGCAGTGTTGTTGTGTGTGGTGGCCAGGTGTCCTCAAGTGTACCGGGACTGGATGCAGTTAGGGGCATCCTTCTCTAAGCGCCTTGTGATTACTGCCTTTGCATGTTAGGGTTCTCTTCTCTGGTGCATTTGGGAACCATTTCCATAGGTTCCCGGTGGAGGAGATTTCAGCAAATTCAACTTCAATAATAAACAGATAAACTGGGAGCAAATAAACTAGGACTTCACAGAAATAAACTGGGAAGAACAGCTAAAAAATGCAAACCTGAACCAGTGCCTGGAAAAAATAAGCTCAGTAGCACTAGAAATATGTTCAAACCGCATACCTCTAAGAAAAAAGAGGAAGAGATGCAGATTGGAACGGGAACGTCGTTCCCTATATAGGCGAAGAAAACGAATCACGGAACAACTTGAGAGTCGCACCCTATCTCAAGAACGGCGAAGAAGGTTAGGTAGAGAAATAGAAACAATTGAACGGAAGCTACAAGAATCATACAAAACCCAGGAGAGGCAAAGAGAGCAAAAGGCCATCAGTGAAATAGAAAGAAATCCGAAATATTTTTTCTCCTATGCAAAATCAAGATCAAAAACCACATCTAGTATCGGGCCCCTGCGAAAGGGAGATGGAACTTTCACCGATGACAACAAAGAAATGAGCGAGCTACTGAGGACGCAGTACGACTCTGTTTTCAGCGAGCCATTAAACACACTAAAGATTGATAACCCAAATGAATTTTTCATGGATACGATACCAACATCAAATCATATATCAGACGTCACCCTATCCCCACTGGATTTTGAAGAAGCCATAAACAGTATGCCTATGCACTCTGCACCAGGCCCGGATTCTTGGAACTCCATATTCATAAAGAACTGTAAAAAACCACTATCGCAGGCCCTCCACATTCTGTGGAGACAAAGCCTAGATACTGGCGTTATTCCTGATATACTAAAAACAGCAGAGATAGCACCACTTCATAAAGGAGGAAATAAGGCAGAGGCAAAAAATTACAGACCGATAGCACTAACATCGCACATCATAAAAATTTTTGAGAGAGTGCTAAGAAGTAAGATCACAAAATACATGGAATCACAGCAACTCCATAACCCCGGACAACATGGTTTCAGAACAGGGCGCTCTTGCCTGTCGCAGTTGCTGGACCACTATGATATGGCATTAGATGCTATGGAAGACAAACAAAACGCTGGTGTAATTTACACAGATTTCGCAAAAGCTTTTGATAAATGTGACCATGGTGTTATTGCACATAAAATGCGTTCAAAAGGAATTACCGGAAAAATAGGCAGATGGATCTACAATTTCCTGACCAACAGAACCCAATGTGTAATAGTCAACAAAATAAAATCCAGCCCATCAACCGTGAAGAGCTCAGTCCCCCAGGGTACTGTGCTTGCTCCAGTACTTTTTCTCATCCTCATATCGGACATAGACAAGAACACAACCTATAGCACTGTATCATCCGTTGCAGATGACACTAGGATCTTCATGAGAGTAGGCAACATAGAGGACACGGCGAACCTCCAGTCAGATGTAGATCAGGTCTTTCTATGGGCTACAGAAAATAATATAGTGTTTAACGAAGATAAGTTCCAGCTCATGCGCTATGGAAAAAATGAAAATATAAAAACGGAAACCACGTACAAAACTCAGGCAAATCATAACATAGAACGAAAAGGCAATGTAAAGGATCTGGGTGTACTCATGTCGGAAGACCTTACCTTTAAAGAACACAATAAAGTAGCCGTCACAACTGCAAGAAAAATGACAGGTTGGATAACAAGAACTTTTCACACTAGAGATGCTATACTGATGATGATACTTTTCAAAATGCTTGTGCTCTCTAGAGTGGAGTACTGCTGCACAATGACAGCACCTTTCAAAGCTGGAGAAATTGCTGACCTGGAGAGCGTGCAGAGATCCTTTACTGCTAGAATCCACTCAGTAAAACATCTAAACTATTGGGACTGACTAAAGAGCCTAAAACTGTACTCCCTTGAGCGCAGGCGGGAGAGGTACATATTAATTTACACGTGGAAAATATTAGAGGGGCTGGTCCCAAACCTCCACACAGAAATAACATCACATGAGACCAGAAGACATGGCAGGATGTGCAGAATACCCCCGTTGAAAAACAGAGGTGCAACTGGTACTCTGAGAGAGAACTCTATCAACATCAGAGGTCCGAGACTGTTCAACACGCTTCCACTACACATAAGGGGCATAACTGGCCGACCCCTCACAGTGTTCAAGAGAGAACTGGATAAGCACCTCCAAAGGATACCTGATCAACCAGGCTGTGACTCATATGTCAGGCTGCGAGCAGCCGCGTCCAACAGCCTGGTTGATCAGTCCGGCAACCAGGAGGCCTGGTCGACGACCGGGCCGCGGGGACGCTAAGCCCCGGAAGCACCTCAAGGTAAGGTAGGTAAGGTAGGGGTTTTTGCTGCTCGACATTTATCCCCCTCGCCCCCTCAGGGCCAGCTGGGATTTCGTAGCCCTTGTTTGGCCTAGGGTATCTTCTTGAGAGGTTATCTTGAGATGATTTCGGGGCTTTAGTGTCCCCGCGGCCCGGTCCTCGACCAGGCCTCCACCCCCAGGAAGCAGCCCGTGACAGCTGACTAACACCCAGGTACCTATTTTACTGCTTAGTAACAGGGGCATAGGGTGAAAGAAACTCTGCCCATTGTTTCTCGCCGGCGCCTGGGATCGAACCCAGGACCACAGAACCACAAGATCACAAGTCCAGCGTGCTGTCCGCTCGGCCAACCGGCTCCCCTAGGGAATGGTATCGTGCTGGTTAGGGCTTCAAGGTGTTGTGCAGCCTGCCTACCTATACGGCGGCCAGTTCCTGTTTCCTCTGGAGATGTTGTACTTTTGCAAGTGGGTTTTTTTTTTTTTTGCCTGGTGGGGGCCTGCCAGGTGTGGCTATAGTTTCACGGGCCCTAGAAAACCCTGTCGGGGCTCGGTGGACCTATGGATGTGTCTTCCAAGTTATAGCCTGCCTCATGTGGGTTTAAAGGTTGCTGTGTGCCTTTTTCTCAGCATGACAGTCACCTCTTTTGCCTCTATCATGCTGCCTGTTAGATCAACGACACCTTTGACCTTGAGTCTTGTGAGTCGTGTTCTCTGCTTGTTCTCCAGTACTATTCTGATGACATTACTGGTAGGGTACAGGCTGCATCTATGTTGCATGCTAGATTCAGGTTGCTGCAACACACTAGGTTGGTTTCCCACCCGGATGCCACTCGGCTGCCCCACTTTGGTTGTAGGGACCCGGACCTGGGGGCATTAGTCGCTTTGACTGGTTCAGTTCGCGCTCCCTGGCCTTTACCCTGTTGTTCACCCTGACTCCTTTCCCTCCCAAACGTCTGAGGGGTTTCGGAGTCGGGGCAGGATTTAGTTGGTAATGAGACTCGGACAGCTTCAGGGGCTGCCCCATTCGAGTTGGGAACGGAGGCATTCAAGCCGGTTCCTCCTACCGAGGCTTCTGGGTCCCATCAGCAGACCCTGCTTTTTCTTCAGGAGTAGAGGGTATGGAAGACTGCTCTGCCCTGGGTCCCGACTTTGGGGAGGAGTCGACGTGGGGGCCTTGGGCCCCCTTTGACCCCCGCTCGGGTGTTGGTGCCTTCTTCGTGGGGCTAGTTGTTGCAGGGGGGAAGGGGTTTTCTTACCTCCCTTTCCCTGTATGAGTATGATTTGGGGTCGGCTCCTCCCTGGGTTGGCCCGTGGTCATTTGGCTTTGGTCTTGTATTTCTTTTCCCTTCTCGAGCTGTCTTCAGCCTGGCTTGAGGAGGATGTGGAAGCATCAAATGCCAGGGCCTTTGTCTTGTGTGATGTCCTCAGCGGCTCGGGCATCAGCCACCCTGTTGAAGCTGTTTGTACCTACCCTGAAGGAGGTGGTGTGTCTGTTCTTTGCTTCTCGCTTCGCGTCCTGTCAGGTTGTGCTTGCTCTCTCTTTGGGATCCGTTTAGGCTCTTGCTCTTAGGTTTTCATTGCTGTTTGCGGAATCTGCTGTCACTCAATTTCTGCAGGCAGCTTTATCTAGTTATTTTGTAGCTAGGACGGTTTTCTAAGAGAAGTTCCGGATCAGCCGGGCTGTGGTGGGTACGTGGCCCTGCGGGCCGCTCCAAGCAACAGCCTGGTGGACCAAACTCTCACAAGTCGAGCCTGGCCTCGGGCCGGGCTTGGGGAGTAAAAGAACTCCCAGACCCCCATCAACCAGGTAACCAGGTATCAACCAGGTATTGTCCTATGTCGGACTTGTTGGTTCTCCGGGGTGGCCATTTTCAGCCTTCTCGGAAGGGTCATGCCAAGGCTTGGGGTTCCGCTGGTCGAGGTATGCTGTTGGTGCCAGCTTCTGAGCCGACATTGCCTTAGAAGCCAGCGTCGTCTTATCGGAGCAATGATCGCTTTGTTCATCAATTGGCTTTTCGTAAGGGGCATCGGCCCTTTCGCGGTTCGCCCTGTTGATGGGGTGGAGGCTCGCACTTGGTCCCATGATTCATGGGCGTTTTTGGTCGAGTCACCCGGCTTGTGGTGGCGTTGGGCAGCTCCTCCCCGTTTGGGGGGTTTGAGGCTGGTGGGGCAGGCTTCTTCCCTTGCGCTTTGTCAGATCATCTCGGAATTGGTGCGCTTGGACTTGGTCGAAATGACCCCGTCCTTCAGGTGGATTTCCCACCTGGATTCCTTGCCCCTCCTTTCGGATGACTGCTCTGTCTCAGGTCCAGCTTCTTTTAGAGTCGGGTTCCTGGATGGTGTCTGTGGACTTCAAGAACCCATATTGGCACATTCCTATTCATCCAGGGTTCAGGGGCTGGTTAGGTTTAGTGGTGGGGCGTCAGGCTTACCGCTTTTGTTGCCTTCCTTTTGACTTGAATCTAGCACCTCATGTACTGACGCATCTTACCCGGGTCGTGGTGACCCGTCTGCATCTACGAGGGGTTGGCTCCTGGCTTACCTCAACAACTGGCTAGTGTAGGCTCCCAGTTGGTCCGCTTGTCTGCTCGCCAGGGGTGTGGTTCTTTCCCAGCTCATCGGGTTTAGGTACCTGGTCAACTGGAGGAAGTCCCATCTGGTTCCATCCCAGGTTCAGACTTGGCTGGGCCTTGTTTGAGACTCAGACCACTTCCATGTTTCTCCCTCTGGAGGCGTTGCCAAGGCTGCAGTCCCGCCTTCAGCCGCTTGTGGGGAGGGTCCCGGGTCACTCGGCGATTACTCGAGCAGTTATGCAGGAGTTTGAACTTCGCCGTGCTGATCTACCCGCTGGGTCGGCTTTGGCTTCGGTGTCTGTTCTGGTTCTTTCCGCTTCTCTCGCGATCATTGGGTTTGTACTCCGGGCAGGGGCTTTGCATCGGTTGCTGCAGCGCCGGCTTCCTCATCAGAGTTTTCGAGGTTCAGTGCCTTAGCGCCTACCCGAGCCCTCGCTCAATGTGTTCATGGACTCGTCATCTCTCCGCTTGGGCTCTGACCAGTGCTCACCAGGCCGGCCAGGGACAATGGGGTCCGTACTTCTGTCGGGCTCACAGCACGCTGCGGGAGTTCGCGGCAGTTTGGCTGTCGCTTCAGAGGATTTGGGTCGCTTGAAGTTCGACCATCCGTCTCCATTTGGACTGTTCTCCAGTGGTTCCTTGCCTGAACCGTGGGGATTTCCTTCGGTCCTTTCCTCTTTGGGGCTGCTCACTTTGAGTGGCTCATCTGCTGGCTTCTCAGGGTTTGGCTCTCCATGCGGTTCATATCCGGGAGTGTCCAACGTCCTGCTTGATGGCCTGTCTTAGTTCATTCCCTTGTCCACGCAATGGACGGGCAACGCTGACGCTGATTCCTTCTATTGGCTCTGCTGGACATGGACCTCTTTGTGTCGGCATCTGATCTATGTGGCACCCCTTTCCAAACTGCGAGGCTATCACAGTCGACACCTTTTGGCAGGACTGATCGAGGTGGGGTTACCTGTATCTCTTACCTATCCCCCGGTCCAGCTGTTGCTCCAGGTTCTGGCTCGGTTGGAGTCCTACCAAGGGAGAGTAGTCTTCGTGGCCCCCATGGTGGCCAGTTTCAGGCGCTGCTTGCTTGGTGTGCGAACCCGGGACGTTTTCCACCGTTTCTAGTTTTCCCTCTCGGAGGGGAGGGCTGTGCGGATGAGCGACGCGGCAATGGAGTGTGGCATTTGCTTGTTTCCTTGGAATTGGAGGGTGTTCTGCCTCTCTTTGTGGCTTTTAGTTGTAATTTTCTTAACATGAGAGGTTTGTTTTGTTATGCCTACCTTTCTAGGTGCCTAACCCCGGTCGATGGCAGATAAGGAAAACCCCCAACCACAGGGATTTTCCAGGGTCCCTGCACCTCTCTGAGGGGGGCCAGGTTCTAACCCGTGGTTATTGCCTGGTGATGCTATGTGATATTAATGTATCCCATATTAGCCCGATAGCTCCAGGGAGCCCCTGGGGCTCACCCAGAAAATGGCATTTCATTACATTCAATGCTGGTTATATATTTATTCAACAAGTGAACATAACATATATGGCCTGGGTTGCATAGTCACAATTTCTGAATGTACCTTGCAAACCCTTACAATTGGTAGTGCCTTGATAATAGCAACATCAGTAACACATGGAATAACAGGTTTAACAGTAAAACAAAAATCTTATTTCTCAGCAATTACTTTGAAAGCTCTTTGTGCTCTATTATAGTATTACTGTATAAAATAACATTACACGAAAACATGCAATTATAAGATGTTTAGTTAGTTTCGACAATCATTCAACAATGCATCTGTTAATAAATTCAAAATATACATTCTATAGTTGCTGCTTTTGGAACATTTAAGGATTGAACTGATTAAACAAAATTAATAAAGGAACATTGTCTGCAAGAGACAATATCAACATCTCATTGTTTTCCAAAATAATTTGGGGAAACGACTGTATTTTTTAGTGTTTTTTAAGCTATGCAATTGACATCTATTTTTTATATACAATATGTATAGTAAATGTTGGCATCCAAGTTTTGTTGATGAAATATCCTAAATTGAGAAATTAGATTTAATACTGAAGTTCTACTTCACTTTCATTTGTTAGAAAATGAAGACTCATGTATATTCAATTAAACTTCCTTATTACAACTTATGATGTACTAAATTTGTCCTTTTGATTTGAGATTCGCACCAGTTCCACCTGATTTAAGTTAAATGAGGTGTGATTAACTTGTATTATAGATTGATAAGAGTTTTGTAACAAATTATTTCATATTTTCATTTCAGTTTCTGGCCAGTGTTACTTCTGGATGCTTTGCCATTACTAAAGAGTGAAGAGCCTGTGATATCGGCAGAACAAACATATGAGTTGATGTATTGCCTGCATAACCTTCACAGTCATGCTAGCAAAAGGTAAGGTACTTATAAAACAGGTTTTCAGATATGTAGGAGTAATAATACATATAAATCATCATTTTTGTGTTGAATTACACCATTATGGAATAAACATTAAATTGCCACTGGCTTCCACTGGAAAGTGTTTTTATTTTTTGTTTTACTAATTTTACAGTATTAATGTAGCACCAGGATGATTTGAGTAGATTTTAACAAATTCTGGGAGGGCCTCTCAGTAGCTCCCCATGCTTTGTGTTTTATGCTTTTGTGGGCAGTAGATCTTCAAAGTTTCCCACATAAAGCATGTGGCTTTATGCAGATTTTTATGGATCATCTGTTGCCCCTGCCAGGCATTGGGGTTTACTCTGCCTTTGGTGATGAGGTGTGGCCCCAGAGTTCTCTGGCTTTCCTGAGCTGTGAAGGACAGCTCTGCAAGCCCATGGAAAGGAAAGGGGTCTTGTGTGTTCTTCCACGTTTTAGATTACCTTCTTTACCCTGAGGTCATACATACCAATTCCTTGAGGAAGGGGGTTCTCTTTGTCCAATTTTCCAGATTTGGTTGAGTTTCCTTTCTGCTTTGGACCCTACTGGTGAGCTGTTTCTTGCCATGGGCAGTCAGTGAGGTTGGGACTTGCCTGCCTCAACCTCTATTTTTCTATGTAGAAGATCTGTGCCAACTGCTGTCTCACAACATCCACTGAGATTTGTTGTAGACCTTTTGTACCCCTTTGTTGTCCTTTAACGCTACTGCACGTATTATGTGTAGGGTGCGCAAAGAAATCACGTTGACGTGATGTGTCGGCAACAAAATCAGGACTCATGAGGAGGATTCGAACCTATGCACTGGTTATTCCCAGACAATGCTCTAGGCTACCACAACTGGAGTGTTGCCTGGAAATACAGTGCATAGGTAAATCATCCTCATGACTCCTACTGATTTTCTTATGCGTAGGGTGTGTGCCATATGCTAACAGCTTTAGCCCAGCTGAATCTCCACCACACTGCCTTCCTTCATCTTGGCTCTGGATGGTCCCCTCTGGCATCTTATCCTCGGGCTGCTTTATGGATGCCAGTTCCTCCAAATGTGTGCATTTTCTCTCACTATTGGGATTAGACAGCATCCACTCTGGATGTACTCAAGTTTGCTGGTGCGTCCACTGTGCACTGTGGCACTTTCAGGCTGTAAATCTGGCTGTTCCCAAAATTGTATGTCCTGCTCTACCCAGGCAGTCATGGAATAGTGATACAGTATTTTTGCAGAGGATTAAAAAGCAGGAAAGAGCAGTAATTGCACTACTGTTTAGAAATACTGTAAAAGAGAACATAGACAGTATAAAAACTATAAATGCATTGGTTTTCTAAAAGTAATGGCCAAAGAATTTGGCAGAGTACTATAGTGATTGAAGGAGCAAAGGAAATATCTGATAAATTTATCAGTGATTCATAAGGTGGATTGTGTTAGATGGGTGTGTAGATCAGATATTTGCTCTGTGTAAGAGTTGATATAATGATTATATATTGATGTGTCAGGGTTGTATGATGTTACTCTGATTATTCAACATAAAGTTACCTGTAAGGATAAGAAACATACTGAGCTGGATTGAACTGTATCAAATTAATGAAGGTAGACTGATACATAGTGAATTTTGGAATAGGAGGAAGGCCAGCAGACATGGGGTACGTAATTGAACAAATCCACAAGGGCCGTGACGAGGGTTCGAACGGACGGCCCTCGTGGATTTCTTCATTTGATGCATCACGCTATTGTGATTTGTGTGTGTAATGGGGGTATGTATGTGAGGAAGTGGAGAGCATGCGTAGACTATATACTAAATATGGTAAGGGATAAGGCAACATCAAAGTTGTTTGCAAGAAAGGGAAATGTAGGTATATAATGTTTGGCAGTTCAAAAGGAGCACTGTACACACAGTCTTATGAATAGGTGGGATACTGCTGGAATATGGCAATACAGTAATTATTTATCTGATACAATATTGTATGTTGTAAATGTTATAAGAGAGCAAGTGATATTTTTAATGTTTTTAATATTCATAACCTTCTCTTTAATTTGGGATGAATTCTGGCCCATCAAAGTGGGAAATGGGGTAATGATGATGTATTGTATGTATAATTGTTTAATATACTGTACTAATATACTGGATTCAAAAATAACATGAAATGTCACACACATTAATATGCAGCCTTTGTTTCTCTTCCATACAGAAGTAAACAGAATACCCTGGAAGGTGAAGCAGCAAGCTCTGCATTTATAGAAAAGGAGAGAGACATCAGATTGGCATTGTCAAACAATTTGGCCCGAGCAATCATTCATGAAGGATCCATAGACAACTAACATCAGAAATAACACCCCAAATATTTTTATTTCAAATGCTTTCAAAAAAAAAAAAAAAAAATGAGTTATTTAATCATTAAAATATCAAGACGTTCTTGACTTATGTTTACCCTTAGAAATTTAAAGAAAAATATGTTAGAGTTTACGATTCAAATGCTTAAAAATGTTTTCACAGGTTGTATGACTAAAATAAGTGTATTGACAAAATTAATTATGGAAAGACAACACTAAGGAAAGATGGCTATAAAGCAAAGAACATTAAAGAGAATTCCTGGTTATTACTTAGGATTTTATCAAAACATATAGCATTGCGGGAAAGCAAAATTTTGGGTCATCCTGAGAACGGGGGCATTCAACCAGGAGATGAATGACTAAATTTATCAATACAATTAGGACAGCAAGGGGCAAATTTCTATTTCACGAAGTAACTCAAAGTTGCGTGAACGATGCATAACTAAGTCTAGAATCTTTCCCACTCATGGTGACAGGAGGAAGAACATACGTGTATATGATTGTACGTAATATGGATTTAGTAGTTGTCAGCCATCTACCTTTCTTATGGTTGTGGATGATGGTAAAAATTTAAATAGAGGATGATAATTATACTAATAAGTTTCATTAGCTAGGTCCAAGGTAACACCATTATGACTAGCAACCCAGTAAGAACTTGACTTGTCTTATAAAGTACCTGTTTAAGATGGGAAGCAACCAATGTTGAATCTCCCATCACTACAGGATGAAAATGACGAAGACAATAACAAACGATAGTCAACTCGTGAAAATACTGTAGTGAGAATATTAAATTCAGCAGTAAAAATACTTCTCAGGTGGAATGCAGCATATAAAATGTCTGGGGAAAAAAATCAGCCAATTCTGACACATCCATTATAAATTGCAAGTTGGTGAAAAAGTTAATGAAATGGGCATTTCAGAATGGGGAAATAGCCACATTACTTATATAAATATAAATGAAGCTGCAAAGGCTTTTTGGCCCATGAGGTGGCTCCTATTATTACCAGCCTGGTCATTCGTATACTGTACCTTTACCTATGCTTGAAATAATCCATTGATTTCATTATTACATGAAATCATGTAATAGACCTTATTGTAACCTTATTTCCAACCCAGTATTTACCCTAGGTCTTTTCTGAATGTAAATTTATCCAACTTACATAGTTACTCAGAGCATCACCAAAATGTAATGAGTGCAACTTTCTAGTGGTAATGTAGGCACAACACAAAAGATACAGCACTCTGCCTGCCACTCTCCATGGTGTATAACAAATCACTGGTAACAGATGAACTGCCAAAAATCTGGAAGGCAGCTAATGTCCCAGTACTCAAGAAGGGTGATAGACAGGAGGCACTGAACTACAGGCCAGTGTCCCTAACTTGCATATCATTCAAGATGATGGAGACGTTTGTGCAAAAAAAAAAAAAAAGCTAGTGCAACTTCTGTAGCGAAAGGACACATCAGCATGGGTTCAGGGATGGCAAATCATGCCTCACAGGATTAATTGAATTCTATGACCAGGCAAGAAAGATAAGGGTGGGCAGACTGAATATTTTTGGATTGCCAGAAAGCCTTTGACACAGTACCACATAAGAAACTAGTGCATAAGCTGGAGAGGCAGGCAGGAGTGAAAGGGAAGATACTCCACTGGATAAGGGAGTACCTAAGCAACAGAAAAGAGTGAGTCAATGTGAAGTCTGAGAACTCGGAGTGGCGAGGCGTCACCAGTGGAGTCCCACAGGGATCAGTCCTTGGACCAATACTGTGCTAATATATGTAAATGATCTCCCAGAGAGAATAGACTTGTTCCTCTCATTGTTTGCTGATGATGCAAAAATTATGAGGAGGATTAAGACGAGGAAGTTAGTACAAAGCTACAAGATGACCTAGACAAACTGAATGAATGGTCCAACAAATGGCTACTAAAGTTCACTCCAAGTAAATGTAAGGTAATTAAACTAGATGGAGGAAATAGGAGGCAAAACACGGGATACCAAATGGGAGATGAAGTCTTCACGAAACAGAGAGAGAGAGAGAGAGAGAGAGATCTACGAGTCCATATCACACCAAACCTGTATCCTGAAGCCAATATCAAAAGAATAACATCAGCGGCGTATGCGAGGCTGGCTAACATCAGAACTGACTTTAGAACCCTATGTAAGGAATCTTTCAGAACCTTGTATACCACATATGTAAGGCCAGTCCTGAAGTATGCGGCCCCAGCATGGAGCCTGTCAAGCACAAGACAAAGCAGGAAAAAGTTCAAAGGTATGCAACTTGGCCAGTCCCAGAACCAAGAGGCACGAGTTATGAGGAAAGGCTGCGTGAACTGCACCTCACGTCTCTGGAAGACAGAAGAGCTCGGGAAGACATGATCACCACACACAAAATCCTCAGGGAAATTGACAGGGTAGACAAGTATGGATTATTTAACACGGGTGGTACATGTACAAGGGGACACAGGTGGAAGCTGAGTACCCAAATGAGCCACAGAGACATTAGAAATAACTTTTTAGTGTCAAAGTAGTTAGTAAATGGATTGCACTAGGATGTGGTGGAGGCTGACTCAATAGTTTCAAATGTAGATATGATAGTCGAGAAGCTCAGGAATCTGTACACCAGTAAATTGGTGGTTGAGACGGGACAGAAGAGCCAAAGCTCAACCCCTGCAAGTACAACTAGGCGAGTACAGAGAATACTTTTAGTGAAACTTTTACAAGCATGTCATTCTTGTGTGTGGGGACAGTGTATTGAAGTATTGAAGGTAATACTGATCACAGTGGTCTTCTAATGATGGAACATATGAACTCGGAATTATGGTATAATAAATCACATTCTAGCTTAAATTCAAGACAAAATGACGATAAAGGGACAAAGTTGACGCTGACAAATATAGAAAGGGGCCATGAATCAGTTTAAGATAACACTTAAGAGTGCAATATGAGAAGTGTTTGTTTAGCAGTTCTCCCAAGTGGTACATGACATCACTTGGGTCATGGCCTTTGGTGCTAGTGAATGTCTTGGCACATTGGGTTATTAGCAGAAAATTTAAGAAGTATGTTTGGTTGCCCAACATAATACACTGTCAATTGCAAACTAGAATGTGTTGAAGGGAAAGCTTAATACCTTTACACCACCAACTTTTGAAGTCAATACATAGTGCAAAATAAAGTAAAGGTTCTTCTTTAGTAATAATAAATTTTTTGGCTCTTCATTTTCAGTTAATACTGTACTGGCAGAGAAGTCTTAGTCACCCATTTTCCAGTATAAACTTAACAGTATTCATAGTCATATATGCAAGAGGGGCACATCATTTTGATCTTGATTTAAAGTTTTCTGTTCCCTTGTCATTAATGTATACTGTATATAGTGCTGAAATATTTGCATGCTCTACTAAACTTATAATTTTGTTATATATAGTTCATTTAATAATGGTATTATTTTATATACTTGGCAGTTTTTAGAACCAGTACTAGAGAAGCAGTTTACACCCTAGAGCCCAGTTATCTCAACCTGCCCAGGACTGAAACCATTCTTCTTTCAAGAGATGCCTAATCAACACACAGTAGGTGCCTCGCCACTCAAGATATTTTGTTATTTTATCATTGTAAGAAAATTTTGTAGCTACCACCTTATTAACTATTGTACAATGAGGAAAAGAAAATTACAAACTTAAAAAATCACAGAATGTTATTCGGAGTCAAGTAAATATTTTCTTGAGCCCCTTTAGGACAATTTCTTGGGAACAAGTCCTGAAATTTGCACTGTACAAATATATACTTACTGACCATTACGAAATAAGGCAAGGGTGGGTAAATATAATACAAATCCTGCTTTCATGCAAGATAACGGTAAAACACTGCATACACATTAAAAATTACTTATAGCTTCACAGATTTTAATAGGAAAAAAAAAGCACCCTAATATTCTCTTAAAATAAAATGCTTATTGTTATAAAAGTACATTTGGTCTTCTCATAATCTATTCCATTACCTCAATTCAGATCTTACTTGTATTTGTTCAAGATTCGATGTGAAGAATTCTGAGCATTACGCTATAATATTTAGGACCAAAATTTAACGAGTCACAACCTTCTATATTAATTTGGCTCCACTCACCCTTCAATATCTAGAGTTTAAAAGGGTAATAGAAACTCCGAGGGTGCAGTAAATGATAATGTATTGGAAGCGTTGACAGCTTGATTAAGTGATGAAGTGGTCAAAGTCCACCTGGAAGAGAGGGGAGCATAAATGCACCCTCCACCCCTCCCCCATACACCAGGAATAGTGCTTCCATAAAAATTATATAGAAAAAAATTCTTTTGTATAACTTTACAAGTCATGGAATAGTTGAGTGAAATTAAAATTTTTATTTTTTTTTGTGTTTGAGTTCAGAAGAACTCAAATTTTTCTATTTTCCTTCTCTTTTTTGGCAAATTTTTCACTTTTATCATGTATCACACTTACATTGTCCCGTAAAGAATGCCCTATATTGTCTCTCCGTTCACTGATTACAATCCTAAAGTTCAAGCACTACCTTAATCACAGGTAGTACCCGGTCAGTACGTTGTGCAACAAATTGAAACACATCTAAGTGTCACAATACACATGTAGCCACTTTTATCATCACACTCACAGCTTGTAATCAACTTTTTCTTACTGCTGCTGATGTTGAGGGTATGGCTGTCGCTGGCCCTGATACACGCCTGGTCGCCCTCTGAAATTCCCACGTGGACCTTGCCCTCTGAATCTGCGTCCACCTCGTGGTCCTCCCATTCCACCACGGAAGCCACCGTAGCCGCCTCCATAACCACCACGGCCATTTTGGTATCCACCACGTCCACCTCGGAACCCTCCCCTGCCTCCAAATCCTCTACTCCTACCTCTGAAGCTTCCTCTTCTTTCATAATCTCCTCCGTGACCATTTGTTGGAGCAGCAGTACTACCTCCCTGATTTTCTTCATATTCATCCCAGTTGCCAGAGTCAGCACTACCCCATTTGTCATCACCACCATTTACAGGAACATCTGGTACAACTCCCCAGTTATCCTCTTGAGGTTGCTGTGATACATTGGAAATGGCTTGCCCAGTTGGCTGTGTTGAGACCTGTTGCCCAGTCCAGGGGCTAGCTTCTGGATTAAACTCAACCTTTTCCTGTGGTCTGGCCTGTGGAGGCAAGGGAATCGGAGGAGGAGGGTTTGGTGTACTATCCACTACTGTATTGTTTGGATAAACTGGAACGCCTTGAGTATATGAAACCACACCGTATGTCTGATTTGTATATGTCTGTGTAGGAATGTTGGATGGATGCGTTGGGTCCTGATTAGGTGGAACCATAGGGGCAACTTGTTGAAGTTGCTGTGGAACAGGTGAAACAGACCTTTGTGATACAGAATCAGTTTTGATGCTGCCAATGGATACCACAGCTGGATCCATATAAACTGTAGAAGGCTCCTGAGCAACCTGACTTTCCTGTAAGAAGTCAAAACCTCCAGGTGTTACCAAGTCATTCAATGAAATAGGCTGCAATTGAGGTGGTTGAGGAGGCTGTAGAGATGTTTGCTGAGGTAGAGGTGGTGGTGCTTGCTGTGCTTGCTGCTGCTGTGGAGCCTGCTGTGGAGTAGGGGGAGGAGGTTGTGGTGTTGGTTGTGGAGGTGGTTGTGTAAAATATGAGGGTGCAGGAGGCATCCCTGGTGCTTGTGGAGGTGCTCCAGGTATGGTGGCAGTAGTCATCTGTGCCATGGCTGCAACCAATGCTTCTTGTGCTGGGGAAACAGTAGCAGGCTCTTGAGGCAAAGTTGGGGACAGTATAGGGGCCACTGTTGGTGGAGCAAGGCCCGGGGGTGGACCTTCTGTGACAGGACTGCTTGCTTCTGCCTCTGTGATAGGGCTAATTTCGTCTGTCTCCTCCACCATTAAACCATTCGTATATTCAGGAACCTCCTCCTGCTGGAACAAAACAATTTTGTTGTATTTTATAGTTACTTTTAACATTTCATACTGTTAAATTTTTCTGAACATATAATTACAAAATTTAACAATCAATGCACCAATAATTTTTACTCCAATGCAAAGTCTGGCTGCATTTATTCCTATCTACTTTTTCATAACCAGGGCTTCACTGCACCAGCCACCTGTTTCAAGACCAACTCTTACTTTCTATTTTAATGGTATAAATACTTTTAGCAATCACACACCCAACACAGCAAATCTCTCAAAACTTTTATATTTTCATTTGTGTTCAATATATGAGAATTCATTGCTGGTGCTGCACACATACTAAAACTAACATGTCGTAAAGTGTGTATAATGTTCAGCTTGATTCTTGGATTAGGTTATGTAATCACATATGGTTTTGAAATGCTGTCATTCAAGTGAAGCACCTAGCATATTTTTACATTAAAAAACAAAATTGTAGAAATGAGAAATACCTGCCCAAGCATAAGTGATAAGGGTAAAAGAAACAGAGCAATGAAGCCTTGTGAAATTATAATTATTTTAGAGGACAACAAAAATGGAAGAAATGGCATAACATCAAATATCCCTACAACTGTATATACAAAATCCAAACAAAATAAAAAAGTAATTACAATTTCAACAGCTGTGACTTCCTCTTCATCTTCGTTAATTTTTTTCTCAGGATAGGAACAACTTGCAATCTCATCCACAACATTCTGCAGTGCCTTGTATGTTGTAGTAGCAATGTCTTTGCTCCTCCCTTCCATCAGCCAAATCAGGTGCTCTGCTGCACCCTTCAAATCAACCTGTCAAAAGATGAATTATAAGTAGATTCCTAGTATTCTATTTCAAATGTTAAAAAACTAATGTAAAAAATAAACTGAGGTTCACATGAAGCAACCAATCATGATGCTTTAAATATAAAATTGTGATGCAATTTGACAGAGGGGAAAATACAAATTCTGTAATTATTATATTACTATATATATATATATATATATATTAGAGAGAGAGAGAGAGAGAGAGAGGACTGGGAGAAGGAATGATGCCCAACCATTTGACAGTAAGGGATTGAACGCTGGCCTGCATAATGCAAGACCATCACTCTACTGTCCAGCCCAAGTCTGGTTGAGTGAGTGACTGAGCGTGCGTGTGGAAAAAACACATTAAAAATTTAAAAAATGCTAAATGCATTTTCAACAGTCAGGCTTTCAGAGCTAGACATAGTTGTCTACCTGTAAATGTATATATGTACATGAGCATATACAAGTGTGTGTGAATATATACTTAATGGGGAATGTTTCCCCATTAAGCATTATTATGGGCACAATAATATTTAATGGGGAACATTTCTAGAGCTCATAGGTAGCCACTGCGTGATTAGAATTCCTCCATTAAAACATCCTTATCCAATGATCAATTCCAGTAGAACTACATCTTATACACCCAATACATTTTTCTTTCTTACAGTTTTGTTATAAACTAAAAAAAATATAAAAATACTACAAGCCATACCTTGAAAATATAGAATTATATATTAAACTAAAATTTATATTAATATTGTAGCTATTGCCTTAATTTTCTTTTTTTTTGTCTTACCATAATGAGAGAAAATGTCAAAAAGTAAGACAAAGAAAAATGCCAAAAGTAGTTCAATTTATTTTTTCTATCTTATATTTTTGGACACAATGATGCCACAAGTGCCAAAATTCCTTCAACTAACTTTTGTATATCACCTTTTGTTATCTTCCTACTAGGTAATACTACCCAGATATACATCAGGTCCTGATACTTTTCGAGACTTACAAGCAGATCAAATTTTCTTGGTTTCCTATATAGAAGAGCATAAATCGTCCATTGACATTAGTCTCAGTCTTAGGGTTAACGTGTACTAGTTTTATATTAATTATGTTAAAACCATACCTGGAATTCCAATATTGTCTGGCCCTCAGCTTTTACAGGTGTGACCAGCTTGTACAACTCATCAAGACTGTCTAGAATCTCAGCTGACATTTGTGCCGCACCATTGGTCCCAGCCAAGAAATCTGCACGTACCTCTTCTTGACCTATTTGCTGCAGAACATCCTACAAAAATAATGCATAAAATGCAGAAATAAGTACCTTCAAATTATCTCCAAAGTTAAAAGCAATATACATAAATTACAAATATGTTTCTTATAATTATTCTCGACTAATCTCTTTTTGCTAAATTTGGTATTTTTGGATCAAAAATATAATGACTCATGTGGCATGCAATCTAAATACAGTAGTTAGCATGATTTTAATAGTGGTACTTCTGTTACAGCTACCAAAGGCATAATGAAAGCATCAGTCAATTTCCACATTACATATTGTAGCATCACATATCAGTACCATCACACTCCAGTAGCACCCAAAAATTAAGTCTCCAGTGACTTCCATAAGATAATATTTATACCTTCAGCTGAGACTCTTGTGCAAATCTTACCCACAAGAGAAAACAAATATGAATAAAAAATATAGGTGAACCTCATTTAACTTCAGGGGCTAGGTTCCTGAAAATTGCAACTTTAACTGAAATGACAAGTGAAACTGAAAACCCAGTAGGCCTAGCATTATAAGTAAGAGTTCCATTTCATGGATGCTGGGAAAGATGATTGGTAATTTTTCATGTACACGCCCTTCATACCTATCCAGCACTTGTAACGTAATTTATAATAATATTGTCTTCATCTTGTTTCTTTAGCCTTTAATTAAGATTACTAACTGTTATAGGCCATTAACCTGCTGTACATTCTTGTCCAAGGAATTTTTTACTAATAATATTGAGCTTGGAACTCTCACACCTTGGTTATGTCTTATCAGCTGGAAAGATGCCTTTGTTTCAACACCAAATAAATTAACTTAATAATTTGTTAAAGCCACATGGTTGTATTACATTACAGTACAGCATTATATAATTTGTATGAATTGTACTGTATTTTATGCCATTATTTTCAGGACACAAAAATACATTATACAGTGTTGGAAATGCTTAAGTAAGCCTTCAGCTTCTGCATCATTTCCTCTATCCTACATTGAGAGCTTAAAATAAATGCAGGAATTTTTGCCTGTCTGATGTCAATTTTTTTATTATTTTTTATTTTAACATTAAAACAAATGATATTTTTTCACCCAAATAACATGGGTGATGTTAAACAAAGTTTACTTGTACTTCTCTCATTTGAAATAGTAAAATGTTATTTGACAAGAATACGAATATTACCAAATTCTCCTTGCATGCGTTGGACTGGCACGTTCAGATTCATCCTCAGAAGTCAATATGGCTGCCAAGTGTTGGTATGTACACCAATACTATTTACATATTATTAAGCAAGAATTATTGTGCAGTATATTTAAAAAATATTTATTTTCTTATATTAAAAGTAACAAATATTTCATTACTACTATACTGATAACAAAAACTACTTTACATTTTGAAACTAAATTTTTTAGAAAAAATCCATAACCATTGTGTTTGTATCAGGATATACAGTATATACAATTTTTTCAGAGCTCATTTCTATGTGAGAGCTATCCATCTACGTATAGCAGAGAACACAATTATCTGATTGCTAATACTATTCACAAAGTGGTAAAACCTCTATTAGTGCACCACAGCCAAGCATCACTCAAATCATGGAGCAACTGAAAGTTTCTAAATTATGAATACTGTTCACCCACTTATAATCCTTAACTACCTAGACTTACTAGCAACCACATCTTGTGCACTGTTTACGCTTGACAACCCCTCACTCACCTTGTCTGTCCATTATCATGACCTCTATCCCTTCCACCCATTTTAAAATTATTCTTGTACATTTTTTCTTCATCAAACTGTTATTATCCATTCTTTGAATGTGACCAAACATCTTATCAACAATCTCAACCACACCCCCAAAATGTATACACATTTCATTAGCAGTAGTTATCTCCACTATAAATCCCTATTTGACAATAATCATTAGAAAGGAGACAATGTCTCCCAAAAGTGAGAGAAAATAAATGGAACAGTAACAAAACTTTTATTAGGGGTAAATAAAAAAAATCACTGGTTAACAACATTAGCACTGTCAATATTCAAATTATAGGCCTATCTAAAATCAATTTGTTGACATACTGTACCTGGATTTTAAGTATCTCCTTCACTTTGTTGATTTCCTCTTGTTGCTTCTCTATCTGTTCTTTCTTCATCTGCTTCTTCAGCATTTTATTGTGGTCTGTTAAGATACCTGCAAACTGCTGGTTCAATTCTCTAATCAACTCTAGGTTTCCCAGTACGCAATCATAGTTTCCTACTGCCTGTTGCTGATCCTCATTCAGTTCTTTACCTGCTCGGAGGTCTACGCGATACTGCTCCAATTTGTTCTGTAAAACAAAAAAATAAATTGTTCAATGCATGCAATATCAATATAGAAGTCATTGGCTAGGAAATGATTGGGGTGGGGAGAAGAAAACGGGAATACATGGAGAAACGTGGGTAAAAAGGGAGAGAAAAAGGAGAGAAGATGTGTGTAAAAGTTTGAGAAATAAACAAATTAAAAGGGAAAGATGAAAGTCCAAGTACCTACTGGAATTACTAACCAGTAATTCAGCAGTCTATGTGAATAGCCATTATAGGTGGAAGATTTGAATACATTTTATTAACCATGTACATATATTTTATTAGTACTGTACTGCATTGTAATTCTACTCATAGGTTACTTTCTAATAATTCACTAAGGAGTTTAAATTGTCAAAACTATCTCCTAGCTTGACATTATTTTTGACACTCCAAACATGCTCTGTGATTAAGTGTTGGGGCTGCATGTTCAATGTTTATTTTAGTACTATGATGTTCAAGGTCACAGGAGGGGGTTGGATGAAGTATCCCAAGGGCCGACGATGGATTGTTTTCCTTCAAGTTTGGTCTTGATGGTTGTTCCACGGGTTCTGTCACTTGCAAAGATTATACTACTGTACAGAGTATTTATATACTACATCCTTGAGGTCTAGAATGTGAGATCTACATATTGTATTACAATGAATGGGTTCTTTGGTAGCAGCATCTATCTCTTTATGGGCAGGGACCTAGCAGAAAAGTAAGTAAATAAGGCCTTGAATTTCATTGAATCAAGAAAGCCATTTCATTGCATTACCAGCTGATGGATAGGTTCGACAATATTGCTCAATGGTTGAAATAACACCATGGTACTGTAATTTATTTATGTAACAAATTATGTTGAATGGGAGCATCATTTATAATCCTGACCACCTTGTATGATTGCAGTGGATTCCGTTGTAAATATGGAAGTTAAATTCGAGAGTTTGGCACTAAGATTGTTCATTTCATGGTACACAATTATCAAAAAATGTTGTACTGTGATAGCACTATGCAAGTCACATTATTCAAAAAGAGTATAAATATTCAAAAGATCCTAGATATCACTCAGGATGCCTATACAGAACACAAAGACACAAGTGCATCCATGGTGAAAGACTCCAGAGTCACTGATAATATTTATAGATATTGAGTGAAAAGACAGTTGAGAAGCAAAGTTTCCATTCATGAAAATTTGGATTTTGGATTTAACTAGCAGTTATGACTAAACACTATGACTAAACAGAACAATGTAAGTTGACCAGACCACACACTAGAAATTGAAGGGACGACGACGTTTCGGTCCGTCCTGGACCATTCTCAAGTCGATTGTGACTTGAGAATGGTCCAGGACGGACCGAAACGTCGTCGTCCCTTCAATTTCTAGTGTGTGGTCTGGTCAACATACTTCAGCCACGTTATTGTGACTCATCGCCTGCAGAACAATGTAAATTGGACAGTATAGGGCAGGCTTTCATTTCCATTACAGCAACTAATAAAAAACTGGGCTAATATTTTCAATTTCCTACAGCAGTTAAATAGGAAAAGCAATGATCCAAAAAAATCAAAACAATCCAGAGGTAGTACCGTGGCCTTTCAGTGCCCAGCCGCTAAACTATATACAGTAATGTATCATCTCAGAAAGGGGTGGAAAATGGCAAGAAAGCGAGCGATGTGTTGGTCGGGAAAACAAATGCATTCTGAATAATCAGGCACTTGAAAGTCAAAATGGGGGTCAGTCAGTAATTTTTCTTTTGTTTGATATCTGGTTAGTAAAGTGTTAAATGCTTTCTAAAGGCTTATACAGTACCTCCAAAGAATCAAAATTGGTTATTAATTAATCTCAAACTGTTTTGACAGCTGTCTACTCCTTAACTTAATTTGTGACAATTTGTCACAATTCTAGATAAGGAGTCAGCAGTCTTCAAGTAACCTTCAAGACATCTTCCCTAAGCTGTCCAAGGCAAAGGTCAAAGCAAAGGAATGAGTTGCAACACAGATGTTCAGTTTCTAGTCCCCGAGCAACTGGGAAAAAGCATACAAAATTAAACCACCAATAAATAGTAGTATTAATACACCTTGCTACCATGTCTCATATTATCAGGGCTTATTATTTAGCAGTTCTCAAGAAATAAACAAACGAACATTAGGATACCTGGCACCTGTCTCTACACCACCAGATACTATCCTGTTACCAGATAGGTTATTCTAGAAGTACCGACTTAAAAAATGAAAGCAGAAATAATACATATTATAAACATCATTAACACTGTACTGGTAAAATACTCTTACAACATGGCAGCATGTCTCACTGCCTGGAGACAGGTGCCAGGGTATCCAAACACTTTCGGGGTGGTGGGTTGAGTAACGTGACAAAACTCTGGATGCCATTGTTATTGGTCAATATTTCCATGCGTACTTCTGTAACACTGTCCATTCTACCAGCAATCTATAAACCTGTACTTGGATGTACCTTCATGAGGCGCTGGGAGTTCTATTCCCCAAGCCCAGCCCGAGGCCAGGCTTGACTTGTGAGAGCTTGATCCAACAGGCTGCTTGGAGTGGCCCGCAGGCCCGCATATCCATCACAGTCCGGTCCGGTTCGATAGAAAGCAACATCATTTCTCTTGATTTGTAACACAAGTTTTGCAATAAACTAAACAATTTTTTAGTTCACCAAGAACAGTAAATGTTTGGAGAATGACATCGTTACCCTCTCTGTAATTTTGCCATTTCAAGTAGGCAGTTATAGGAGTCAAATCCCTATCAGCTCATTTAATGGAATCCCCCATTTATTCAAATGTTTTCTTATATTCTTATCAAATCAACATCACCTAACTGTGCAGTACTAGCTGAACCATACTCAGAATATCTAAAGTTCTAAATCAAATTAGACCATTAGGTCAAGAGTTAAATTTCTAAACCTGTATTAAATGACAATTATTTTGTGATATCGCAACAAATGCTGGATAAACCTTTGAATAGTTGTACTGTAGTCAAATGTGACCAGAGTAATGCTTATTTATGGCATTGAACTGCTAACGAGTCAAATTTGTTGGAGCACTTCAGTAGTCCACAGGCAAGCGTCTTGCACTAATGCACACATACCTGATTTTCCTGAGGGCCTCAATAAGGACAGGAAGCCGGCAGCAATTTGAAGGTTTCCCCATTTGCCTTGATTTTTTCCAGGTATATTTTAAAACAACACAATTTTGGCAGTTATGGCTTCGGCAGGTAGATGGTTCCGTGGGTTAATAACCCTGTGAGTGAAAAAGCATCTCCTGTTCTCAGTCTTACATTGTCTTGTTGGCTTGAAACCACTGCTCCTTGTTTGTGTTACATCTGACCTTCTGAAGAAAATATCCGGATCAACATCCTTTAACATTCAGTATGTTAAAAGTTTCAATGAGATCCACCCTGTCATGCCTGGTTTGCATTGTTAGCCCTGTGGCCTTCAACTGTTCCTGTTACAAGAGATAACTTAGCTCTGGAATGACCTTTGTTGCCAGGTGTTGCACCTTTTCCAGAGCAGCTATGTCATTCTGAAAATAAGGTCTCCATGCTTGGATACAGTAGTCCAAATAGGGGTGCACCAGAGATTTATACAGTTGAACCATTATCTTCTTTTCCTTATACTCAAAGGTACACTTGATTATCCCAAGAGTTTGGTTAGCTTTTCTGATTGCTGCACCCACCTGTTGTGTAACTTTTAACGAGTGGTGGATTTTGATACCAAGGTCCTTTTCTTCATCAATCTACTGTAATGTAATGCTATTAATTTGGTAGTCGTGGCGTGGGTTGCTATGCCCCACATGCACAGTCTTGCATTTATCGATATTAATTTAAAAAGCATTGGCCAGTCTTCTGACCATTTGTAGTTTATGTAGATCTCTTTGTAGTGCTTCAATATCATTATCATTTCTCACTTTACCATAAATCTTTGTGTCATCTGCAAATTTGATGATGTGGTTACTATCTACACGAAAATAAAAATAACCAACCTTTACATAAAATGTATAAAAATACTACCAATATTGTGCTGTATATAATATCAAAGCTTTTTCAGACCTAATATCCAGAAAAAATAAAAGGACAGTTATATGTACCTTAGAATCCATACAAACTGCAATGTCATTAAATATGGATGACACTTGCAATTAGGGAGAGATGTCAGCCGATTGCTGATTGGTTGAGATGACATGAAGTCATCAATTCTGGTGATGCATAGGTCATTTCCTGTCTGGAAAAGATGCTTTACCAATCTAAAATAACTTACGCATCCCTTATCAAATCTAATTTGACCTACTCAAACCCACCCAGACTTAAATATATCCAAATCTTATCACACAGAACCTAAAAGGCAGTGATCAGCAATACATGTCCAGCAGATACTAATGACCAGACTGTATCCAAAAACTATCACTCCAAAACTTTCAAGTTTAATCAGAACTAATATACTGTATAAGGAACAAGAGTGAAATTTAACTTGGAAACTCTAAAATTAATAGTGTAGAGGAATTACATGAAATACTTAACAATAGTACAAAGCCAGTCCCAGTATGGCAAATAGGGCAAAACTTAACCATCACTAGATTGTTGTAAATACTGTACTGCTATGGAAGTAAGTCCACTACGGGCTCACCATAGCCCGTGCTACTTGAAACTTTTGTTCCGAGTAGCACGGAATCAAAAACAACAAGTTTTGAAAGGCTTGAAGAAAGGGCCGGAATTCAGTCTTTTACAGAACCTAGACACCCATTATAGGCCCCAATGTAGTTCAATATATATTTGTATTACAGTATATACAATGTTTATATCCCATCATAGATCAATAAGTTCAATATAATTTGTTTAGGGGCATAAAACATTTTTTTACGATCCTGGGGCCTGTGGCACCACACAAGAAACATATCTATTTGATATTACAAGAGTACAACTTAACCAATCTAGAAATGGTCTGCAAATCAAAGTACCCAAAGCCGGAGAGCCAGTCGGCCGAGCGGACAGCACGCTGGACTTGTGATCCTGTGGTCCTGGGTTCGATCCCAGGCGCCGGCGAGAAACAATGGGCAGAGTTTCTTTCACCCTATGCCCCTGTTACCTAGCAGTAAAATAGGTACCTGGGTGTTAGTCAGCTGTCACGGGCTGCTTCCTGGGGGTGGAGGCCTGGTCGAGGACCGGGCCGCGGGGACACTAAAAAGCCCCGAAATCATCTCAAGATAACCCAAAATGTGGAAGAGAAGTACATTTTAAGAGAAATACTAAGTACTACCTAATCAACTCCATGTAACCTTCCTTACCTCCTAAATGTCAACTTATGTCTTGCTATTTTCAAACACTCTTCTCTTCCACATTAGTAGATAATCAGTAGATTATCAACAAAATTGTATAACTGCTGACATCTTCCATGTATAAACTTGTGCAAAACCATGTACTGTCTTAAAAAGATATTTAGTCAGTTTATTTAGTTAAAATTATTTCTGCTCATCTGTTGCAATTTCTGCTGTTCCATCCAACATATAACTATTGTCATCCTTTTTTTTCCCTTTTTCAGTCCAATTCATTCTTTTGATCTCAATTAGTTTGTCTTATTTTTTAAGTGTTTTTCCACATCTCACCCAAAACACTGTGCCTATTAGTGGCTTTAGGCATAGTATATACTATCTCATAGTATATGCTATCTACAAATCGAATACTATGTAACTCATTTTCTTTGTACAGGTATGTACTTTTACTTGAATAAACATTATTATTATTATCGGTACTTTGGTTAGGCATGAATGCAAACCATTTTCTGTACCTAGCAACATGATGCAACAAATAAGAGGCATGTTCCTCCAGAGTAAGGCCTTCCCTGCCCATATGTCCTATATCAGGCAATATACATGAAGCCCTCGTCTACTGTATACACACTACAGGCATATTTAAGTGCATACTAAACGGGACACCATGAGCGTAGCTCTCATCCTGTAACTACTTAGGTAATTACTATTATCTGAATCTGAATCTATTATAAGAGATGGTCAATAGTGAAGAGTATTGAAGAACTAAATGAGTGCACAGCATATGAATGAGTAAAGCATGTGTGTTTTATTACGTGAGAGCTTGAATGAATGGAGGATACGGTCATGCCATACATACATATATATTTCACACATTCCAAAAATAATTTAAAAAGAGTATATCCATCATACATTATAACTAATGATATACCCCCACACTATACTATAAGCATCTCACACACACACACACGCTAGGTTAGGTCAATATACGCAGTGTGCAGTCTCAAACACGAAGTGTTCTACACCCAGCTGAGTAAATGAGTGAGTATATGGGCAGGTGAGTGAGTAAATGAGCGGGTGAGTGAGTAAATGAGCGGGTGAGTGAGAGGGGGGAGTGGGAAGGGGTCCCGTGACTCGCAGCACGCCAACTCCACGCTGCTTCCAGTAGCGCCCACCACAATAAAACCTGTCACCGTGACCCCTAATGCATTATCTGGAGGCTGGGAAGCGGCCAAGGGGCGAGAGATAGAGCCCGTGGTCAGCTTGGGCCGCCTGACAGGTGTTCCAGAGCGGGAAACACGCACATGGCAGCGATTCAAGTTAACATGGCCGTCGCTTTGTTCCCCCCCTCCCCCAACACTCACTGAGTCCCACCGCCAGAAAACCTCCTTCCCTACCTAATCTGAACTCACCTTCCGCTTCTCTAAATTCCGAATTTTCTTCTCTACGAGGCTCATTACTTTCTGGAAGGGATCAAGGGTCTCTTGAGACCCTTGCTTTTCCAGTTTCACGGAGGCAGAAGGCATTCTTCACAGGGCAACTTTTCTGGTGTTCTTTCTCTTACGCACTGCACCCCTGTGGACTCCACCATTATTGGAACCGTGTTGCCATTCTGCTCTATTGCTCACTTTTCCTAGAATATCCAGTATTTTCCATGGCGTGTGCTTCTAAATAATTGCCAAGTACTTTCTTTCGTGTTGCTTTCGTTATATCTTTTGTTATCGTTCTGTTGGGAGATTTGGATTATTTTAAGAAAATGTTGCCATGCTAGATATGCATCAAGCAGAGCGGGTTATTCAAAACCCGGTGCGTGCTCAACTCTCGTACTAAAATTCCTGTCATGTCACACTGGTAATATTTAACTAGCATCACAAAAAAGTCTTGTTTATCTAATCATTAAATGGAAATAATTCTAAATAACATTATATTTGCTACCAAAATCTTTCGAACAATAACATTTAATTTAATGGTCTCCTGTTCGTTACGTGTAGAGAATGCAAAGCTGCGGTCGTCTCCCAACCCGTTCTGACGAGTTGCCACAGTTGGCACTCACTACAAAATACAACTCCTCAGAAACGTACGAATCCAAGCACCCACTTAGTCATTCCATAAAAATTGGAAGGAAAGAAACAGGGAAGACATGATCAACACATGCAAAATGCTCAGGGGAATAGATATGGCAGACCATATTTAGCACTGTGTGTAGTACACAAACGACGATCGCCACCTAAATTATATAACTACCTAAGCTCTTTCATGCATATATATATATATATATATATATATATATATATATATATATATATATATATATATATATATATATATATATATATATATATATATATATATATATATATATATATATATATATATGTCGTACCTAGTAGCCAGAACTCACTTCTCAGCCTACTATGCAAGGCCGGATTTGCCTAATAAGCCAAGTTTTCATGAATTAATTGTTTTTCGACTACCTAACCTACCTAACTTAACCTAACCTAACTTTTTTGGCTACCTAACCTAACCTAACCTATAAAGATAGGTTAGGTTAGGTTAGGTAGGGTTGGTTAGGTTCGGTCATATATCTACGTTAATTTTAACTCCAATAAAAAAAATTGACCTCATATATAAAGAAATGGGTAGCTTTATCATTTCATAGGAAAAAAATTAGAGAAAATATATTAATTCAGGAAAACTTGGCTTATTAGGCAAATCGGGCCTTGCATAGTAGGCTGAGAAGTGCGTTCTGGCTACTAGGTACGACATATATATATATATATATATATATATATATATGTCGTACCTAGTAGCCAGAACTCACTTCTCAGCCTACTATTCAAGGCCCGATTTGCCTAGTAAGCCAAGTTTTCCTGAATTAATATATTTACTATAATTTTTTTCTTATGAAATGATAAAGCAACCCTTTTCTCTATGTATGAGGTCAATTTTATTTTATTGGAGTTAAAATTAACGTAGATATATGACCGAACCTAACCAACCCTACCTAACCTAACCTAACCTATATTTATAGGTAAGGTTAGGTTAGGTAGCCAAAAAAGCTAGGTTAGGTTAGGTTAGGTAGGTTAGGTAGACGAAAAAACATTAATTCATGAAAACTTGGCTTATTAGGCAAATCGGGCCTTGAATAGTAGGCTGAGAAGTGCGTTCTGGCTATTAGGTACGACATATATATATATATATATATATATATATATATATATATATGTCGTACCTAGTAGCCAGAACGCACTTTTTGGCCTACTATACAAGGCCCGATTTGCCTAATTAGCCAAGTTTTCCTGAATTAATATATTTTCTCTAATTTTTTTCTTATGAAATGATAAAGCTACCCATTTCATTATGAATGAGGTCATTTTTTTTTATTGGAGTTAAAATTAACGTAGATATATGACCGAACCTAACCAACCCTACCTAACCTAACCTAACCTATCTTTATAGGTTAGGTTAGGTTAGGTAGCCGAAAAAGTTAGGTTAGGTTAGGTTAGGTAAGTTAGGTAGTCGAAAAACAATTAATTCATCAAAACTTGGCTTATTAGGCAAATTGGGCCTTGTATAGTAGGCTGAGAAGTGCGTTCTGGCTACTAGGTACGACATATATATATATATATATATATATATATATATATATATATATATATATATATATATATATATATATATATATATATATATATTATTAAATATGACCGAAAAAGTAAGATTAATAATTCTAACACGAATTTTCTCAATCTTTCGTACATTACGCTTCACTGTTGGAGGTAAATCAAAAATCAATTCTCCAAAATTCATTTTTATTTCTAGTCTGACGCGACACGGGCGCGTTTCGTAAAACTTATTACATTTTCAAAGACTTTAGTTCACAAATACACAACTGATTAGAACTTACGTATCTCCGATTTTATATCTACATTTGAGTGAGGTGGGAGGGGTGATGTGGCATTAACACAAGACAGAACAAGAGGGGATATTAATAGGGTATTAAAAGTATCAACACAAGACAGAACACAAACAATGGGTATTGAATAGAAGTGTTTGTAGAAAGCCTATTGGTCCATATTTCTTGATGCTTCTATATTGGAGCGGAGTCTTGAGGTGGGTAGAATATAGTTGTGCAATAATTGGCTGTTGATTGCTGGTGTTGACTTCTTGATGTGTAGTGCCTCGCAAACGTCAAGCCGCCTGCTATCGCTGTATCTATCGATGATTTCTGTGTTGTTTACTAGGATTTCTCTGGCGATGGTTTGGTTGTGGGAAGAGATTATATGTTCCTTAATGGAGCCCTGTTGCTTATGCATCGTTAAACGCCTAGAAAGAGATGTTGTTGTCTTGCCTATATACTGGGTTTTTTGGAGCTTACAGTCCCCAAGTGGGCATTTGAAGGCATAGACGACGTTAGTCTCTTTTAAAGCGTTCTGTTTTGTGTCTGGAGAGTTTCTCATGAGAAGGCTGGCCGTTTTTCTGGTTTTATAGTAAATCGTCAGTTGTATCCTCTGATTTTTGTCTGTAGGGATAACGTTTCTATTAACAATATCTTTCAGGACCCTTTCCTCCGTTTTATGAGCTGTGGAAAAGAAGTTCCTGTAAAATAGTCTAATAGGGGGTATAGGTGTTGTGTTAGTTGTCTCTTCAGAGGTTGCATGGCTTTTCACTTTCCTTCTTATGATGTCTTCGATGAAACCATTGGAGAAGCCGTTATTGACTAGGACCTGCCTTACCCTACAGAGTTCTTCGTCGACTTGCTTCCATTCTGAGCTGTGGCTGAGAGCACGGTCGACATATGCGTTAACAACACTCCTCTTGTACCTGTCAGGGCAGTCGCTGTTGGCATTTAGGCACATTCCTATGTTTGTTTCCTTAGTGTAGACTGCAGTGTGGAAACCTCCGCCCTTTTCCATGACTGTTACATCTAGAAAGGGCAGCTTCCCATCCTTTTCCATCTCGTAAGTGAAACGCAGCACGGAACTCTGCTCAAATGCCTCCTTCAGCTCCTGCAGATGTCTGACATCAGGTACCTGTGTAAAAATGTCGTCAACATACCTGCAGTATATGGCCGGTTTCAAGTTCATGTCGACTAAGACTTTTTGCTCGATGGTACCCATGTAGAAGTTTGCAAACAGGACACCTAGGGGAGAACCCATGGCGACCCCATCTACTTGCTTATACATGTGCCCATCCGGGCTCAAGAAGGGTGCCTCTTTAGTACAAGCTTGGAGTAGTTTCCTCAGAATATTTTCTGGTATGTCAAGAGGAGTACAGGCTGGATCACGATACACTCTGTCGGCTATCATTCCGATTGTCTCGTCCACAGGTACGTTGGTAAACAGCGATTCTACGTCCAACGAGGCTCTTATCCCTGTGGCCCGTGTGCCCCGCAGTAAGTCAACAAATTCCTTTGGAGACTTCAGGCTGAAGGCGCAAGGAACATAAGGAGTCAGCAGGCCGTTGAGTCGCTTCGCCAGTCTGTACGTGGGTGTGGGTATCTGGCTAATGATTGGCCGAAGTGGGTTTCCAGGCTTGTGCGTCTTGACATTTCCATACGCATATCCAGGTTTATATTCCCCAATGATCTTTGGCAGGTGGAGTCCGGATTTCTTGGCGTTCACAGTTTCGATCAGTTTGTTGACCTTTGCTTTTAATTCGGCTGTAGTGTCCTTCGTTACCCTTTGGAACTTAGTTTGGTCAGAGAGTATGATGTTCATTTTCGCCAGATATTCGTCTTTTTTAAGAATGACATATATTGGCGACTTGTCACCTCTCCTGACAACTATCTCCTTGTTCTCACGAAGGCTTTTAGCTGCCGCTTTAAGCTCGGGGGACAGTATGGTGCTTCTGTAGTTGCCTCGATTCTTTCCTCCTTCTGCAATAAGTTCTGCTTGTAAGGTATCTTTGGTAGTGACCTTCTTTTGTGTCTCGAGGTCGAATATGTCGTCCAACAGAATTTCCAACTCTACTTTCCGGGCCATCTCACTCGGTCTGGACATAACATGACAGTTTATGCCCAGATTTAGGAGAGTGACTTGGTCCTCAGTGAGGTTAATTCCTGCAAGGTTCAGGAAGCCATCTCTTGGTCGTGGAATTGCCATAGGTCCTCCATATAATGTTGTTAGTTTCTTGATAATCCTTGTTTCAGTGCTGAGGTGATGTTGGTCTGTGAGGATGTCGAGGTGTTGTTCAATGCGGGTACGGATACTATGGTCGATGTTGCTATTTCTCCACTCGTTTGTAGCATGAAGTAGTTGCGTTTTGTTGTCTTTGATTTCATTCTCTGCCTTGTATATCTGATCACGAATCAGATCCTGGCGATATTTTATCGTGAAGGCTTGATTCCTTGCTGCTGGGTCGTGCGCTTTAATATTAGTATATTTTGGTAGCAGGCTTTCCTGTAGACATATATTATTAAATATGACCGAAAAAGTAAGATTAATAATTCTAACACGAATTTTCTCAATCTTTCGTACATTACGCTTCACTGTTGGAGGTAAATAAAAAATCAATTCTCCAAAATTCATTTTTATTTCTAGTCTGACGCGACACGGGCGCGTTTCGTAAAACTTATTACATTTTCAAAGACTTTAGTTCACAAATACACAACTGATTAGAACTTACGTATCTCCGATTTTATATCTACATTTGAGTGAGGTGGGAGGGGTGATGTGGCATTAACACAAGACAGAACAAGAGGGGATATTAATAGCCCTTTCTAGATGTAACAGTCATGGAAAAGGGCGGAGGTTTCCACACTGCAGTCTACACTAAGGAAACAAACATAGGAATGTGCCTAAATGCCAACAGCGACTGCCCTGACAGGTACAAGAGGAGTGTTGTTAACGCATATGTCGACCGTGCTCTCAGCCACAGCTCACAATGGAAGCAAGTCGACGAAGAACTCTGTAGGGTAAGGCAGGTCCTAGTCAATAACGGCTTCTCCAATGGTTTCATCGAAGACATCATAAGAAGGAAAGTGAAAAGCCATGCAACCTCTGAAGAGACAACTAACACAACACCTATACCCCCTATTAGACTATTTTACAGGAACTTCTTTTCCACAGCTCATAAAACGGAGGAAAGGGTCCTGAAAGATATTGTTAATAGAAACGTTATCCCTACAGACAAAAATCAGAGGATACAACTGACGATTTACTATAAAACCAGAAAAACGGCCAGCCTTCTCATGAGAAACTCTCCAGACACAAAACAGAACGCTTTAAAAGAGACTAACGTCGTCTATGCCTTCAAATGCCCACTTGGGGACTGTAAGCTCCAAAAAACCCAGTATATAGGCAAGACAACAACATCTCTTTCTAGGCGTTTAACGATGCATAAGCAACAGGGCTCCATTAAGGAACATATAATCTCTTCCCACAACCAAACCATCGCCAGAGAAATCCTAGTAAACAACACAGAAATCATCGATAGATACAGCGATAGCAGGCGGCTTGACGTTTGCGAGGCACTACACATCAAGAAGTCAACACCAGCAATCAACAGCCAATTATTGCACAACTATATTCTACCCACCTCAAGACTCCGCTCCAATATAGAAGCATCAAGAAATATGGACCAATAGGCTTTCTACAAACACTTCTATTCAATACCCATTGTTTGTGTTCTGTCTTGTGTTGATACTTTTAATACCCTATTAATATCCCCTCTTGTTCTGTCTTGTGTTAATGCCACATCACCCCTCCCACCTCACTCAAATGTAGATATAAAATCGGAGATACGTAAGTTCTAATCAGTTGTGTATTTGTGAACTAAAGTCTTTGAAAATGTAATAAGTTTTACGAAACGCGCCCGTGTCGCGTCAGACTAGAAATAAAAATGAATTTTGGAGAATTGATTTTTGATTTACCTCCAACAGTGAAGCATAATGTACGAAAGATTGAGAAAATTCGTGTTAGAATTATTAATCTTACTTTTTCGGTCATATTTAATAAAATATGTCTACAGGAAAGACTGCTACCAAAATATACTAATATATATATATATATATATTATATATATATGTCTAACCTTCGCAGGATTTAGAAACTGAACAAGTGGTCGATCTCGAGCCCATTGTTGAGATGACGATGTGCATTGAATTTTGTAACTAGCTCATCAAGATTGTAACTTCCTTAGATAAATTAATTGTGGGGTTCAGTCCCTGATCCCATTATGTGCCTCTGTAACCCTTTCCACTACCGCCCACAAAATGAGAATGGGGTGCATAATAAATGAACCTAATTAACCACATGCATGTAAAAGTACCAATCCTATGTAATCTCACCAACCCATTGTACTTTCTTGCAAATAAATTATTATTATTAGTATACACATCTATTGCGTTCCCCCTGTAATTTGGTCCATGAATCAACAACACTCTTCCCAAACTTATTTCACTTATGGTATCTGTACACGGTGCTTAATCACCATTATGGTTATTGAAGGAAAAAAGAACCAGATAAATCCTCATCTGCTACGTAACATTGCACAGATGCATATAGAAGCAAACATGGCATCCGACAGCTTCACATACTTCACAGATGGATCAGTAGACCAGCAGGGACAAGAAACCGGAGCTGCAGTTAAAGCAGGAAACTCTGTAAATAGTTGGAGGCTCTCAAATGGGTGTTCGACTTTACAAACAGAGATGCTAGCCATTCAAAAGGCTTTGGAACATGCTCTTGCTGAACACCGACAACATGTTATCATACATACAGATTCAAGAACCGCCATTGAAACCTTGCAACAAGAACACATATGTGATAACATACATCTGATCACAAATGTCATATCATTAATGCAAACACTCAAACGACAAGGCCGACGGGTACTTATCAACTGGGTGCCAAGTCATGTGGGAATAATAGGAAATGACATTGCAGACGAAGCTGCAAAACTTGCAACTAAGAGAAGAAATGTAGACATTTACATACCACAGAGTCTATCACAGATTAAGAAAGTAATTAGAAACAGAGCAATGCAAAAGATGTACAATGACCACAACACACGAGTAGCAACATCAGGATCTGCAGGTTGGTACAAGAATTCAACCAACTACGAACCACTTAGTTTGATGAAAGGGAGCAATAGAGCAACAGAAGTACACTTACATCGCATCAGGCTTGGATACCCATGTGCATGGGAAATAGGCTTACAGGTTCCGGAAGATGAGAGGAAATGTCAACACTGTGGAGAAATGCCCGACAGACCACTGGAACATTATCTAACACAGTGCACAGTTACAAACCCATTAAGATTTCAACTTAGATTCAACAGAGCAGAAGAAGTTGTTAAACACATATGGCAAAATCTTACTGAAGCGGCCATACGAGTAATAAATACTCATACTCCGCCCAAGTAAAACAGAAACAAGCAACACTTAGTGGGCCAGCCAGAGGCTTAGGGCCCGCGCAGGAATATCCCTGCAAAAAAAAATAAATATATACTGAAACCCATCATCACCCAGCAATTATCAGCTATGAGAACTATAACAAATTCTGTCTTCAGATAAATGCAGCTCTTTTTTGTTCGACTTCATAAACATGCTGAACAGGTGGGACGTGACCCCAGACCCACTGCAGACCATGAATTACAATAATGTGGCTGACGATATGACATGATCAAACCCTTTTCTGATGTGTGGTTTGGTCGTCGTGCTGAACATTCAATCTATACATTACCTTCCCCACACACACGAGGAAATCGACTGACTGATTGATAAAAATTAAGCCATCCAAGAGGTTGCACAGGCATGAATAGCCCGTAAACAAAGAAATCAACTGACTGATCGATGCAGATTAAGCCATTCAAGAGGTGGCAATTGCATAAATAACCCGTAAGGAAGGAATTCCACCACAATAACATGATATATAAAAACGGGATTGGAGAAAGAGAGATTCACGGCCTATTCATGCCCGTGCCACCTCTTGGGTGGCTCAATCTTCATCAATCAATCAAAGAGAGATGAGAGAATGGGGGGGAGGAGATCTTCCGCTTCTACCGTAAGGGATAGAGCAGGGAGGGTAGGGGAAGGAGTGACCGGGCACAGCTGGGTACACAATCTACTAAATTAATTATTATAAATAATTAAATCCTACATCAAACCAAACCAGAAACATCCCAAAACGGCCTAGGAACTAAATCTATAACGTCACACACCTGGCTCATATTACATATAAACATAATTATTAGTATTTATTTTATTTTCGTTACGATAAGTTAGGATAGCTTTTGATAAGTTAGATTAAACGATGGAGTATTGGGTTAGGTTAGAATAGGCGTGTTTATAGAGTAATAATGTAGATGGGAGATACTTTTGGTAGGTTTTAGACCTCGAAACGTCAGCATGTACCCCAGGTACCCGCATGTACCTTGTGCTATCCACTCCGTCAACTCAAACTTTGCTACGATGTACCTCTTAATATGTGTTACATACTCTCACAATCCAATGTACCTTTTTGTATATAAATAAATAGATTTCAATTGAAAGGGGTATGGTTTGCACCATGTTTTTCTAATAATAGAAACCTTTCCCCTTAACCTGACCCCTTCCACGTGCTATATAGTCTTAATTGCTTGGCGCTTTCCCCCCTGATAGTTCTCTTCCCTTCCCTTCTCTGATAAGAGTTCGATTTGTTAACAAACAAACAGTGCGCTAAGCACTGTTAATGGAAGCGCTAATTATACAAGAATACATATACATAGCATATTAGCAATCTTATAAAGCCGCTATCAAATTACAATTAAATTTATAATTTAAAAAATAACAGGGTAAGATTATATTTATAAGTAAAATTTTACTATGACACTAAGGTAAATTCTTACATAAATACTAAATCTGCTGTAATTAGAGAATTATATGATCAAGTGCCATGTATTTATTCAGACGAGAACAGCAGCGAACACAAACCAGCACATGTACGAACGAAAGGGTATGAATGTATAAAATTCTCAGTGAACGAAGTTGTTATCCGAAACTGCAGTCGACGACGCCTTGACGAAGAGCCAGGAATACCCTGCGGGTGGCGGCCAAGATGCAGGACAGCTTCAGTGACGACTCCGACGACTACCTAGATGTGGTGAGCGGAGCTGATGAGTGCAGGAAGAAGCCCGGGAGACGTCCTCTGGAGGAGAGGATAGACATGACGCCCACGCTCTATAGGTCGGTTCCTGAAGCTGCTGCTGCTTTGACTTGGGTGTTGGGGGGGGGGGGGGGAGGGAGGCTCTGCAGGCTCTGCAGGTCAGTCCACCCCGAGGCTGCTGAGGTGTCTAGAGGGGTTCTACTGGCTAATTCATCCCGAGGCTGCTGCTATCTTGGGAAGGTTCTACCTGTCAGTCCACCCAAGACTACTGCCATGCCTAGGGGTTCAAAAAGGGCTACAAGGGAAGCCTTTCTATGTCCTTGCTCTTCTTTAGGCAAACTTAATCTAGCCTGTGATAAAAATAAAAACTCCAGCTTGAATATTATTGTTTTGTTTGAGGGCAAATGGGGGGGGGGGACCTTTTGACAAGCCACCTGCTTCCTGTCCTTGTCGAGGTCACTGGAGTGTGGCCCTCAGGTAAATTCAGGTAAATTGATTTTAACTGCACTGCGAATTTAATGTGGGGCTATATTAATGCAAGGATCCTGTAGCATTGTATTCTATGTCCTTGGCTCACAACTGAGAACCCAGGTTCAATCACCAGGCACACTGACCAGTTGCATGTGCAAAACCTTTGAGAGAATGGTGCTTAATAGATTATTGTATAGAGTTAAAGAGCACATGTCACCTGATATCAATGGTTTCACACATGGTAAAGGTGTACACAACTGTATCACAACCTTTCTTACTGTTCATGGAGATAAGAGGCACAAATACACAACATTTCTTGATTTAAAAAATGCCTTTGATATTGCTAATAGGGAAGTGATTATGTATGAATTAGCGAGAATGGATATAGGGGACATTTATTACAATGGATACGAGGCTATCTTACCAACTGGAAGTCCTCTGCACTGTTCCAAGGCTACAAGAGTGAAACTAAAGTAATGCAACTAGGCACCCCACAAGGAGGAGTACTTAGTCCTACCTTGTTTAATGTTCTAATTAATGCTTTACTAAAATCAATCCCAACTAGTCCGGCAAACATCACTATCAGCTATGCAGCTGACATCCTTGTGCATATTAAAACCCACCGCAAAATGCAAACAGTCTTAAATTGTATACATACAGCTTGTGAGAGCCTTGGTCTTGTAATCAACGCTGCTAAAACTAAGGTATTTAACAGACAAATTGGCAACCGCAAAAGTGGACCACAAAAACTTTAGATAACATACCAATAGACTATGTCTCTTCTTTCAAATACCTTGGTGTCTCTGTCCCATGTACCTCAACTGCAGTCAATAAGTTACATCAACAATGTAGAGACAGACTCAAGACTCTCAGAACTGTAGTGGGGTACAGCCCGAAATATGGTGTTAATATTAGAATAGCAAGAATGATGTATTTAGTGTATATAAGGTCTCTGATAGACTATCATGCACCAGCTTTGGTCCTGCAAAATGGCAAAAGTATTGACAGACTGGAAAAAATGCAAAATGAAACACTCAGAATTATACTTGGCTGTCCTATAACTACCAAAGTTCTCAACATGCGGAAAGAATTAAATATACTTAGCATTAGAGATAGAATATTTGAAATTAATCTTATGATGGGACTAAAGCTTCTGCGTGATAACAAAAACAACATTGTGTCAGTTGCACTGTTAGAACACATACGAAATGGAACTAGCGAGTCTAAATGGATTCAAAGAATCCATTTGAAATGAAATGGATTAAAAAATGATGGGACTACACGATGTATATACAGATGAAAGAGTACAGCACTTCCTTCCACCCTGGCAGATAGTACCTTTTGACATCCTGACCCCTGCATACCCCACCAAGAAACTAATCACAAACAACCCTCATGCTCAGCTTGCTGCTAAATTAAGCACCATAGAACACATTCACAATATACAAGCTGAAAACAACATTGCACAGACCATATACACTTGACGGATCACTCAATACAGCTACAGGGAGGGCAGGAAGTGCTGTTATTGCTCATCAGCCCAATGGCAGCACAATTCAAAGAAATATCCGAATTAGTAACTGGGCGTTCACTATGCAAGCCGAGTTGGTAGCGATACTGGTAGCACTCGAAATTATTGACAACACTGAAGTAGACAGCTTAATTATTTCTGACTCCCTTTCCTCACTACGAGCAATAAACAGTTTGCAATAAAGTAATAACATGCTTGTCTTGGTAGCTAGACATAGATATATAAGAATACTGTACTTAGCAAGAGGGTAAATATAAAAATATTGTGGATTCCTTCTCATATTGGCATGCAGGAACATGACAAAGTTGATGCCCTTGCTAAGGCTGCAGTAAATAAAGACAGTATTGAACGGAATCTTGAGTTATCAAATAGGTCCCTTAAAAGTGTCATTAGACGAGAACTCCTGGATGAATTTGAAGAAAGTAGAACAGTGCAAACTGGAACTAGCAGGTCCATTGTTCATCACAATGAAATGTGTGAAGTAAAACATGTGTATGGGGCAAGTAACAAAGTCAGTAGACTAACAGATGTTGTCACAGCTCGTGACAAGCTACAAGTATCTCTGGCAGTTCGGCTTGTATAGGGATCTAGATGAAGTAAAGTGTAAAGTGTGTGGACAAAGACAGGGACACACACTCGAACACTATATCTTGGATTGTAGTAAAATTGAGCCTTTTAGAGATAAATCAAAGCTCACTCTGTATGATATGGCAACCTATCTTATTACCATGGATAAATTACCTGAAATCCTTGCACTGTACCCACATTTCGCTTCCAGTAGATGAATGACATATGAGATTCAGAAACAAGTATAGTAGTGTATTGTGAGGACTAATAATAAACAGAAGCTCCCCTATGACTCTGTAATATCCCCATTGGTCAAACTATTATGCATTAGCGATAAGACCTACCATTAATGTATGATTACTTGCTGTAAATATGTAGGTCTTGTAATAGCACTTACTCTGTAACTAGCTGACATTGTAACTATAAGGTGTGAAGGATAGATGAAATTGTTTATGTAATAATCTAAGATGAGGTCTGATAAAGACCTTTTGTGCTCTCTGTAATGCTTTTGCACTACCGCTCACAGGATGAGTATGGGGTGCACAATAAACTAGCCGCCTTCGGCGGCAACAATCAAATTGGTCAAAGCAAGGTACCTGATGCCATTGTTCACATACCAGTTAGACAATTGTGGGTTGGATAAGGTAGGCATCCTTGGGAGGATCAGTAATTGGCCTTACCGTGATGAACCTAACAACAGGTTATCTGTTTCTGACAATAGGAATTGTATGGCAAATTGTATGTTTCTGCCCAAAACGCTGTGCGTGTTAGTGGGTTTGCAAGAATTTAAAAACACCAATATTGTCTCTCTTACAATCCAATGTACCTTCTTGTAAATAAATACTGTAAATAAATATATAAAGAAATAAGTAAAAAATTGTATGGTAAAAATAAAATGGGAATTGTATCGTGAAATAGTTAGTATTTCACATTACTTATGCAGGTACAGGTATGTGTATTTGGAGTGGCATTATGACAAGTTCTTCCATATTTGACTTTCACCCATCTAACTACAATATATAGATATACTTTATGGATTTTAGCAACACGTTCTTGTTAGGTTGGATTAGTACATATAGGATAATACTGTTATTGTTAGGAACAAATTAATCGAAGAGGGATAATTTAAATAAAGCCTTGGAGATAGAACCATATCACAAAATTGCTACATTATCAGGTTTAGGGTCTAGAGAAAAAGGTATTGGTGAGCTGCTTATGTACATATGTCCAATGACATGGCATGTTGAATGATGTGGTGGTGATGTTGGTATGGAGGGCTGCAATGGGACTAAGCTGTATGTGTCCTGCCAGTCCAAATATGTTATGGCATGTTGGATGATGTGGTGGTGATGTTGGTATGGAGGGCTGCGATGGGACTAAGCTGTATGTGTCCTGCCAGTCCAAATATGTTAAGACTGTGAGAGTATATTCACCCTTAATGATGGAATATAGCAGTCACTGGAAGGACAAGTCACATCTCGTGAGCATCATTGGAGTCTGTAGATAAAGGTATATGCCAATTAATATAGTAATGTGACAGTCAGCAGGGGGGCCTAGGTACAACTCATATGGGTCAATGTAATCCTGTAGAGATTATAACATGATAATGTGCTGTGCTTTCTCTGATATGGGTTGCATTCCAGTTACTGTGCACGGACTGTTGGTATCATGACAATGATTTATTTAAATATGTACGTCTCGAGTTGTGTTAAGGCTGCTTAAAAAAATGTGGCGGTAAAATATTTAACGAGTTACAATATCAGTTTATTTTTTTTCTTAATTGGTGTGTTTATAACTTTATCAAGGTATAGCGATCATTCGTTACCTATACTTGTCAAAGCTTGCCTGATTACTTACAAGTGCAATCACAAACGTAATGGCAGACTTTCCTCTCCAGGTTGTTTGCTTCATAACTATTCGGCTCAAAATTTACATTTTACACACTTAATTCATTGTCATTACAATAAATGTTGTAATGAATAGACAGCCACTTATTGTACAGTACTGTATCTTGAAAGTTTCTGCGAGCAAAGGTGAGAACTGATTACAGTACTGTATTAATAAGAATCGATGTTCTTTCATTTATTTGCAGGCAACGGAGTTCACAGGAACCTCCAGATTCTGGGTATTTTAATGACACCTCTGCTCCACAGGTTTGTTCGTCAAGTTTATTCTATTAGTGCCATTGTGTGATTTAAAATTTATAAACAAAATTAATAGAATTCAAGAGTGAAATGTGAAATAACTCATAATTATTTGTGTTGGGGACAGGTAGCCTATGTGAATTATAAGTTAGGCTTATATTGATACTGTATCCTCCCAAGGTCAAACTACTGACCTTCCCCAATATGCAACATTACAACAAGTGACTAACTTCCAAGGGTATCTATTTACTGCTAGGTAAACAGAGGCATTAGGCAATAGGAAATGTGCCCAACCCAGTATTCAAATCCGGGATTCCTGATTGTGAGCTGAGAACAAACCCAAGCCGAATGGAAATAAAAGAAAGGAAATTGCAAAGGATGTCAAATGGCAACAATCCAAACTATGTACAGTACAGTACCAACCCGTCCTCTTAAAAATAACGTCGCTTTTTGCTCGTATGCGCACTATGGTCAGATTTGGATGTAATTTGAAATGAAATTGTCTCACAAAAGTGACATACTGTCCCGTTTTCTGTTTGAGTCGTCTGGCTTACCCAGTAAGGTTAGGAGCGGAAACATTCAATTAACGTTTTTCATAATGTTTTGAAACTTTATGAGAATTTCCTGCACACCTAACCTACCAGAGGACCCTTAATTTACTGTTGTTGAAAGAAATAATCCCAAATTTATTTTCATTTCAAATTACGCCCACTTTCGGACATACTGTACAGGCAAACGGCCAAAAGCAACGTTATTTTTAAGAGGACAGGTTGACAGTACAGTGTTAGTTTGGATTGTTTAGATTACAGTAGCAAGAGTTTTCAGAAAAGGTTGGGAATAACAAACTGACAGGGATACACATATGGTGTAAATAAAGTACTGTACAGTAAAGGAAAAGGATCAAGCATTTGTTATATATTCTGACCTACAAGGAATGGTTTAACAAAGGTGAAAATTATTAAGTAAAATGTGACAAGGTTTGGTGTTTGCCAAACTTGCTCTTAAATAACCCCTTCGCTCTGAGCTGTCATACTGGCATTCCTTGCACCCTCCCCCTTGATGCCACTCTCCCCATCATGTGCCAGAATTTGTCCTCTAAACCTGGCACCACTTATACCAGACAGCCAGTATGTTGCTGGTGGCTATGCTGATCAGCTTGTTACTAGTGTCTGACAATGAGTTTTCCAATTGAAATTTTTGTCTGGATGTGAAAAATGGATATGATTATGAATCCATTACAGATAAGAACCAAAAACATGATAGCTAAATCTTTTTAGGAATAGATTTTTATCTGTGAGATGTATCTTATGTAATATGTATCATTTGGAGACAGAAAGATCCATTTTGTGTGAAGGTCCACTGGTCAAGTGTGAGGCTGTTCATGTATTCACCCATCCAGTTACTGGCCAGTCCCAGCCCCAGCAGTGTTTAACTAGTTATCTAATGTGCACAACATCCCTAGAATTTGTATTGAAGTAAAACAGATATTGATCAGTGCACCATACTGTACCATGGATTTCAAAACTATTTATATGAACATGCATAGCCTTACTTCTGACTATGAATCTATGGATTCAGTAAGTATTGTTTTTTTATATCAATATTTGCTCATCCCAAGTATCACCAAAACCATTCACAATATGCAAGTGACAACTGCCCAGCTGATGTATCTTAACAGAGCATAAAGTTTGGCAGAATTTAAGGCAGATCAAAGTGCATTTGTCTAAAAGAGTTGTCAAAAGTGTTTTTAATTAAGTAAACCTTCTCATTACAGTACAATACTACCCTATGTTGCATATTGCAGTACAGTACTGTACAACTATTAGTGATTTCTGGGAGTTATAAATAATGTAGTGATTTACTTGACATTTATTAGTACAGCTTCTGTGAATGAGTAAGATGGCCAGTCTTCTTTATTTTCTAGTCTAAAATATTGAAATCTGATGCATTGTATAGCAAACAATGCATAGTTAAATATCATTGATCTATTTACATACACTATTTTTGAGTAAGGCCTTGAAACTAGATACATCCAGAACACTGATAGATTGCCAGGCCCTGAGGAACTTTGAACTCCAAAAGGACATACAGTATTAAAAATTCCCTTGTATACTCTTAAACAGGGTAGAAAGCTCGGTGGCGAGCATACAGTAGGGCATTTAAGGAGCCTCGCGGCTTAGTGGATTGCGCCTGCGGGTCGTAGTCCTAATGGCCCGGGTTCGATTCTCAGCGGAGGCAGAAACAAATGGGCAGAATTTTTTCATCCTGATGCCCCTGTTTGCCTAGAGGTAAATAGGTACCTGGGAGTTAGACAGCTGCTACAGGCTGCTTCCTGTGTAATTACCTAAGTGTAGTTACAGGATGAGAGATATGCTCATGGTGTCCCGTCTACCCAGCACTCTGTCATATAATGCTTTGAAACTACTAACGGTTTTGGCCTCCACCACCTTCTCGCTTACCTTGTTCCAACCATCTACCATTCTGTTTGCGAAAGTGAATTTTCTTACATTTCTTCAGCATCTTTGTTTAGTTAGTTTAAATCTATGACCTCTTGTTCTTGAAGTTCCAGGTTTTGGGAAATCTTCCTTATCAATTTTGTCATTTCCTGTTACTATTTTATACGTAGTGATCATATCACCTCTTTTTCTTCTGTCTTCTAGTTTTGGCATATTTAATGCCTCTAGCCTCTCCTCGTAGCTCTTGCCTTTCAATTCTGGGAGCCACTTGGTAGAATGTCATTGCACCTTTTCCAGTTTGTTGATGTACTTCTTAAGATATGGGCACCACACAACCACTGCATATTCTAGCTTTGGCCTAACAAAAGTCGTGTGTGTATGTGTGCATGTGTTAGATATATATGTAGTTGATATAATAGAGGAAAACTGACAGGTTAGAAAGGCAGGGGTTCAAGAACTAATAGCTCGATTCTGCAGATACAAATAGTAAATATAGTACCTCCCTCCATCCATTTAATGTGAATTGCTTGTTATGACAGGACCTTTTAAACCACATGATACCCCCTGCAAGTGATTCTTAGTAGCTTGAAAATAGCCAACAATTGCTGACCGAAATACCCAGCTACTAACTACACTAGCAACTACCAGGTGACAGTGCTACTGAATACCAGGACTAGGAAAGGTGGGGTATCTTCCTGTGAAGGTTGGTACTTACCTGGTTGGGATACTTGCTCTATAAGAAACCAATACAGTACTGTACTGTACTTTTAATGAAGGTCAAATTGGTTATTCTAGAGACAGAACACAAGGGATTTCATGCTTATGCTCTCTTCACAGCATGGTGCACAATCTGTTTGAATAAACAACTATGATTCTGTTTCAGTGGAACCTTTTTCTGGTACTGATTGCAAGTACCTCCAATGGCTCTAGTCTTTCAAGACAATGGGGCTCCTGAAGCTGGTCCGACTCTTCTTCAGTTGTCTGTTCATTGGCAGTGCTCTGAGGACTTGGTCTCCTAGCCAAGACCTTTGTATTAACATTATAAACATTGGTTAAAGTGAACAAATCCACAAGGGCCGTGATGAGGATTTGAACCTACGCCCAGGATGATCCCAGACCCCCTTACATGATCCTAGACGTGTATTGGTTAAGGTTTCCAAATGGCCTTGTCTTTTAGCAGTTTAACATCATTAGGATGATGACAGGCTTTGGAGGTATAAACTACCAATGACTGCGGCTACAAAAGGACTGCTACCAATGAGGCTTTGAAAATGCAGAAATCACGCTGGATTTCTCTTTTCCACTATTGTTTTTACTAGGGGTTTTGTGGAAGTCTTCTCTCTCTCAATATATTTAGCAAAGGTCTGAGTCATGATGAGGAAACAGGTGGACAGAGCCTGACATGTTTAGTGATCTCGCTGCTCACATTTATAAAAATGGTAGTCAACTACACAAAGTGCTTCCAGTAAACGTAGATTTTACATAGATATTTGTAAAGCACACAGAGCAAACGGAAGAAATACAGTAGTTAAAATTAAAAAAGGGGCCATCATTAAAGGAAGAGAATCTGACTAGAAAAATGTTACAAGGGTTACTGTGAGGTTCTATTTTAGGCCAGTCTCTTGTAACATATTGATGAGGTAAGTGTAGATGTGAAAAAAAAAACCCTGAGGAATACAGTAATTGAATGAACATTTAACTTTAAGGAAAAGAAAGTGGTTATTATGTTGAACAAATTCTTGGTGCACAGCTATCGTTACTAATGTACCGAAGAAGGAAGACCTTGCCTTCAAAATGACATAACTACTGTACTTTGGAAAAGTTGAAAGTCATCCTAGAATTAAGTCAGCTCTTATACCAGGATGGGTCGAGGACTTCAGAACTAACAATACAAACCAGACATGACAGGGCTGATCACATAAAGGCCTTTAATTAATATACTGTACTGAACAAATTGGAAGACAATAATTCAGACCACTGCTTTAAAAGGTCCAGTGTAACTTACACAAGGGAAAATAGCTTCAAGTTCAATAAGTCACTATAAAGGACAGACAGTACTGTATAAGTTTTTTTTTTATCCACAAGGTAATAAACTTGTGGAATTACTTATTTGCCAGAGTTATAAATATCCAAACAGTACTTCAGTTCAATATCCAACTGAAAAAATCATGTCTCCACTGAGGCCATTAGAGAGGATGGCTCTCAAATTCAGGTACAGTAAACATGGTTACATTGTTGCTCAGGAAGCATTCAAGGAACCACTCAGAATGCAGCATTTCAATCTTCTTAATGCTCTATTTTCTAGTACATTGGGTTTCATTATTTAATAGGTAATTAAAATTAAAATTGTCTGGATAATTAGGAGTCACTTGAGAATGATGAACATGACTGAACTTGCTAGTAACTTGTGGGTAATTTTGTTTTTCTTTTTAGAGTATTGGATCTCTTACGTTATCAAATGGATGTGATGAGAACGGCTCTGCTAATGACGAGTTAACAGAAAAATCTGGAAATATGATGAATGGGCAGACTACCAACTTCTCAAATAAATTCTACAGTGGATACAATAATAGTAGGTGTTTTCCACAATATACAGACATTGCTAGAATTTTTTTTATATCAGATGAACCATACCTTCATACTGATGTACAGTATTTAATATTACGAGGCTTGAAACACGATCCTTGATATATGTTTAATTCGTCTAATTTATGTTACAGTAACTGTAACCACCAAGTTGATGGCAGTGATAAATAAATCATCTAGCAAAATAGCTTTCAAGTTTAGTCTGTAATTAACCGGGTTAAAATTGGATTAAGTTTTTCTTGCACGGTAAATCAACTTTAATATTTAATAGGGGGGAGCTTCCATTGTATGTACAGTGCAGTACTCCTAAAATGCATTGTATAATATTCTTGTACTGACTTATGGTTTTTCTATGCTTTACAGGATTCTCTGGCCATCAAACCAATAATGTAGCATACCTTGAAAGTTTTAGATTTTTTTACTTAAAAAAAATTACTTTCACTTAACTAATTTGGCGGTTTAGCTTACACATAAGAATTTGTGGTGTTTTTTGTTAACCATTAATGAATTGGGTTCTGATTATCATTATTTCATAATATCTGTTGCAGATAGGAAAGTTCTGCTGCTGATCTCTTGTATATCACTTGTATATGGTCCATCTTGCTTCACGACTGCGGTAAATGTTTTGCCATTGCACTGGACCTTTCCAAAGTTTTTAACCAGAGTATTGCACAAATCTGTACCCTTCAAGTTTCCATCCTTAGACTGTTCACCCTCTCTCCCTGTGTACCAGTGTCTAGCTTGCTTTCTGATTAATCTATTGATGCTGTGATAGATGGTTCAACTTCTGCATCTTTCTCCATGGATTACGGTTTTTACAAGTCTCTATTCTGTTGTTTACCCATTTCACATTGCTCATCAATAATCTTTAGTACACATTTAATGTTAACTATTTGTATGCTGTTGATTCAATTGTGTATTTCTCCACGCATTTCAGTTATAGTCCTACAGTCATCAATGAATCTCGCTAGCTAGCTGAAGCTGACAGAAGGAATGGCTTAATGGGTGTCTAGCTTAATGACTAGTTAGCACAATGTTTGGACAATCATAAAGTTAGCCAGCTATTCAGTCATTTAGCCAGCCAGCTAGTTGGCCAGTAAGGCAGTCATTCAGTTGCCTGCCTGAATGGCAGATTTGCTGGGAGGCTAGCTGGCTGAATTTCTGACTAGTTTGATTCGCTGGCTTGATGATTGGCTGAATGAATGACTGAGTAGCTGACTGGGTGGTTGTATGGCTGGCTGAATGGCTAGGTGGCTGAATGATGGGGCTGGCTTGCTGAATGGCATGCTGATTGAATGAGTAACTGGCTCGATATCTGACTTAATGTGGCTGGCTGGCTCTGTTTTTTTACTTAATGATTGCATTGCTGGCTGGCAAATTGTCTAGTTGGCTGATTGACTGGCTTACTGTCTGAATGATTGTCTAGCCTACTAAATGGCTGGCTTACTGTCTAGCTGGCTGAATGATTAGCAGGCTAGCTGGCAGTCTGTAATATATTCTGTTTGTCTGTCTAGCTGTTTAACTTGGAGGATATATGGATATGACAAAAACGCTTGGTCACTTGGTCATTCAAGCTCATATGCTGTAGTTAAACACTGCTCCCCAAGGCAATTAATTTAACTGTGACAGCTGCTACATTAGTAAAAGGAGGCACAGATGAAATGCCTACCGATCAGTGTCTACAAGGAAATCTTGTGTTTTTGAGGTTCTGAATGAGCCTTTTTTTTTTTTTTTTTCTGGACTGAGTACATCCCACTGTCTCTCTAGCACCTGACTGACCTGGCAAACTGTCCCAAATTTGGAAAGATACCTGCTGCACCAGTTCAGTCTTGACTTGCCCTTATTATTTGAGTATTGCTGCCAACAGTGGCTAGTTTATTGTGCACCCAATATTCATCCTATGAATGGTGGTGCAAAAAGATTACATAGGGCGCAAAAGGTCTTGATTAGAATTCTGCAAATATTTTATATTAGCATTTTAAAATTTATCTTCATGCCTTATAACCATCATAATACTGTAGTAACGAACTTCATGTACTGAAATTCTATGAATTATGACATACTGTATACAGTACCTGACTGAACATTGTCCAGTTAAAGGAAACATTAGTACCTATCCCAAGATAAAAAATAAAACTTATTATATCTTTGTTTTTGATATTGGTTTTAAACTTAACCTACTGGTACAGTATTTCCTTAAAGTTAGTTTAATTTTGTTCCTTTGTCCAAAAGCTAAATTTGTGTTCAGTCATGCTATAAAATGGAAGTATAGTGCTTAGCCTGTAGTTTTTGACTGAACCTTACTTTTATGGAATCAAATTTAATCACAGTACTGTTTGTCGGCTTGTGTTTGGATAGTACAGTATACGTACTGCAAAACAATGACATTTTTTATTTAAATTTTTAGTAAAGGCAATCCAAAACATTTTTCATTTGCATGTTTAAGAAAAGGTTAACGTCACTTATCACTTCACTTATCAACCTCACTTAAAAGGTTAAAGGTCACTTACAATTTATATTTTTCATCTTGTACAGCATCAAGCCCAACACTCTCACACAGATCCCGCACTAGTCAGAGTCCAGGTCCTCGTGGGAGAGGATCATCGAGGCAAATGAGAATGCACAAAGGTTACTCTGTCCCCTTTGATGAACTCCGTATGGCAGCAATGTATGGAAATTTACCCGTAGTCAGATCTTTAGTCAAGCAAGGTAATAAAAACATTTCACACATTAAAAAGTCTGTATTAATGACTATACATTCGGATTCTAAAATATACATTAGTTTTTTTTAGTTATATAATATTTACTATCGGCTCGAAATCTTGGATATCTAACTTTTATTAATTTTGTAATTTTGATTACCGGTACTTTCCTCAGGCATTGCTGTAGATCAGATTCTGAAGTCTGGATGGACATGCCTGATGTATGCTTGTTCTTGTGGGAAACCTCGAGTGGTCGAGTTCCTGCTGCAACAAAATGCTGACACTAATCTCCATAAAGGTACATTTCCACCTTATTCCTGTATTAAACTACTCATTTATTGTGTTGTTACTAAATTGAGTGCAGAACACACTACATAATTAACATCTATTAGTTTTAGATTTTATGCTTCATTGTGTATCCATGCACAGTACTGTTATTTTATGATGCTAGATAAAAAGTGAGCATCCGGCATGCATTACATATTTGGCAAGAGTTGACAGTAGCCTGTTGAGAAATTATTTATGAGAGCGACAGGTGCAGTTCTCTTTTGACGGTCGTGAACATGTATGATGCTGGCCTTCACATTTTACGGCATGGTAAATCTTCAACTGATCTCCTGATAATATAGTATTTAAAATAAAGTACAGTATTTAAAATAAAATAAATTATATGAAAACTTAATACCTGTATACAGTATACGTACATACATACATACATGTACAGTACTGTATTCATTTATGAATTCCATACTTTATATCACTCTTTAAAATGGCTATAAAGTATATGCCTATCAGTTCATACCTATTAGTGACTACTGTATAGTGTATCCTACTTCCCCGTAATCACTGATAGGTAATCACTATATATTTCTATAGTTGTGTATTATGCTACAGTTTTGTGAGTGTAAATTTTTTTGATTGTGGTATCTTAAGACCTGACATGAGATGGCCCCATATGCCTACAATAATCTAGTTATTTATCATGACTTCTGGCTTTGTAATGTTTTCAAGAAAATTGTGCTCCTTACACAACTTACTCAGGTGTTAAATAGCATGGGTTTTGTAATGCCAACTGTAAAACCAGAGGCAGAAATACAATTGGCCTCGCAAATTTATTTTATAATTATTTATTTACCTGAATTTACCTGAGGCCCACCAACACTAGTAGCCTTACACAGAGAGTAATCACACTAACATGAATGCATCAACGAGAAAATCCATGGAAGCAGTGATGAAGGTTCGAACCTATGCAACGAATATTTGCACGCTTCTAGCAACTAGACCATTACATGGTAAAAGGATGCAATTCTTTTACCATGTCGTGGTCTAGTGGTCTTGACGAGGACAGAAAGCCAGCAGCTTGTCAAAGGTCTTGTAAGACATTGATTGCTCCTTATTATTTTATAATGATAATAATAATAATATAATTTATTCATGCAGTACAGTATACAGAGGACATGGTATAGTGGTTACTTAGTAGGTAAAATAATTGTATATTGTATAATGCCATTAGTTACAGCATTCAGGCAGATAATATTCTGTACAACACTGTACTAGTTCTCTTCATCATGGTTAGACTCTTCCCTGAAACAATTATAAGCTATATACAGCTGGAAGTCTTGTATTACCAGAACAGTGGTGGCTTGATAAACCCAAGTGACAATTGTCATGTTATAAACAAAACATTGATTTTTTTTTTATAATGCTTTCCTTACTTTGCTTTTTAGATATTTTGTCCTACAGTACTAGGTCAATTACAGTACAGTACTAGGTCAATTTTTCATTGCATGTACTGGTAATAATGCTATACCTACAGTATAAACATAACCACATTCAATTTCATATATTTTATTTTAACTTCTGTTTGGAACATATCTGTTTATTTCTTAGAGTTGTTTACCGCTCTCATGGCTGCATGCGCTTCCAGCCGTGAATGTGAAGCAGACCTTTTGGAGTGTGTGGAATTGTTGCTCAGTTACGGTGCTAAAGTGGACGTTGCAGAGCGACATCGTATGACAGCCCTCATGTTTGCCAGTAAAGAAGGGCGAACCACAATTGTTCAGAGGCTTATTGATGCAAAAGCTGATCTCAACAAGCAGGACAATAAAGGGTATGCAAGTTACACCATTATGCATTTCAGATCATTTTATAATGCAACTTACTCTTCGTATGTGGTGAAATTTTTGTTTATATAATATTAAAATTGAAAAGGTCAAGAGATTGAACCCATAACCCAAGCATTGAACCCATAATATTTGTGAAGTTTTGGATTCTGTAAATTGCCGTATAATATACAGTAGTACAGTATTCAACACCTAATAGTTTTTTTTCAGGTTTTGGCCATAATAATAATAATAATAATAATATTAGTAATGGTAATGTCTTCTCACAGACATAATACCAGGATAAAACCCAACACTTGTGTATTTTTTAAATTTATGTAAGGAGTTTACACCAAGGTCTGAGTATGTAAAGTGGGAGAGACATATAACTCAATGTCTAATGAGGCTGCTATCCTGAGTCCAGTCCTCTTATTCTTCTTGACCGCCTGACCAGGTCGCCTCTATTCCTGACTGCTGATGTACCTGTGGTAATGTCTTCTACAGACTTATGGTCATGTGTCCTATCTGTAATCCTGCTATTCAGAGAACTGGAATTGTTATTAATGGAGGTGTTCATCTGAATGCTATCCCTCGTAACCCTTTCTCTACCCAAAGAAATGTGGCTAATGGAACTGGTTTAATTCATCCATTTATTGAGATCTAATTTTAATTCACTTTGAATCATTTTCCCAGTGCAGCTATCCTCCGAAGTGAAGCATTTGTTGCCGGTAAAAATATTTAGTGTATTTATTAGAGCCCCTTCTACTTCTAATATTATTACTTTTATAGGTTATTTCACATTTCTTAAAATGAACATTGTGATCCTTTACCCAACTATGGTTTGCTACAGCACTGTTACCAGCCATAATTCTACATGCTTTCTTATGTTCTTAAACTTGAGATGAGAATTGAAGAAAGAATGTAGAATTATGGCTGGTAACAGTGTTGTAGCAAACCATAAGTTGAAAAAAGGATCACAATGTTGATTTTAAGAAACGTGAAATAATCTTTAAAAGTAATAGTGTAATATAAAACAAGAAGGGTAGTGGAAGGGGTTCTAATATATACGCGAATACTTTTGCTGGCAACAAAAGCTTTACAGTGGTACCTCGGAATGCGATTGTCCCTGTATGTGAGGTTTTCGGAAGGCGAGCAGTATTTACTCCAAAAATTTGTCTCAGAAGGCGAGGGTTACTTCGGGACGCGAGTTTGTTGATACACGTACAGGCCGACCTAGCGCGTGGTGGTTCGGCGATCGTCGCCCCTCCGCCCCGCCGCCCCTCAGTTTACCATTGTCTCGCGCTCAGTGACTACCCCCACATCAATTCTTCTCGCGGATTTTCAGTGTTTTGTTGGATTTTTGGTGATTTGTCTATACAATTTGTTATTTTATATCTCACCATGGGTCCCAAGAAAGCCAGTGGTAAGGATAAAGGCCAGAAAGCTCATGTGAGGATGACAATAGAGGAGAAACAAGAGATCATTCGGAAGCATGAGAACGGTACACGTGTTGTTGAACTTTGTAGGCAGTACAACAAAGCCACATCAACAATATGCACTATACTTAAGAAGAAAAATAAGATTATGGGTGCTAAAGTGGCAAAAGGAGTAAGAACATTAACGGCACAAAGACCACAAATACTTGAAGTGGAAAAGTTGTTATTAATTTGGATACACGACAAGGAGTTGAGGGGTGATAGTGTTTCGGAGGCCATTATTTGTGAGAAAGCCAGGGTGTTGCACGAAGACCTTCTAAAGAATACCCCTGCAACGAGTGATGCAGATAAGAAAGAGTTTAATGCAAGCAGGGGCTGGTTTGAAAAATTTAGAAAGAGAAGTGGTATCCATAGTGTTACAAGGCATGGGGTTATGTGATGTGATTATGGAAGGGGACTCCCCTTCCAAACAGTAACTCCTCTCCTCCTCCCCCCTCCTCACCATCTTCCATACGCCTACAGCACTCGACAGCAAGGTAAGTAATAACTGGAACACAGTTTTGTAGGTTTATTTAGATGAATTAGGTATAAAAATTTAGTTTGATGTGGGGTTTTTGGGGTAGTCAGCAACGGATTAATTCATTTCCCTTTATTTCTTATGGGGAAATTAACTTCGGAATGCGAGTTTTCGGAAGGCGAGGCGTCTCCAGGAACGGATTAAACTCGTATTCTGAGGTATGCCTGTACTTCAGAGAATAACTTTATTAGGAAAATGACTCTTGAGTGAATTAAAATTAGATCTCCATAAACGGATGAATGAAAGTACTCCCATTGCCGCATTTCTTCTGGTAGGGATAGGGTTACGAGGGATAGCATTCAGATGAACACCACTATTAATAACAACTCCAGTTCTCAGAATAGCAGTATTACAGAAAGGACACATGACCATAATTCCGTAGAAGGCATTACCGCAGGTATATCGCCATTCGGGAATAGAGGCGACATGGTCAGGCGGTCAAGAAGGATAAGAGGACTGGACCCTGGATAGGAGCCTCATTAGATGTTGAGATGTAAGTCTCGTCCTAATCACACACTCAGACTTTGATAAAGTACTCAGGAGAGTATGAAAGACTTGGTGTTAATTCCTTACATAAATTTCACAAATGCACGAGTGTGGGTTTTTATCCTAAATAATAATAATAATAATATTATTATTTTATTATTATTATTATTATTATTATTATTATTATTTATTATTTATTATTTATTATTTATTATTTATTATTTATTATTCATTATTTATTTAATAATTATTATTTATTATTATTTATTAATTATTATTTATTATTATGGTATAACACTAATAATTTGATTACAGGCCCATTTCTATGTGTGGTTTATACATAGTGTGATAATTACATTGACAATAATGAAATTGTATATGCTGTACAAGAGTTATATGTAGCAGTAATACTGAGAAAGAAGAAAGCAGGTTATGAATGTGTATCTGAACTATCACCTGTAACATCTACATTCCTATTGTTGTGTTGTACTCCAGAAAATCACACAGAACTACTCATTTACTTAGGGATTTGCCTTAATATATTAAAAGTTTCCAGATCCTGATATTGAAAACGGAAGTAATTGTATAACTCATCCCATCTCTCCTTTATATTTAAGTAGAATCTATACAAGTAGAGTATACATAAAGAATACATTTTTTTACTAATTCTGGATATAAATATTTAACCATTAAACTTAAACCTGGTTTTTTAAACTGGAATATTCATCTATAACAGGTGGACTGCTCTGTGCTGGGCAGCTACAAAGGGGCATGGTAAAGTGGTACGAATCCTGCTGCAGCACTTGGCGGATCCATTAAAAATGAACACCCATGGACAAAGGGCAGCAGACATTGCACTTGCTGCAGGTTACCCTCAGGTGAGAATTTGTGTGAAGTAAATACATTTACTCATCTGTATATTCCATTGTTCATTAAATATGGATTTTTTCCTATAACTGCCAGCTATTGTATAATTGATGCTGTACCTTTATAATACTGTATTCTGATTTTTTTTCCATTTTTTGGCCCCAAACATGCTGTTACTTTATATTTCTTCTTATTGTTGGGTCTTTTTATCTCATTCCAATTTGCCATGCCACAGTTGTAATTTTTCACTTTTTAGTTTTCAATTGATATTTTTATTTTTTCTGATGGCTTTCTAGATTGCCGACATTCTGGAGCGTGTGGCTGTTGGAGGTGCCAATCTATCATTTACGGAAAGCAGTGCTGAAAGTGTCATGATCAAGTACCCTGTAGAAAACAAAATGCCACAGTCTTATGGAGAACTTGAGATGGTGTTGACAGGACTGGATTTGTCATACATGATCACTTTGTTTCAGGAACACAAGGTGAGGCCAGGTTTAGCAATGTTTTTGCTAATGTTTTGCCTCTGATCATTATTGACTAATTTTGTTTGAATAAAAGCTGAATGTGTAATAGTGTTGTGGATAGTTAAAATCATTAATGTAAAAATAATTTTTTTACAAGAAAAAGTTTTGACGTGTAAATTTTAAAACGGTAGTGTGTGTATATGTGATCCTCGTCATTTTCTGTGGGAAGTAACATTTTGTATACTTTGCTTGCATTAATCTAGGAATTTGAAACTGAAATGGAAATAAGTTTGAAGTAAAATACACTCAAAGGGATGAGGTAGCTCAAGCTATTCTCACCCCGTTATCTAGGGATTATTTTGTTAATTTCAGTTACTCCTTTCACCTCCCTTTACTGTAGCTGAGAATACACTTGCTCTTGTTTCTACTATTGAATGGCTCATTTCCAAGTTGAGCATATTTTATCATTCATTGACTCATTATTGTTATCTAGTTTTCTACTTCTATGGGTGTAGGGAGACATCAACTTGGAGAAAAGTAGTTAAATAATAGCAAAAGGTTATAAATATTAAGAAACTAAATATTATGTCTATTTTGTTATACTGTACATCTAATAATATACATAAATATTATTTTTCTGAGGGGAGCCCCCCATCAGCTCCCTGAAGCTAACAGACTGATATTTGCTATTTTAGTCCATTAGCTTCAGGTAACCTCCGGGGCCCAACCCAGAAAAGTGGCGTTTCATTACATTAAACACTGGTTTTATTAGATACTGTATACAATAGTGCAGTGGTAGATTGCAGTGGTTACTTAGTAGGTATAGTATGTGTTTATTTTATAAAACCACGAATTACAGTACTCGCAACATTTTGGCCATAACTTAAAATAATGAGTGAATTTGGTCTACATTTTTAGGATAGCCTTGATATTCTTTATGCTTATGCAGTATGCCAGGTATCATCGTTCCCTTTCCTGTTGCCTTCTCTGGCAACCAGGTTTCACTTGTCGCATTCCATATTTTGTGTAATTGCCGTTATTTTTACACATCTTGCAAAGTAACACATAAAAACATCAGGAATATAAAAGAACATTGGCAGTTACACTGTTAGGATTGTATTCCAGTAACAGGTATCTAAACACTGAAAATGTTTAAGTCTGGGAATTGTATGAACTGCAGCCATTCAGATTTTCAGCATTTTACTGTATATATAAATGTAGGGTGTGCTAATACGGAAAATACTAATAAACACACATTGTATACGAACACGCATACATTGTCTAAAACTATATGTAAGGTTTATTGTATTGTCTCTAAACATGTACTGTCCTGTTTGAATAATTGAGATGCACGCTCAAGACACACCTTTGACCAGTTACCTTGGATAATCAAGCCTTGAATCTTACTTTTCTCTGTTCTTAACTAACTTTATCCATTTATATCCTCTAGCTTTTCCTAAATAGCTAACAATTCCTCTGGTAATTACAGTATGTGCTTAATTCTGTACTAGCATTGTCATTGCATAATTATACTTATATTTAAAGGTGTCATTTGAGTCATTTCTGCGCCTATCGGAGAAAGACCTTGAAAATATGAATGTGACTGCCATAGGAGTAAGAAAGAAGATTTTGCATGCAATAAAAGAGATCAACAAAAAAGAGTGGCAAACCTCAAGTCTGCCAAATATGGCAATGGACTCAATGATTACGTAAGTTAAATAACTTTTACGTAGTATAGATTTGCATTGCCCTTGACAGTACAGGACAGTGTTATTCTTTCTAAATTGTATATTTCTCTTTTCACATTTAAGAATTGCTTATAATTTGCAGCTTCTTTAAATGACAGCACCTGATTTCCAGGACAGTACCTTCTTTCCAGGACAGTACCTTCTTTCCAGGACAGTACCTTCTTTCCAGGACAGTACCCTCTTTCCAGGACAGTACCTTCTTTCCAGGACAGTACCCTCTTTCCAGGACAGTACCCTCTTTCCAGGACAGTACCCTCTTTCCAGGACAGTACCCTCTTTCCAGGACAGTACTTTATTCTTTCTATCAGTACGATCTTTCCTAAGATCATTCTGGGTACACCAGGTTCCCATGACTATTTGCCTACCTACTACAGTAGAACCTCGAGTGACAAGCGGCTCCAGTTACGAGCATTTCGAAATATGTCTCGATTTACGAGCTTTCGCTCGATTAACGAGCGTTCCCGCTGGTTCTCGAACACCTCTGACGACAGTTTTGTTGTTGTTTCACAAGATGAGTTTTCCACATGACGAGCTCAGTGCCGGAACAGATTAAACTCGTTAATCGAGGCGCCACTGTACTGAGGTGAACTACCCATAAAAAAAAAAAGCACGGAACACTGATGCTCTTTCTAAGTAATGTTTGGCAACACTAATTATGAAACAAACTGCAAACTATCAAGATACTTGGCCACCACCTACCACTGCCACCAGATGGCAGCCCAATTAACAATAAGCCCCTCTTTGTACTCGAGTACAAGTGCAACCAATAGCATGAGAAAGAAGGAAGAGACGGCATGGTTTTGGGGAGCTACTGAAGTGCAACTGCATAAATAGATATTTCATTTCACTCGATAAGTACTGTACTTTGTTTCCTGTGGTGCCCATCTCGGAAGCTTCCCTGAGCTTCACTACAATGAGGCAAAAAAAGTATTTTTGAAAGCAATTATCTATCTTAGCTTACAGAAAAAATGGAAGTACTGTAAAGGAAAATGTGTACAAGGTGTGCTAGTACACAGGTACCTGTGCTAGCAGAGGCTGTGAAGGCATCTGGGCAAAGAGGCTTCGAACTTCAAACATAGATTAGGTTGCTGAGGGCAACGATGCACTGATAAAGTTGAGCAATGGCTGGAATCCAGCCAGCACCCCTATTCAACTTCAATTAGTGCTGGGCCTTGATAAAAGCTGCACAAATAATGAAGACTTCTGAAGCAGAATATTTATGGGCATCACGAGTCCTAAGAAGCACATGAGGATGATTACAAAGACTGATACGATGAACAACATACTGTACCACTAAACCTGTGAGCAAAGTCGCAAAATTGGGGAGAAAGAAAAGAAGAGCATCAACAGAAGAACCGAAAGAAGCTTGCCCACAAAAACATTGCAGCAGATAGTCCCAGGATAGAAAAAACCCTAGACTGGAACAAACGAGTCTACAAACGATACATATTTGGCCAAGAATACAGACTCTAAAAGCTATAACTGAAGACCCATGAGCAGTAAACCTCTAGAGAAACATGAGCCAGTTGCAAAGACAAAACACTGAAGGCATCTTGAAGAGTCACCAAAGTAGTCTTGAAGAAGGGGCACTGTAGCAAGCTCAAGCCTGACATCTAACTAGAATCAAAGATACAAGAGAGTTTGACAAACACAGATCACCAAAAGGGATAAAACAGAAAGGAATACAGCACTGTCCCCGGGTAAAAAAACAACAAACCAGAGTCTAACCAGTCTCAAAAGTGAAAGCTTTGCTTCACTAGGGGCAGGTATTGGCACTGTGGGCTCATGTTTATACACAGTAACACTTAATGTGTGCATGCTCTGCAAGTCTTTGCAGATAAAATTTATTAAATTTAACCAGCTTGTTCTTTCAGTCCAGGGCTAGTTAAGCACAACAGATACTTTGCTCATTTAAATTTATGCCACTTCATTCACAGTCCTCTGAATTTTAATTGGTGTTTTTGAGCACAGGCTGCATTTGGCCACTGCTTCATCTTGTGCATTTGTATGGTTTATTCTGTTACCCGCGAGGTTAGGCCTTGCCACCGTTGTAGTGGATGTAACTTTTGTATTTAGTCACTGGTATGTCTTGCCCTGTGTTGGCCTTATTTTAAACAATAACAGTACTTTAATTTTTAGGGTTTGAGCTCCCTGCTAATTATGACTTGCTGATCTTTCCCACATTTATATTTGGCAATTTCAGTGTTGTTCAGCTGACATCTAGCATTTTTTATATAATTTCCTATGTTTGGAACCCTTCATCCATTTTAAAGCTTTCCAAGTCATGATTATATCTTGCAGACAGCAGATTTCACCTTACTGATACTAGTAACTAAGCGACCAGCTTAGAAAGAAGCATTCCTATTTATTCAAGAGCCTAATTTCTTATTTACTACAGGGTTCCAGAAGCGGTAGCCATGATAGCAAATATTAACAAGCATATTCGATACATGCATGCATCGGTGGGCTATCTGCGAGACCAGTTGCAATGTAATCCCAAGCTGCTTCAGTTAGGCCAAGAAGTTCATTCTGTTTCCACTCTATCATCACAGTGTGGGGACTCGATAAAATTTATACAGTCTTTTCGCGAGGAACTAAGGTTCTTTAAAATTCATCTTGACAAGGTAAGTTCTTGGAGTGTTAGAACTTGTGCAATTAGAGTAAATTAACAACATGGTGAATAAATTCATGGCTTTTACATGTTATCATTTAATTCTATAATGTCAAAGCTGATTTTGAAGTAGTGAAACAGCCAATAGCTATGCTATTTTTACTCTAAGCATGAATTTCATTGTTAACAACTTTAAACAGTAACACAGTCAAAATGTGGTGTGCTTTTTTACAGCACAAACTATTTTTAGCTGTTCTTTGACATAGCTAATTGACTTTGTTTAACTTTGACTACTGTATAGCCATGGATGATAAATTATTTTAGGTCTTCCATACTTACATTCAGCAGTGTTGTACTGTTGAAACTTTTCATATAATGTAATATAAAAAATGAATGAATTAAGTTTTGTTTATTTTCCATTGTACACTCCATACTTCATATTTGTAGTGTACTACAGTATGTACAATAGAGCGTGAAGCTGTTGCATCTTGTGAGTTATATTGTACCTTTTAAAAAAAGTAGTTTGAATTAATAATTTCCAATTTGTTCAATATTTTAAAGCTTTCAGTGAGAACAGTCCTATTGTCCGGCTTGTAGTGGTGTTATTTCAAGGCCTTCATCCTTTCTGGTATGAGAGTTGACTTAATTCTGGAAGGTTATTTGTTGCTCTGCATTAAACTTTATTCAAATCAACATGTCCTTTTTGAAAGTGAGATCTCTGTACTTGGATACAGTAGTCTAAAGTTGTGCAGCAGATATTTGTATAGCTCAATAACCAGTTTCTTTTCTTTGAAATCAAAAGGTTTGTTTGATTTTCCAAGCTTTGGTCGATTTTTTTTATTATTATTATTATTATTATTATTATTATTACTACTACTTCAGCTTCCACTTGCTGAGCAACTTTCAATAACTGGTGAATCATAACTCATAAGGTTATGTAATTATCAGGAGTAAACACTGAAGCCAGTATAACTATATAGCGCTTGGAAGATACGAGGACCAGGGTCTGGGATAGACTGGAGGGAAGGAACCATGCCCAATCACTTGGACCGTTGTTTCAACAGAATGCTTACCTACCTACAAGAAGCAAGGCCTTCAATGTGTTAACCAGTTCAAGTGGTTGGGTCATAATTAATACATCCTTTTCTTTATCAATCTGCCGCACGGCTGTGTTGTTGATATGAAACTTATGTGTAATGTCATACCCAACATGTAAGGTTTTTGCATTTTTCAATACAGTATTTAAAAGCACGTGTTAGTCCTATGAATTGGTGTAAGAATAGTGTCTACTTGTAACAATCGACTTTTTATTTTATAGGTATGTGGTAATGCAGAGTACAGTCCAGCTGATCTCATCGTAGATTGCGTGGATAATGGAAGAGTGTGGCAGAGACGTCTTTTGGCCTCTTTAATTACTACCACAGCAGTGGCCACTATCCTTTGGTACTCAAGACCACAGACCTTTGCAAGAATTTTCAGCATCAAAATGCCACAGAATACTGTATTGCTCGATATATAACAATTTTGGTTTTCGAGCAATACAGTATTCTGTGACGTTTGGTGAAAATGAACTGCATGGCAGAAACTGGTGAGAACACTTGTCATTAAATAATTAATCACATATCATCTTGAGTTAACATGTACAGTAGATCACAAGTAACTCATTCACTCATTTCCAGTGCCTATACCCAAGAAATAAAATGGCTTTTACTTATCCAGGTGGAACTAACTTTGTGTAGTAATGTGAAGGCACAGAATTATAGATCAAATAATTTCATATGAACTATTAATAACACAAAGTTTCATTTCTTATAAGTGATGTTAGTAGCTTCTGGCACTGCTGAAGGTAAATATATCCAAAATATGAGTGCCTTTAACTATTAATGGTAAGATTTAAATCATTATTATGCTCTTAACTACGCTGATACTCTTGGCACTTTGATGGTTCTAAATTGTTGCATCATTTGTTGCCAAAATAGTCAAGCAGTATCCCTTTTTTTCCACATTCAAAAAAGGATGACACAAGGAGAATTGTGCCTGATAATTTGTAATTTAAGTATATATTGAATAGGAGCACAAACTCCTACCACATTATCTGAATTGTTTTCACTTGCACAGTTCTTTTTGGCCATACAACAGTGGCTTCTTGTTTTTTTGTTTTGCATTTAAAGAAATTACTCCCTGCCCATGTATTGAAATAAAAATTACATAAAATAAAACCAATAAAATATTTATCAAAGGGTAAACAAGAGCATGAAATTTAAATTTAAGTAGATGAGTAAATTTAAGCAAGTCATATATTATTTTATTTTGGATTTTTAAAATTTATTTTATAGCTACTGTATTTAGCCATCTTGATAGTACCTGTTAGGAATATTTAATGCTGTAGGAGTTATACAGTGTGAGGAAAATAGGTTTATTTTTCTTAATTGCTATTAATTTTGTAGTAAGTGATTGTGGAATTAAAATGTATAGGAATATTATAATTATTTAAATTCGACCTATACAGTTGTGATGATAAATATAAGTTTTGTGAGTGCAATACTAGTATATTGATTAGGTAGGTTAGTATATACAGCGTGTGTGTGTGTGTGTGTATATATATATATACAGTACTGTATATATATATACAAGTACTAGTCTCGGATGTTTATTGAGTAATCTAACCATAACTTTCGAAATGTGGTACAGATTATTCTGATATATAGTTTATCATAAGTGATGTTATAGTACAAATAAAGCCTTCCAATGAAATTTTGTTTTCTTGCCTATTTGTCTTATCCCCTAAGTATCTTAGCGATCTTTTTAGTTCAAAATAAACCAGGAAAATTTGCCAGGAAGAAAGAGGCACCCTTCTTCAGCCACAGACTTCCTGTTGTGGAAATTTGCCTAATTAGCACTACAAAAAACAGGCTGGTGTATCAGGAAAAGTACTAAAGTGGGTGAAGGAGTATATTTCATGAAGAAGGCAGTCATAGTAACAGGATAGCTATCGGAAAGGAGAGGTAATGAGTGGAGTTTCTCAAGGGTCAACACTAAGGTCCATCCTGTTCCGAATGTACGTTAATGATATAACAAAGTAAGCTCATTCTTATCTATTTTGCTGATGATGTTCAACTATTGAGGGAAATCAGAACTGAGGAGGACTGACATACATTCAAGATGAACTAGACAATCTTCAGAGATAGTCTGAGAAATGACTACTAGATTAATCCTGATAAATGCAAGGCTATGGAGGATAGGAGATGCAGCAAGAAGACCTCATATACAGTACAGAATGAAGGAAAGGCAATCTCTCAACTTACGGGAAAAGAGAGAGAATTAAAAGTTGTACTGGCAAACGTCCAGTTATTCCTTAGGAACTTGGATAAAGTTCCCTTCTGAGCACTGTATACATCCTTTGAAACTTATTATTGAGCATGGAGCCCCAACCTAAAGAAGCATAAGACAAAACTTAGAAAGGTCCTAAAATATACAACAAAACTCTACCTGAGTTATGGAGAAAGACTGAGGAAACTGGATCTAACAACACTGGAGATCCAGTTGGGGGGGGGGGGGATCTCCGGTGGAAGTACATAGGGGTCACATGGTAATGATGCAAAAGATGCTATTGGAGAATTGATATTTTCATTACCACCGACAGTGAAGAAAAACATAAGAAATATTGAGTAAATTCGTGTTGTTGTTGTTGTTGATTTAGGGGCGACGACGATCGTGGGATCGGATGCGCCCCGGCGTACCCGTGATGGGTTAATCGCGAAGCCCGGTAAGGGGAAACGCCAAGCCAAATCGCGAAACGAGTGACGCCAATCACAAAAAACTAATATGCCTCGCGGCAAAGAAACGCACAGACGGGCAGATGATTGGGGAGCCCCAGGAGTCCCTCAGGGTGACAAGCACCGGCCCCGCCCCACACAGAGAACACCAGGTAGCAAAACCAAAACTCAGCCCCCAACTAAAACGCAAAAAGTCATCCAGTGTCCTCCGGCAGAGCAAACGCCGGCCGCCCACCACAACTGAGGACACCAGGAGCCCGCCAACCCCCGGCACCTCGGCCAAGCCGGGCCCCGAACACCGTCACCCCGCCAGGAGAACCAGCCAGAACACGCCAAAAAAAAATCTATCAACAATCCCGTGACGCAAGGCGATATGTGCGCCAGGCGTCGTACAACTGGACCGTTAAATAGGGATGCCAAACAGCAGTAGCAAAGCCAAAACGCGAAAACAGGACGTGATCAGGCGGCTCCCAGGCGGAGGAGGTGTCCAAACATCCGCTGGGCGTCGTCAAGGTTGAACCAGGAGTCCCAGAAAATTCGTGTTAGAATTATTAATCTTACCTTTTCGGTCATATTCAATAATATATGTTTACAAGAAAGACTGCTACCAAAATATACTTGTGTGTGTGTGTGTGTGTGTGTGTGTGTGTGTGTGTGTGTGTGTGTGTGTGTGTGTGTGTGTGTGTGTGTGTGTGTGTGTGTGTGTGTGTGTGTGTGTATATATATATACACACACACAACTTTAGAACACTTTCCCACCAGGAGACTCGAACCCTAGCCAGCACAGAAGCCTTCCAGCAACTGGCATAACAGGTACGCCTTAACCCTCTCCACCACTTGCTCAGACTGACTCCACCACATGTCTGAGCATGTGGTGGAGAGGGTTAAGGCGTACCTGTTATGCCAGTTGCTGGAAGGCTTCTGTGCTGGCTAGGGTTCGAGTCTCCTGGTGGGAAAGTGTTCTAAAGTTGTATACTTGACTCTCGTGTTTAGGAGAGTTGTGCCTATATATATATATATATATATATATATATATATATATATATATATATATATATATATATATATATATATATATATATATATATATATATATGACGACATATATATATATATATATATATATATGTCGTACCTAACCTATAAAGATAGGTTAGGTTAGGTTAGGTAGGGTTGGTTAGGTTCGGTCATATATCTACGTTAATTTTAACTCCAATACCTAGTAGTATATTTTCTAGAATATTTTTCTTATGAAATGATAAAGCTACCGATTTCATTATGTATGAGGTCAATTTTTTTTATTGGAGTTAAAATTAACGTAGATATATGACCGAACCTAGCCAACCCTACCTAACCTATATATATATATATATATATATATGTCGTACCTAGTAGCCAGAATGCAATTCTCAGCCTAATATCCAAGGCCCGATTTGCCTAATAAGCCAAGTTTTCATGAATTAATGGTTTTTCGACTACCTAACCAACCTAACCTAACCTAACCTAACTTTATCGGCTACCTAACCGAACCTAACCTATAAAGATAGGTTAGGTTAGGTTAGGTAGGGTTGGTTAGGTTCGGTCATATATCTACGTTAATTTTAACTCCAATACCTAGTAGTATATTTTCTAGAATATTTTTCTTATGAAATGATAAAGCTACCGATTTCATTATGTATGAGGTCAATTTTTTTTATTGGAGTTAAAATTAACGTAGATATATGACCGAACCTAGCCAACCCTACCTAACCTAACCTAACCTATCTTTATAGGTTAGGTTAGGTTAGGTAGCCGAAAAAGTTAGGTTAGGTTAGGTTAGGTAGGTTAGGTAGTCGAAAAACAATTAATTCATGAAAACTTGGCTTATTAGGCAAATCGGGCCTTGCATAGTAGGCTGAGAAGTGAGTTCTGGCTACTAGGTACGACATATATATATACGGGAAAGAGGTGAAATAAGGTGAGGTACAATATCTTTAATGATATAATGGATATTAATAAGGTATTAGTGAGATAAATGTGTATCAATGATCCTACTCAAAACGCCCTTTAACTGATCAATCAAAAATGGATCTAAATTCTACAAACCACTGATAATGTTCAATTTACATGATTTTGTAATCTGTATTAAAGCAGAATCAATTGTGTTCATATTAAAAATGCTGTTACAATTCGTTTTTGAAGAAGCCATCTCCCAATCAATTTGGTGAGAACTTTCTGACAAATGAACAAACAAGGCATTAGACAATTGGTCATGTCTTATAGAATATTTATGTTGCGAAATTCTAAATTTCAAATCTTTAGATGTTTGTCCTACATAGAAGAACAGTCTTTACAAGGTATTTTGTAAATGACACAATTATCACCACGAGGACTATTTCTAGCTAATAGTTTTCCAACAGTATTTTCGTAATTTAACATTTTGTTTAATTACGAAAATCTTCCATCACTTATACAACTATTTACACAACATATTCCTTTGTATATGCTGTATCGTGGGTGACCAGTGTTCGGCAGACATTAGGTTTACTGATTCTGTCTATCTGTATTTCCTTTACGTAACAAACACACACACACAGGAATAGGCTCAGGAATCTGTACATCAGTTGATTGACGGTTGAGAGGCGGGACAAAAGAGCCGAAGCTCAACCCCCGCAAGCACAATTAGGTGAGTAGACACACGCAAAAGGGGGCTGGTGGCTGAGTGGACAGCACGCTGGATACGTAGTCCTGTGGTTCGGCATTCGATTCTCGGCGCTGGCGGAAACAAAAATGAGCAGGGTTTCTTTCACCTTGGTGCCCCTGTTACCTAGTAGTAAATAGGTACCTAGGAGTTAGACAGCTGTTACGGGCTGCTTCCTGCGTGTGTGTGTGTACTCACCTAATTGTGTGTGTGTACTCACCTAATTGTGTGTGTGTGTACTCACCTAATTGTGTGTGTGTGTGTGTGTGTGTGTGTGTTGTGTGTGTGTGTGTGTGTGTGTGTGTGTGTGTGTGTGTGTGTGTGTGTGTGTGTGTGTGTGTGTATTCACCTAGTTGTGCTTGCGGGGGTTGAGCTCTGCTCTTTCGGCCCGCCTCTCAACTGTCAATCAACTGTTTCTGCTACTACATTTTTCACACCACACACACACACATCCCAGGAAGCAGCCCGTGACACCTGACTAACTCCCAGGTACCTATTTACTACTAGGTAACAGGGGCATAGGGCGAAAGAAATTCTGCCCATCGTTTCTCGCCAGCGACCGGTATAAGAACCCGAGATCACAGGATCACGTGTCCAGCGTGCTGTCCGCTCGGCCACCGGCTCCCGAGCTGTGGCCGTGTGTGTGTGTGTGTGTGTGTGTGTGTGTGTGTGAAAATAGTTAGTAGTTAGTAACAGTTGATTGATTGACAGTTGAGAGGCGGGGTGAAAGAGCAGAGCTCAACCTCCGCAAGCACAACTAGAAGAATGCACACTCTCTCTCTCACACACACACACACACACACACAAGAGCAGCATATAAAAATGAGTATTTTAGTTACACAACTAAACAGCATGTTGCTGTAGAGTATCGGTATGGGGTGTATGGGGCCATTTTATCGTAGATCCATGTCCATTTGGTTATTACGTAACTACTTTGGCAAGCAAACCAGTTATACCAAGATGAAGTGTTTGTGCCTGATACAGTCGGGCGTGGTAGTTGACCAATAGACACCACTTGACAAGTGGGAGTGACGTTATGTGGACTTACAACATCCGCACAATACATCCTCTGGTCACTCTTGTCATAGTCGGTAGTACCCAAGTCGCCCAGCCCTACCATGACTTGATTAGCCCCACATTCCTCACTATTACTCAACGCAGTGCTCTTCGTGGTTGATGGCGGGTTGGAGACAGGGCTGGCAAATCCGGCAAAGGACAGGAAGCCGATAAAGGAATCATTGGTATAGGTAAATCCTATAACTTTTACTCCACTCACGCCCAGCATTGATGTCACCATAATGGGTCCCTCTGTGGTGGTGGGTGGTTCTGTGGTTGAAGTTGTAGTCATATTGGTTGAAGTTGTAGTCGCATTGGTTGAAGTTGTAGTCGCATTGGTTGAAGTTGTAGTCGCATTGGTTGAAGTTGTAGTCGCATTGGTTGAAGTTGTAGTCGCATTGGTTGAAGTTGTAGTCGCATTGGTTGAAGTTGTAGTCGCATTGGTTGAAGTTGTAGTCATATTGGTGGGTGCTGCAGTACTTGTGGTGGCGAGTTTGTTGTAAACTGACGCTGGAGAAGAAAATAAACTAATGTAAAAGGTGTGTAAGGTGTCAACGTCTACTTGCAACATCCGCATCAGCCTACCGTTACCTCCAGACTGGAAGGGATATCTCTCAAGCACATACATATATCAAAGAACAAATCCGCAGGAGCCTTAATAAGGGTTCGAACCTATATGTTGGGTGTTCCCAGACGCGCTCTAGTCAACTGAACCACGAACACCCAGCGTGTAGGTTCGAACGTCATCAAGGGTCCTGTGGATTTGTTCTTTGATATTTATTTATTTATATATATACAAGAAGGTACAATGGGTTTATGAGAGTACATAGCAGTGATGTTTTTACATTCATGTAAAGCCACTAACACGCATAGCGTTTTGGGAAGGTCCTTAATCTAACAGATAATATTAAGTAGGTAATTTGTAGCAAAATTGAAACAAGTTTACAGGTACATTGTAAGAAAATTAGTAGGTATATTTTAGTAAAATTTGAATAGTATTTCTAGGTACATTGTAGCATAATTTGAGGATCATTTCTAGATACATTGTAGTACCTTGAATACATTGTAGTACATATATCACGTTAGTGTGATTTATCTGAGTACATACAAATATGTTATTTAAAAGGCCTCACATGACGTTTTCATTTATTATCATATACAGTATACACATATTGTCAGGAATATTTCTATAGAATAGTGAATATTACATATTAATGTGTAACAATGTTTGTAAAATGGACAGTTTCATTAGGTTGTTATTAATCCTGTCACGTTGTAAAGTGTAAATAAGAGTGGTTAAACTTTAGAGAAGAGTGGTTAAACTGTAGAGAAGAGTGGTTAAACTGTAGAGAAGAGTGGTTAAACTGTAGAGAAGAGTGGTTAAACTGTAGAGAAGAGTGGTTAAACTGTAGAGAAGAGTGGTTAAACTGTAGAGAAGAGTGGTTAAACTGTAGAGAAGAGTGGTTAAACTGTAGAGAAGAGTGGTTAAACTTTAGAGAAGAGTGGTTAAACTGTAGAGAAGAGTGAACATAAGAACAGTGAAAACCACAGGAGACAAACTCGTCGGTGTGTGTCAGCTATGCTTGATTCCGTCCAATGCAGCTACATCTATATTTTTACCTGACAATGTGTTCACTATATAAATTAATAAAAATCGAACCATTTGTGAATGATATCAACACTTTTGTGTCGATATAATTAGGATCCTCTTAATATTTATATCCTTTCATCCATTTGTATACTGCAGTCATTTGCCTCCTCCCTCTGACGCTTCACATTTCTAGAGAATATAAATGAAACTTTGTAGTCTCTTCATATGCTATGTTCTGTAATGCCTCATTAGAACTGTTATTAGCCAAGGTTAATAATGACTGCTATTAATGAGGATGTAATACAGTATCGAGTCTACATAGTGATAAATTTGTCACCTAAGCCTAGTGCAACACTAGGCATGGCAAAATCATAGCTTAGATTTTCAACTCTTGGTAGAATACTTGATATCACAGTTACTGAAAAGTAGCAAACTGAGGCGAACAGATTCCCCTGTTCAATCCCAGAAATTTGTCAATCTTGTCGATTTGTTTATCAAACCTTGTATATGCTTGAAATCAAACAGCAGTAAACAGCCGTACGTCCCTACATGTTAACGATAATATTTCCCCTCGTTTTAAATACTTTTCTGCTCTCGTATTGGCACCCTTAGTAATATTTTGGAACTTTTCAACATTCTGTAAAATAGACGGTACTAGCTCTTCGGTATGTCACCTAAACTTTCATATTTCGTTTACTAATTGCTTACCTTTAAGTACTTTAAGACTGACTATACATGTGTTAACTTCTAAATCCCTGTAAATTCTTATAACAGAATATACCTCAGTCATTATGTTAGCTTTAAGACTCGTCTGTCATGCTACGTCAGATGGCTTTTGTGAGAACGATTGGATACCTACTTTATTCATATTAATTATTGTGTAGCTCTCCACCACAATTATAAATATTGTTTTACAAACCAAAACTTATATAAATAAAATTAATAAATGGAGGAGTTTTAATTAATACATTGGAGTAGATAAAAACCTTCGATTATGATGACAGAAAACCTATAGTGAAGAGGACATGACGAATGTACGAAGGAAGGATTGTCACAAGAGAAATATAAGTAAGGTTTACAAATTTTAATCCAAGTATGAGCACAAAACAATGGATTCATGTATGATAAATTTAGATTTAGACAGGTAAACATTGCAGGCGATGAGTCATAATAACGTGGCTGAAGTAGTTTGACCAGACCACACACTAGAAGGTGAAGGGACAACGACGTTTCGATCCGTCCTGTACCATTCTCACAATCGACTTGAGAATGGTCCAGGACGGACCGAAACGTCGTCGTCCCTTCACCTTCTAGTGTGTGGTCTGGTCAAACAGGTAAACATTGATTTAGAAATATGGTTGCAGATCTGTGAAATGTTACCAAGTATATTAAAGAAGCAAACTCGATCTGTAAATGCTAACTCATATTTTGGATCACACAGCTGTGGACAGGAACTATCAGCAACAAACAGCAGCGGTTGTATTAGTGACAAATCTAAGGGGCACTGAAGGCTGTTCAGACGAATGACTTACCCGTGACGAAGCAAGTGTAGACTGGATTTAGGTCGGGCATGGAAACATTCCGTACTTTCTCACAGCTGCTGCTGGAGGAGGAGAACCCTTCACATAATGGGTCTGTTGGAGACACAGGGTTGGATTAACCATTAAGTAAAATAACCAAGAGATTAGGGCACCAAGGAAAGGGGATCACCATAGACAATTTTCATTGCCGGATTTACCATGGACCATATGGTGCAAAAACTGCAAATGCTGAACCAATTTCCACAAAAACGGGTGGCAGCCTTCGAACCTTGTCAAAGGTTCCTCGATTTGTCCTGGTGATTTTATCGAGCTGGATTTTGAAATTCAGCAGTGTTTTGGCATTTGATTTACGGATTCGGCGGATAGGCCCTCAACTGTGAGAGTCAACTTAATTCTGGAATGATTTTTGTCGTCTGGTGTTGTATAATAATATTTATATATGAGAACAAATCTAATTTTATTAAAGAGTAATTTAAAATTTACGGATGCGTCTCGGGGTACGGTCACTCCTCTAACAAGCCTAGTCTGAGGACGGGTTGCATAAACGGGGGTTTGATGGATGGATTAACAATCATTCGGCATTGTTTATGAGGGCGGGGCCAAAATGCTTCACCCACGAACTGGACACCTAACCTAACCTATACCGAATTCGAATATATAATAATAATAATATTAATTATTTATATATGAGAAATTCCGAATCCTAAAATTTAGGAATGCGTCTTTTGGGTCTGCTGTGGCATGGACGAGCATGCCCGTGGACGGGTCGGTCAGCGGGTTCATCTGAAATTTGAGTAGAAGAGCTCTCAGCCCTCTGCTGCCCGTCCTCGTCAGCTAAGGCCAAATGCTGGTTAATCCAGCCGTCAAAGACCCTGTGTATGAATGAAAAACTGTTTACACACGACTTACAACTGATGAGGCTTGAACATTTCTCCTCTCGACCAGACCTCCACCCCCAGGGAGCAGCCCGTGACAGCTGACTAACTCCCAGGTACCTATTTACTGCTAGGTAACAGGAGCATTCAGGGTGAAAGAAACTTTGCCCATTTGTTTCTGCCTCGTGCGGGAATCGAACCCGCGCCACAGAATTACGAGTCCTGCGCGCTATCCACCAGGCTACGAGGCCCCGATAAAGTCTGCATGTATTTCATCGACGCCCCTCTCAGTGATTGTGTTTGTTATATCGAATGTATTGATGGTGTTTATCGCACAATGGGTCCACCTGTTGCTATTGGAGGTTTTTCTGTCTAGAGTTAGTGCTCCAGTGATTATATCTTTAAGTGAACTGATTCAAGGTCTAGTCAACATCTTGGTCAGCATGCACGCAGCAAATCCCTTTTACCCTTATTTCAATCGAGTCATTTATTTATTGAACAATCAACCACAGAAGGTGATGTACATAAATAATGTGTACGAATTCACCTCGCTTAATAAGTTAAAATTCCCTTCTTCCCCCTCTCTAAGCACGCGCATAAGACAAATTAACTACCTTTGTTACATTGTTCATTACAGTACTACTACAAATTTCTTAATAACGCCAGCTGTTGCACACACAGCCTTCTCAGTGGGTGTGCAAGGTATACTGCAGACATTTCTTAACATGTAAGCTACATGTAATGAATCCTATAACATTGTTAGTATTTGGTTTCCTATTATCTGGGCCACGAAGCGTATGCAGGCTTACCACAAGAGTTGCCTAACTCCCGGGAACCTGTTTGCTACTGGGTAAACAAAAGCATGGGGTGACATAAAGGCGTCCAGCAACGTTTCTGCCGCGAGACTCTAACCCGGAACCTTTCGGACGTGAACCAACTATACTGGCCACTGCGCAACATTTTTGCAAATACACAAATACGCAACGTTCAAATGCCGCTAGGCCTAGGGAGGTCTTACCTTGGGCACAGACGGCAGCGCACACGAGACGGGAGGAGATAGGCTTTGTCAAGACTGAGGATCCGCAGCGCCCAACGTCAGGTAGACGTTGGAACTTCTCTGCAAATCCTTCCACTCCTCCCCACGCCAGGACCGCCCACACCACGCCCACAGAGGCCACGGCCGCCCACACCATGACCGCCCACGCCGAGCCCGCAGACGCCACGGCCCCCCACGTCATGGACACCCTTCCTAGACTTTTGGGTGATGTCATGTTCTAATTCTGTAGAGTAACGTGATGTTCCATGCTTTTGAGTTTAATGAACAAAAGGTTCAGAAAATTTATTCTCAACAAATTAATACAACTCTTAACGAGATTAAATCAGGTGTACAGTCGTAAACACCGAAAAATTGATTAACGATCAGTTTTCATTTTGATGGTGACATTGACAATAAATAATCTCTAAAAAATCTTGAAAAAATATCTTTATTAATAAAGTTTGGCAAAAAATAATTAATAGTTCGGTAATTAATATTTGGAATATAATTTATTTGTTTCGAAAATATTTAAAATAGGTCACCATTGTAATTTTGAAATAGACAACTACATTTTTAAATCATTCTCAGTTATAATCATAAAGACCTTATTAGTATACAAAATTTATATTAGTTTTTAAAGAACTCAATGGGGGGTGGGGGGGAGATAAACATTTTATGAAAGGACTTATCGCGAAGTACTTGGCATGGCTGTGGATGAAGACAACTTGGGATAATTAACGAAGCTATCCGTAGCATCGCAGGGCCCAGAGAAGACCTTGAAAAGTGCAGGCGATGAGTCACAATAACGTGGCTTAAGTATGTTGAGCAGACCACACACTTGAAGGTGAAGGGACGACGACGTTTCGGTCTGTCCTGGACCATTCTCAAAGCGATCGACTTGAGAATGGTCCAGGACGGACCGAAACGTCGTAGTCCCTTCACCTTCTAGTGTGTGGTCTGGTCAACACCTTGAAAAGTTTTGGGGGGTATGGTTAGCATAGGCGAAATGCTTGCTTACCTATCAGTGACTTCGGGGGAGGTAGTGAGTTCTTAACTCCTTGCGCTCCGCCTCTTACCCTCGCTGTGGCTATTGTGTTATACTTTTTTTCTGGTGTTCGAATTCTTTGTCGACTCTGGCCTTAAAGTTGTGAAAGGGAGTGCTTGCGTAGAGCTTAGCGTAGACCAGGTCCGACGACGGCTGGGACACCGTGCACACAGAACCCCTATCAGAATGTCTAGAAAAGGAGCTTCCGGCGAGGAAGGCAGCGAAGTTTGAGTGAGAGTCGCCTTCCGCCTTGCCCAAGCATATATATACGGGGGGGGGGGGGGCAATCACGTGACTCGTGTTGGTGAAGAGCTCGCGATCGAAAGAGAAAAGATGGCTCGTCACCTTCCCTTAAAAGCTGCTTTGTTGGTCCGGTCGGCTGCGGCTGTCGATCGATTGGACCAAAATTCGATTCCTGGGCAAGGCAAGACACGTTTCGTCTCCTTAACGACACGTTTCCTTAAAGCTATTTACGTAGCCGTAAATAACTACTGTACTTGGAAGTTTGGTAGCTGTCATGGCTACCAAACGCCACCCTCAACAGGGTTGAGGGTTGCGTTCCTGTTCTTCCAACAGGAACGCCGATGTTCCTGTTGGGGGTTGGAATTGATTGATAAAGATTAAGCCACCCTAGAGGTGGCACGGACATGAATAGCCCGTAAGGTGGTTGGGGGTTGGAATAATAGGGGGACCACGATTATCCATTCTTCCTGTTCCCAACAATGGGTGAACCACATCTTAGATTTCCCCGTAAGTAACGTTCTGATACTTAAAAATATTATTAATCATTATTAGTACTGTAATTTGAAAGGTAAGTAAGGCAAGATTTGGGATCATGAAAAAACTTTAAGCCATTGCTACCATATAGCACTTAGAAGGGATAAAAAGATAAGGATTTGGGATGGGACGGGGGAAAAGGAATGGTGCCCAACCACTTGGACGGTCGATGATTGAACCCCGACCTGAAAGAAGGGAGACCATTGCTCTACCGTCCAGCCCAAGTACTTGGGGAGTAAATTGGAAGTATAGATGACAAATGCTACAATGACTACTTTTCTGTAGTTAGTGTGGAGGATTATGTCCTATACCTGTTTTCGATAGAAACAGTTCCGAAATCCTCATGTCAAAAATTGCTGGGATTCTCCCCTTACTGACGAGTTGCGACGCCCTGCAACTCATCAGTGCTTGAAGAGTGAGGACAGGTTGCATCCATTGCTCATTTGACGTATTAGTGAGTTCTGATGTTGCAGCAATGTTACATAACGATGTTACGGATGTCACAGGTGTCGAGGATAGATGTGTATTGTGCGCTCCATACTTATCCTGTGAGCGCTATAGTATACACATTACCCAGCTTGACAATGGCCCGGGAGGGACCGAAACGTCATCGTTCCTTCCTTTTCTGATGTGCGGTTTGATCATCACAGTAGTGCATAGTGTAAACGGTTACAGTGAGAAGATAGTGAATGTGTGGCCTCCGCCACAAGAGCAATGCTGGCTATCCACGCTATAGTATATGATATATAGTTTGTCCGGTTGCTCCACTCTCGCGTGCATCAGGCGAAAAATAACAGCAAGAGAACACGAAGAAACATATAGAGGCTAAACAAGAGCTCTAGTGCCATTGTGTCTCTTCCCCGCCACCGCAGACGCTTAACGAGAACCACACGTCCAAAAGCCTATCATCAGACGTCGTAAGGAATGACAAAGATGCCGATTTAAACTGTGTGAAGCCAGCGAGGGTCATACCAGAGCAATAACCAGATATGTTCTGACACACTGGACACTGACGGCCGCTGTGATCAATTGTTGCAGCTCCCGTGCAAAGGAAAGTGCACAACAAAAATTGTTACTTTTTTTTAAACAAGTAGATACAAGCCTATTGTGTTTGATGATCAATCTTTGTGACGATTTCAGTAATTCCTGGCTCCTGTACCATCACACTACGGGTGTAACTCATTATGGCTCCTGTACCATCACACTACGGGTGTAACTCATCATGGCTCGTGTACCATCACACTACGGGTGTAACTCATCATGGCTCGTGTACCATCACGCTACGGGTGTAACTCATCATAGCTCGTGTACCATCATCACACTACGGGTGTAACTCATCATGGCTCGTGTACCATCATCACACTACGGGTGTAACTCATCATAGCTCGTGTACCATCACGCTACGGGTGTAACTCATCATAGCTCGTGTACCATCATCACACTACGGGTGTAACTCATCATAGCTCGTGTACCATCATCACACTACGGGTGTAACTCATCATGGCTCGTGTACCATCATCACACTACGGGTGTAACTCATCATGGCTCGTGTACCATCATCACACTACGGGTGTAACTCATCATGGCTCGTGTACCATCACGCTACGCGTGTAACTCATCATGGTTCATGTACCATCATCATAGTACGGGTGTAACTCATCATGGCTCGTGTACCATCACGCTACGGGTGTAACTCATCATGGCTCGTGTACCATCATCACACTACGGGTGTAACTCATCATGGCTCGTGTACCATCACGCTACGGGTGTAACTCATCATAGCTCGTGTACCATCATCACACTACGGGTGTAACTCATCATGGCTCGTGTACCATCACGCTACGGGTGTAACTCATCATGGCTCGTGTACCATCATCACACTACGGGTGTAACTCATCATAGCTCGTGTACCATCACGCTACGGGTGTAACTCATCATAGCTCGTGTACCATCATCACACTACGGGTGTAACTCATCATAGCTCGTGTACCATCATCACACTACGGGTGTAACTCATCATGGCTCGTGTACCATCATCACACTACGGGTGTAACTCATCATGGCTCGTGTACCATCACACTACGGGTGTAACTCATCATAGCTCGTGTACCATCATCACACTACGGGTGTAACTCATCATGGCTCGTGTACCATCACGCTACGGGTGTAACTCATCATAGCTCGTGTACCATCATCACACTACGGGTGTAACTCATCATAGCTCGTGTACCATCATCACACTACGGGTGTAACTCATCATAGCTCGTGTACCATCATCACACTACGGGTGTAACTCATCATGGCTCGTGTACCATCATCACACTACGGGTGTAACTCATCATGGCTCGTGTACCATCACGCTACGGGTGTAACTCATCATAGCTCGTGTACCATCATCACACTACGGGTGTAACTCATCATAGCTCGTGTACCATCATCACACTACGGGTGTAACTCGTCATGGCTCGTGTACCATCATCACAGTACGGGTGTAACTCATCATGGCTCGTGTACCATCATCACACTACGGGTGTAACTCATCATGGCTCGTGTACCATCACGCTACGTGTGTAACTCATCATGGCTCGTGTACCATCATCACACTACGGGTGTAAATCATCATGGCTCGTGTACCATCACGCTACGGGTGTAACTCATCATGGCTCGTGTACCATCATCACACTACGCGTGTAACTCATCATGGCTCGTGTACCATCACGCTACGGGTGTAACTCATCATGGCTCGTGTACCATCACGGTACAGGCGTAACTCATTTTCACGAAGTAATAAATTATAATAACATTATATATATATATACATATATATATATATATATATATATATATATATATATATATATATATATATATATATATATATATATATATGTCGTACCTAGTAGCCAGAACGCACTTCTCAGCCTACTATGCAAGGCCCGATTTACCTAATAAGCCAAGTTTTCATGAATTAATTGTTTTTCGACTACCTAACCTACCTAACCTAACCTAACTTTTTCGGCTACCTAACCTAACCTAACCTATAAAGATAGGTTAGGTTAGGTTAGGTAGGGTTGGTTAGGTTCGGTCATATATCTACGTTAATTTTAACTCCAATAAAAAAAAATTGACCTCTTACATAATAAAATGGGTAGCTTTATCATTTCATAAGAAAAAATTAGAGAAAATATATTAATTCAGGAAAACTTGGCTTATTTGGCAAATCGGGCCTTGCATAGTAGGCTGAGAAGTGCGTTCTGGCTACTAGGTACGACATATATATATATATATATATATATATATATATATATATATATATTAGTATATATATATATATATATAGTATATTTTGGTAGCAGTCTTTCTTGTAAACATATATTGTTGAATATAACCGAAAAGGTAAGATTAATAATTCT